ATATTATTATTATAAATTGGAAATGAATAATAAAACAAAACAAAATAAAAAATAAACTCATTCAGAGAAGGGGAACTTTGAACCAGAATCACGTAGTTTAGCATCAATTACTGTTCCCACGGTCCTTATCCGCGCCGTTGCGGTACGGTGCGGATTCTGGAAGGGTGTACTAGTGGAGCGGACCCTTCATGCTCTAGAGTACATTCTCGGAGCGGCCTCCTTAGTTCTCACTAAAGTGATCTGTCTGTGGATTCTTGCCGCTTTGTAACTATCTTTGAGGCAGATCTGGTTGCTGGCGTGTGATAGCCGCTGGATCTGATGCTCCATCATTGATCGACATCCTCCAAATGCGCGCGCCTTTTGCGAGGCTCAGCTTCGAGAAAGTGTACGGAGTATATATCTTAGATCTTCCTGATTTAGGTATCCCAACGGAAGTTTCCCAAGTGAATACATTATGTTGAATGGGTGATGCGGATATCGGCAAGGACAGAAAAGTAATGATCATGGAGAGCATGGAACATTGCAAGGGTTGCAAGTACTAGCTCCGAGAGGACCGCCTGTGAGATGATATGAAATCATGTGGACGCAGAACATTCGTTTCGCTGTGTTCCATTTGACCCTGGTAAGTTTCCCATGAGGGATGGGAATGTTCCTGACAGACCCTGATGGCCTCTATATTTAGAAAATGACGTGGACAATTGTGTACTGTTACTATATATTGTGAACCTTTCGTGTGTTTCTATTTTAGCACGGCAATAGCGACGTGTGCTCGTTTTGCATACGATGCCTACAACACCCCAATATTATCTCTGTTTCTTTAAATCCATACGACGAGGAAACTCCGAAAGTGATTGACCCAAAAAGGAAAGGTTGGGCGGAAGAGTCCTTTGATGCCTGAGGTGTGAACTGTTGTCTCTTCGAGTTTTCATTACTCAGGAAATCCACTACGGATCGTGAATGCATCCAATCACCACCACGGTGGAAACAAGGGATCACTGGACAGTCCAATAACATGGAAGATCAATCTGAGGATTTCCCACAAGGAAATCCCAGGATATCCTCTTTTGTGGACTTGGATCCGCTAAGCTTTCCCACCCTTTTTGCTACCGTCGCGGTTTGAATTAGTACTCCTATGCACGTTTCGCCCAGATATGCCGCTGCCAAATGGCAATCCAGTCTCCGATGCACTGGGAGCACCATCCCCATAATCCTTTCAACTGGCCGCGTTGGAAGAAATGGATGTCGATGCTAACATCATGTTGGGTCACCTTCATTGTCGGGTTGAACGCCACGTCTATCACCACCGCAGCCGACGCAATATCCGCTGAATTCCATTTGGCCAATGGAGTATTTGAGTATAACTTTTTTGCTGTTACGGCATGGAATGCCGCGGCTGCATTTGTTCCGCTAGTGACTCTCCCATTAATGGAGACTTATGGAATGAAGTTTGGCTTTTTGGTACCGAATTCTCTGTTCATACGTCTCGGCATCAATTACTAATAGCATTGTAGGTAGCATATGGTCTCTTCACGATCTTTTTGATCCCACAGGCGTTGGCCCCAAATTTTGCCACGCTTGTTGTCTGCCGGGCTATCGCCGGGGCTTTCGGAGGAACTTTGCAAAATTTCGCAGATGGAATAGCGTCGAATCTATTCCTGCATCATCAAGAACGGGTCTTCCCTCTAACCTTGTATACATTCACCTTGTTGTTTGGGGTGACAATGGGGCCTGTTCTGGGTGCTATTGTGGAGCCATTAGGGTGGCGATGGTAAGTAACATCTCTTGCCCTATAGGGAACTGCAGCTGAGCAGGCAGGGTATTCTGGATTGAATTGATTATATACGGTGCATTCACTCCGGTTGTTCTCTTTTGTATGAAGGAAACCCGAGGCCCATTACTTCGCGTGAAGCTTATGCCTGACGAGGCTTCGCCGGGGGTGTCAGACGATAGCGAGACCCTGGGAACGTTTAAGGAAACTATAGCCCGATCCGCTGTTCTGCTTACAACCGAGCCAACCATTACCTCCTTTACATTGTGGTCCGCATTTGCGTTTGGCCTGGTCTTCATTTCCACCCAGTCAATCCCCCTCGTGTTTAGCCACACTTATGGCTGGCCATCGTACACCGACGGTGTAGTTCAGGCTGCTATAGGCATTGGTCAAGTCATTGGCCTCCTCGCATGCACTCTACAAAATCGAGTCTACACCCGAAGTGCTTCATACAACCCGGAGAGCCCTGGAATCCCAATTCCTGAGTATATCCTGCATCTTTCCATTCCAAGCACAGCCTTTGCGCTAGCAGGTGGCCTCTTTATGTACGGTTGGGGTATATACCAGTCCCACTGGATCGTACTTGCCGTGGCCCTGGCTCTGATCGGATATGCAAGTATGGTAATTGTCACCGCGGTTAGTATCTATATCACGGATTCCTATGCCGGCTATGCAGCCAGTGCTATCGCGGCTGTCGCATTCGGAGAGAACATCTTCGCGGCGTTCTTGCCATTAGCAGCTAAGCCAATGTATGTTCGGCTGGGATATCCTTGGGCGAGTAGTCTACTAGCTTTTGTGGCGCTGGCGCTGACTCTAGCACCTGTGGTCTTACTATGGAAGGGAAGAGCCATCCGAGCGAAGAGCGTCGCAATCAAAAAGATGTCGCATTCCCACTCTTAAATATTATTTCCTCCCACCGGACTGATCGATCTAATGTATAAAAGGTCACATGGGTATGGCCTTCTGCCTGTTGAGCCAGTGACTGTTACTTTATTCTTCACACTTCATGTAAATAGTTAAATCCCCAAAAGACTCATCCGGATCTTTTAGCTGTGCCTGCGCATAATGTTTGACCATCCGACGCACACGTCCAGAGTCAGGGTCAGTGGTGAAGGGGCTAACAACGTATTAATACACTCTCTTCAAGTTGGGGACGGTCCGACTTACCATGTCCAACGGACTGTTCCATTCTTCTCTGTGCGCTTGACCCAGCATTTATCCTTCTCGGATGAAGTCACAGTGTTCCATATCATTGCAGCAGGCCAGTGAAGGTCGGCAACGATCTGTTTGACCGGGACGTTGGGGCTCACGGAAAAGACCAGCGTGTGCTCATCAATTTGAAGAAACCCCTTGGGGTCTTCTAATGGGGTGATTCCGATACTTCTGAGGAACTCCTGGTCGACCTCGTCGTAAACTGGATCCTGCGCATAACATTTGATCTCCTGATTGTCGTTCAGACCTCTCTTGGCCAACGACGCCACCATCGTCTCTACTGCAGCATGTTGCGTATGGGCCCGCGTACAGTGGTAGCCGCACCGCCTTCCGAGGGAGCCAAGGCCGAAGCAGACTATCTTCCGAATCTTTGCCGTGGTCTTAAGAGTGGCCAGATGGTGTTCTAGGCTTTGACGACCAGAGCTCTCTAGCCATACCTGGCGCTGTCTGACAAATGCTCCGCGAATGGTCTCGAACGTACTTCCACTTGGGCCTGAGGAGCGCATGTACCCTATAGTGACCGGGGCATGATCGCTGCGTAGGACGAACTCTGGACAGAACGGAGTGGGACAGCCCAGGTAGTGGATGCTTTGGTAGTTGATCCGATAGGTGTTACTATCTCTATCGGTTAGCCTTCTGGCCTGGGCTGTGCACAGTGGTAGGGCTTACGCGAAATCCGTGCACCAATTGGGGACTTTAAGGCTGTAGGCCTGGGGCACGTCATCGAAGTCTGGAATGTATACCTCTTCCTTCCCTTCGTCGATCTGGTGGCTGAGGTCTTCCAGCAGACGACGGGGGAAGAGGGGCTTTCCTGTTCGGTATAACTGACTGATGTGTCTGAGCCTCTCCAGTATCTTGAGGGTGGTGTCCTCGTCCAGACCCAGCTCTTGAACCTTGTGGAAGTCGGCCATGGTCTGCCGCAGTTCACTCTTGGCGTGGTTGATGGAACGGACAGGAAGGCGAAGCTAAGAGAAAGTGGCCGAGGCAATGGACAAATCCCGAGTGATGGTGATCTGCCGTCACTGGTGATGGTTGATTGATTATATACTAGTGAACCCAGGTGAATACGACCCAACTGGCTTACATGCCTATGCTTGACATCTCGACCCCATGACGGTTAACTCCCAATTTCAAAAAGGTTAGCAGACCGTCGGACCAGTTAAACCCGTTAACCCAGATGGTGTTTATTTTCCCCTTCAGCTCGCATGTGTCGAATGGCATCGCATGGGCCTTCACGCTGTGGCTCCAGAGACCCAACACGTTGGTACGCGTCTGCAGTGCTGATTGGGTTGGAGGCCCACGAAAAGACTATTAATATTAGCCGCTGTTGGCCAATTTAGTGGAAGTCGGCAATCCCAAAGTAAAATATTACGTGAGTTGGATACTATATTAGGCAATTAATATGATATTTTTATCTCCGACGCTAACAGTGGTCTGCATACATTAATTAGGGGCCATTTCGGTCCGCGTACATGCATCGTGCATATGGGTTGTTACTATATCGGATTCCCAACGCCAGAGTGACCAGAACATCCTCACGACGAGGTATCCAAGACCACGTTTACCATAGTGCCAACAGCCCACCATGCTCCGATTGCTCTGTTGGTCTCTTCAGTTGCGGAGCCAGCGAATCCTCCGAATTCGCCAACAGACCACTTTCCCCCGACTCTCCACGGTTGACAGACCTGACCCTAATCAAGGATGCGTTGGCAGATGACAACCGGGATGCCCTCCTCATGCCAGATAACGCTTTTGGTAGTCCTTTCTGTATTGCAACTTTCCGTAAGTGGCAGTTACCGAGGAATCTTCACGTTAATGACGTCTGGCGACGATGTCACCATCCTGCCTCCGAACTTAGCAGCCTCTAGGATGCCACTCCTGCACGGTTCATGGCCAACTATTATGCGCCTGCTCTGGCAGATTTGGCGTGCCAGGATCTGCCACCCGATGTCATGTCTCGTACTAACGGGAATCCTTCGAACATTCCATTTCGCCCCCTTGCCCGCCAAGATGCAAGTCGCGTGCGCCAACCGCCTTCCTTCTGTCTTCCATCGTGGTTCTGCTGACAAAAGTAGGCCCTACCGCGAGGTGCTCCACCTATGAGAGAGGAACCTTCCCCCACCCATTTGGAATGCTCAGCATGGTTCTGCATGTGTACTCGATTCAGCAACCACTAATATTGTACAGTGCTTGTCTAGCTTCATTGCCGCCCAACATTGACTAACGGGCTGGACCGATGGCAACAACTTCCTTGACGATCCGTCGGCGGCAGAGACAGCGTGGACAGGTACCGTCAGACGGCTACACAAGCGTCATACGTGGGGTGTGAGCAAAGACGCCATGTGGGTGATTTCGAGCTTCGTTAAGGGTTTCCATTTCGGGATCACTCTTGACATTTCCTTCATTCCCTGGACCCCACGTAATACTGGAAACATAGTACCTGAGGTAGAGTATGAGGCCGGAGGATTTGGCGCCCTCCCGTGTGGGATCGTCAGCGGCTGTACAAGTCCAATCGTGCTCCTAGATGACGACCCAGATAGGTTATGCTTGCAAGGCCCCATCTGCTATGGGCTTACGCCATTGTTCTATTCGAAGTGGCATGGGTCCATGTGGATGACTCGGACCATAGCCTGCAATAGCCAGACCATTAATCTCCCGAATGTGGTCACATATCCCTATAGTACTTGGCATCAACGAATTGAGACTGGCGATGCTTTCCACCATTTTGGCGCAGCTGTTACGCCTTGTGGAATGTTGGTGGCTGGCCTGGTGACTGATGGAAATACCTCATCTGGGCTAGTGACGTGCGAAGGTATCTCGAACCTCAGGGAAGAGAAAGTTCAAGTTTTGTTGTTCATATTGCTGACATAGTTGTGTTACGGGGGTGCGTTTCATATACTTTCAAATTCTTCCCATTATGCATCTACGGTATAGACTACTGTCCTCCTTGGAGGTTTTGTGTATCAAAGCGAGGGAGGAACGTACCTAGGTATCTGATATGGATTGTTATAGGTACCTACGGTCTTAATTGTCTAGTTGAACCGGACAAGTCAGGTACTGGTCAGCATAGTCCTCTCATTGCGCGTTAAAAGTAGATGGTAGACATCTATGTAAAGAACCATTGTAGTGCATTGGTGCCGTGATAGTGAATGAAGAGTCCTTGGAGTCCAGTATATTGACTCCGAACCAAATCCTGGATCGGTTTGTAATGAATATGGCGTGTCAATCATCTGCACATTATTGTTTGCTTGGGTGTTTGATGCACCAAAGATGGCTAGCTAGGCTGACTGCATGTCCGTAGCGACTAGGCGCTTTGAGCATTAGACCGTTCGTCAATCCTCCTGCGCAGTGTAGCGATCTGCTCGGGCCCAGCCCGACAACATCCCCCCATTACCACACCCTCCCACGCACCCTCAGGCACTCCCCGTACCACATCCCAATAGATCTCGTCCCACGGCCGTGTTTCTTTCCCCGTGTCCGTTGCGACCCACGTCTTCGTGACAGGGTCGTACTTCTCCCCATTGGTGCCATCGGGATACAACACCAGCCAGGGCCTTCCGGTCACGCTGTCCCACTCGTCGACGTAGCCCTTTGTTCCCAGTTCGTGCAGGTTACGCAGCTCATCCTGCATGATCGCGACGATCCGCCCAACATTCCCAATGCGGGTGCAATTGACTCCGATGCCCCACGGCCGGGGGAGATTGACGCCCGTCTCGCCCTCCTGTGTGCCCACAGCTGCACGTACCCACGCGCGCACATCCTCCTCATCGACCTCCTCCTCTGGAAAGACTCCACAAACCCACCAGGGCTTCTTCTTTCCCACCGCCAATTGGCTCTTCTCCGGATCGGGCCCCTGACCTTGGTACATGTCTGCCAGCACATCCGACATGGCCCCACGGATGGCTCTCACTTCATCTGCCCTCTTGACGGTCTCAAACGCAATGTATTCGAAGTTGTCCCACGTGCCCGTCTCGTCCACGAACACGCTCAGTCGCCGAGCATGCCACTCGCGCAGCTTCGATTCTGAATCCATCTCCTCCGGATATAGGCCCGTATACTCCGCCCCGACAGGAGACATGGTCGCACCGTAGGGGCCCAGCGACAGTGCGACCTTCACTGGCCTCCCCGACGCCGATCCCGCGCGTCGCGCAAGCGGAATCGCTGAGCGCATATAGCGCGCTGCATCCTCGCGCGTGTAACGAGAGTCCGTGAGCGTGAATCCCTCAAAGCTCGTCTGATACGTCGCGGTTAGGACGATGTCGGCGCCGACTGTCGCAAAGGCTCGGTGGACTTCTTCGAGGGTGGAGGGCGAGGAAATCAGCAGGTGAGCGGACCAGAGCGGCGTTTCGGCCGTGAAGGTTATGTTGTGGGGAGGATCACCAAGCGTGGTGCCCAGACCACCGTCGAGGAGGAGGATAGGGGGTGGTCTCGTCGTCATGTTATTTTGGTGTACGAGGAGTTTGGTTGTTAAGGTGGTGGGAGGTGATTCGAACGTGATCAAATGTGTGGGGTTACTTTTATGCCATTTCAATTCATTTTCTCTTATCGATAACCAACATAATCCACTTCCCGCATGCGGCCATCATACCAAACAAAACTTAGCGATTCAATTCAGTCCATAGTTAAGTTACTACGTGATTTACTAACAGGCATTCTACTCCTTTGTTTCTTCTAATCTGAAATCCCCGACTTCGTCCACCAGAAATTGCATTCTTTCCGACTCCATTCGTCATCCACCATCTGCGCCGCAATTCCTACGCCACTTCCGCCGGCGCGTTCATCATTTCCCTCCCCTAACACCATGATCCGACCAGAGGAAGATGCATCATACGTCTCCCAGACAGGACGGTCTCCATAAGCACCGGCGATAGTGTTCGGGTGCCCAGATACAATGAACGAGGTGAAGTATGCATGCAAGGTACCCGCAATCTTCTCCTGATCCGCGGAGATGGCACGCACCTCGGGGTTAAAAGTCTCGTATGCCATTTGATCGCCATGGTTCGCGCCGCCTTGCACCGTCTTATTGAGTGCCCAGCGATAGAGGAAGACAGGAGGCTCCTGACCCGCCGAGGCAAAGGTGGCCGTCTGGCGCACCGGACAGGCGTACGCGTAGTGCCCGTACGCGGCCTCGACGCGTTTGTATTGAGGTCCGACCGGTAGAACTCTTGTGTCGACATAGGGCGACGAGGCATCCTTGGCTGGGTCGGGGTAGAGATTGTCGATTGTGTCGATGTCTGACGCTGAGTATGCAGGGAGGAGGGTTCGGAAGAACGCGGTGAACTCCTCCGACTGGGACATGGCTGGCGGTACGTAGTATGTTCCTTCGTTGGTGTTGAATCCCGTCAGGATCGGCATTTTGTTCCATTTGCCGGATTTCCAGGCGTCGATGGGTCGTTGTTTGATGAGGTCGCCGTCGATGACCGGTTGGAAGGCCCATCGTACGGAGGGATTGTAGCGGTCGAACACGCTGAAGGAGGCATTGGTGATGGCGGACTCGGGTTGACTGCGGAGACAGTCCATCACCTCCTGGCGAGGTGTGTCCTTGCAGCCGGCCTCTTCGACAAAGTGGCGGAATTGGTCCTCGTGGAGGCGAGCGTCGTACGAATGGACCGCCCGGGAGGTTGCAGCACCAGACTCGATTATGACACGGTGGAAGAGGGTGTGACCGAGGTCATAGTTCATGATATGGTGGGCAATCTGACACTCAGCAATTGCTCTCAAGGAAGAGGAAGAGAAGGCGACATACCGAATGGGCACCAGCAGAGAGGCCAAACAACGTCACCTGGGAGGGATCCCCTCCGAAGGCTTCGATGTTGTCCTGCACCCATTTGAATAAGAGGATTTGATCGTGCAGACCCAGGTTCAGGATACCCTCTTCGGCTGTCGTGGTGGAAGGGAGAAAGCCAAGGGCGCCAATCCTACCTCTTTCAGTCATGGTGGTCTGATCGCTGATAACCATGGGGAGGGAGAGCTCACCGGTAATTAAAAGTAACTCCGATAAAGGGTTGCTCGGACCAGCCAACCATCGAGGCCGTGTTATGCATGGACGCTATCATGGTCAGCCTCTCTGATTTGCCAGATCGCCAGAGGCTTACAGGTTCCCCGATTATACGCGCCACCATGTACGTAAACAGCGACCGGTAGTTTGCCCTGGACGCCATGTGGCCGGAAAACGTTGACAGTCAGACAATCTTCGCTGTTTCCGGTGTCGCCTTTGACTGGTAGCAGTTGCTTGCCAGGACATCTGCTCCGTTAGTTGGCCTCCTCGGCTCTTCAGACGGTCCAGTTTCGTACCTTGGTCCAAATCGAGTCGCTTCTATAACACTCTCTGAAGGGCCAATTGGTTCCGCGCGACGAAACCGTCTCTCACCAATTGGCGGTAGTGCATATCGGATGCCGCGGAAAGCGTCGACGGGGTGCTTGAGTGTGTCTCGCACTGTATTGCCTACAACAGTCCCCTGGGGAAGTGCGATGCGAGGTCGACTATCGAGAATGACATTCTGGATTGAGACCGGAAGCCATGAGACGTATAGCTGAATCTGCGGTGAATTAGGTAACGGGAATGCTTTCTGCTGGAGAAGAAGCCAAGCAAGGACAGGCAACAGGGCCAAGCGAAACAGTCCGTGAATAGTCGACATGATGGCTGAACAGAGACACAAGTTTTCTTTGCTATTGAATACACTTTCTTTATCACCGGCGCGGCGACCAGTTTTGAATGCCGAACACGCGGTTCCCCACATTTTCTCCGCATTATCGATTGCGATATCCTCGCCGTTATCTCGGACGCCGCCCGATGCCAAGCATGCGAGTCGTTGCTTTTCCCTCTTCAATTGGTTCGAGATAGCGCCTCTGATGCTCTCTAGATTCTGACAGCCAGCCAGTTCCCCGCGAAGGATGTCTTATCACTGGTCCGGTAATATGTCGCAGAGTGCTGATATCCTCGCCTCTCTTGGTTTGACTTCGACCGCGCCTGGAGCGGGAAGAACTTTCCGGTTTCGATATCATTATAGCAGAGATTACACCCAAGTGGTGGCGTTGCGCGTAGCTATCATGCATGTCTATAAAACCTCCGCCGGAAGACAAGTCCTGGCCCTGCGTATCCAGATAGCAATTGAATCAAGTCTTTCAACATGACATTCTTACCCAAAAGCGACGAAACCAAGGAGGAAGCTATCATAGAAGCTACCGCCAAAGATGACGTGGAGATTGGCCAAATGTCCTCGCTGGACGAGGGCGAGCTATTCCTGCAAGAGCATGGTGTGACCAACACCCAATTAGAGGAGATGCTCAATGACTCGATGAAATCCAAGAAGTTAAGAAGAAAGGTCGACTTGATGGTTCTTCCCTTGCTTTGTGGCACGTACGTGCTGCAGTACATCGACAAGCAGGTATGCTCCCTCGTACTGAATAGATGCTTCCATGATAACACGTTAGCTAGGCTCTTGCGTATAGCGCTGTGTTCGATCTGTTCACGGATGCCAACATTAACAGCAATCAGTATAGCTGGCTGATCAGTATCTTCTACTTTGGTATGTTTTCAGAGAATAAGCACAGTCCTGGTGAATACATACTAACGTATCTCAGGATACCTCTTCTGGGAATACCCGGCCAGCCATCTTGCCCAACGGCTTCCGACCGGAACTGTGATATCGTCATTCGTGTATGTCACTTCCTTACATGTCCTGCATCATGCTGACTGTGTAGGCTTGCCTGGGGATCGATTTTGATGATCACGGCCGCCTGTAACAACTTCATGGGGTTAGGGACCACTCGCTTCTTCTTGGGCTGTTTTGAGGGTAGGCTAACTATGTCCAACTGAGACCTGATCCTTGTCTGACCTCACAGCCCCCATCACCCCATGCTTTATGATGATCGTTGGCATGTGGTATACACGCCAGGAACAGCCCTTCCGTGCGGGATGCTTCTACTGCTGCAACGGCGTTGGCTCCATGGTAAGGCTCTGCACACCATGCGCGCACAGATAGTTGACCAAAATTAGCTCGGCGGCCTCATCACATTCGCCATCGGGCAAATCAAGACCTTCCCAGTCTGGCGCACAGTCTTCCTGATCTGCGGTGCCGTAACAGTTATCTGGGGAGGAATATTGATGCTCTTCCTGCCCAACAGCGTCTTGTCCGCAAAACGATTCTCTGTCGAAGAAAAGATCCTGCTCGTCGGCAGAGGAAAGCAAAACCAGACAGTAAGCACCGCGCACTAAAAGCTCAATAGTCGAAAACTAAATACACCAGGGAATTCTCAACCGCTCAGTAAAATGGTATCAAATCCGTGAAGCCTTCATCGATCCCCAAGTCTGGCTCTTATTCATCTTTACCCTCCTCAACGAAACCATCAACGGCGGCACAGCAAATGTACGCAACCCCCCTCCATCAATCAAATACACGAAACCCATACTAACGCGCATAAGCCAGTTCGGAAAACTAATCATCAAAGGACTCGTCTCAAGCCCCCTCCTAACAACCGCCCTCGGCATCCCCCAAGGCGCCTTCCAAGTCTTCTTCATCCTCTCCGGCTCCTACCTCTCCACCCGCTTCAAGAACATCCGCACCATAATCATGATGGTTTACCTCATCCCCACAACCATCGGAATCAGCCTCCTCTGGAAACTTCCCCGAACAAACCGCTACGGCGTGTTATTCGGCTACTATATTGTCCGTTCCCGTCTCCAAATAATCCCGATAAAGATAAGGACTAACGAACAGAATAGCTCGGCTCCTACGTCTCCTCCCTCGTCCTCTCCCTGCAAATGCCCTCCAGCAACATGGGCGGCTACACCAAACGCGTAACAGCCACTGCCTTCGTCTTCCTCGCCTACTGCATCGGGAATATCATCGGTCCGCACGCTTTTCTCGCCAAGGAGGCACCGATCTATCAAACAGGGTGCAAACTGGTTCTGGCCTGTGCGTTGTGTCAGGTAGCCTGTGCGGCTTGCTTGAGGGTTCTCTTGGTTAGGCGGAATAAGAGGAGGGAGGAGAAAATGCGAGCTGATCCTGCTGTGCAGGGGGCAGATGGTGATGTTATGGCTGACTTGACGGATTTTGAGGTATGTTCTCTTTTTCTTTTCTCTTTTTGTTGAGTGGGTGGCTGACTGGCTGGTAGAATCCGAGGTTTCGGTACGTTTTGTGAATGGTCTGCATGTGGTGAGATCTGTAGTTATGCTTGGGTAGATATTGCAGTTATTTGTATAACGCTCTAGGTATAATAGAGAAGAAATATCTATTGGCCGTCCAAATCATCTGATATGTACACGAGCGACACATAACAAACAACCAGAAGAAGAAAAAGTAAACAAACAACCAAGTGACTGCGAAAAAAAAGAAAGGGTAAAACTGTTTTCAGAACATGTACAATCATGCTCCAATAAATCTGACCGTCATATCGTTGTTGCCCGTAACCTCCGTTTGTGTCAGCACCTTATCGTTCTGCTTCAGCTCAACAATCGCTCCGCCATCCAATCCATATACAGCCTTCCCAGCTTCAGCCTGCGCCCCGCTGAACTTGACCTCCCCGAAGTTAGCCATGACGACCATTGAGTCGCCCGACTGGAAGTCCTCCACAATCCACTCCGCATTCTGGCCCACCAGCGTCGCCGTCGGCGCAGGAGCAGTCACCGTCTGCGACACCTTCTGTCCCGTGGATTTATTCTCGATGATCGCGATACCCTCACTCGGGGAAGTAGACCGAACCGTCGAGACAATCGTGTCGCCTTCGTTCACGTCGATGTTCGGGAAATTGGTCGCATACGCCGGGTACCATTCGAACCACGCGTGATTCTGTTGATTGGGGTCGGAGTAGAAGTCCACCCCGGCTTGCAGGATGGCCCCCGGGTAGGTGTCGCCGTCGATGCCGACCCAGACCGAACCGGCCTGCACTCCATTTTGGTTGGCTACCGCCGTCGACGTGGGGATTGTGAATGTGGCTGTCACGGCGGTGTACGGGCCTTCGGGAGGTGCTTGCTCGCGGACCACCCCCGACCAGTTGTTGCTGTATTGCACGGAGGCGCCGGCTACCCTCGCTTCGGAGTCTGTGCTCGAGCCTTGGTCTTGCAATGGGAGGGTGAGGTGATCCAGCGATCTGTGGCGCATGCGTTGGGCGAGAGTGCTGCCTGGGGCGGCGAGGGCTCCGCTGATGAGGGCAGCGGTGAGATAGGCGTGTGTGGGCTTCATGGTGAGGTTGTTTGATCAAGGGAGGATAGTTGTTTCGTGCGTAAGGACCGTGGATAAACGAGTTACTGGACAGAGAAACCCGGTACAAAGAGCTAATCTTATAGCTGGGTAGTTTGAGATGGTGTTGGCCGGATTGGGTAATCTGCGCAGCTGTGTTGTTTCGAACTGCACGAGGCATGGCCATCGGATCGGGTGGTGGAGAATCATGGCACATGGAGGTTTCGCATCTGTTGCTTCAGCTTCCCGTGTGCCTGCTTTAGGCAAGTTTGCAGCAGCTGAGACTACGTGCTAGGCAAACAAACATTAAGAAATTAAGCATAGATCAGCCACCTGATCTACATGGTTCGGGTTGCGTTGGTCGTGTTCAATCCGCGCAGTGTAGATCTTCGTCCATTGGCGCAACTATTCCTCGACCATGGGGACAGGGTTCTCGACGATCAGTGCTTGCTAATAGGCATCACAGTTGCCGCCAACGGAAGTGCAATGGCAGTATCGAACTTTACTCCAGTCATGGAGGGCTCAAGCGAAGCCACGCCGAGTCTGACACATACGGCTTCAGGGCTCAGGCACGTCAAAACGCAACGAGTATCAAACGAATGTGACGCAATGTTGTTTACACGTCCAATCACTGGGAAGGCACAGAGCTGTTATTATTAGCAGCAACATGTTTGGGGAATGCAATTCGCTCGGGAAGAAGGAGGACGAACAATAAGGGATAGTGCGCATTCCTCAGCTCCGCATTCCGGTCAGCGCTGGTGCCCATGACGCTATCAACGAACTCGCCAGCTGGAATGCCCCTTGTCCGCGTGGCTACCGCAAGCAATGGACCGCTGGCTGGGGACGGTTAAATCCGCGCGTCCCAGACTCCCTCTCTCTCTCTCTCTTTGGTGCGGACCTTGCCGCGGCTGCTCGGCTTACTATCCCAACTTGCGTGATCAGGGTTCGAAAGAGTCGTTCTAAAGAAAGTTCGGTAAAATAATGTTTGTCGTCATACTCCCACGTAAACGGTTTAGGTTTCGCGGTAAGTTTATAAAGGCCAGGTCAGCCTGCCAAGGCGCCGACGAAGGGCTTTTGACCGCTGGCGACACGCATGACGACTGGAAGCAGTCAACAAGATTCACCGTCTGAATGAGCGAGGGGCACATGCCCCTCAATATGGATTTCCAAAGAAGCGCGAGTTAAACAGCTAAGCAGCATACCGCAGTGTGTGCCGGCACAGTGGTCTCGTGACATCCATGATTGCCCTCCAACGTCGCCATCTGATCACATAGGAAGCTTGCGCATCTCCTCCAATGTCCAGTACTTTCGCATATTCTCCGCACCAAGGGTGCGAACCTCTTCATCCAGATGCGTCCACAAAACCTCCCCAAACGCGTCCATGAGTCGTTTCATCTCTGTCAGTTCCAGGTCTTCCTCTCCGGACCGGCATTTCTCTAAGTACTGTTCAAATCCGTCCAGTCCACGATGTATCTTCTTATGTTGTGCCAATAGCGTCTTCTTCTGCCGGAACTCTGGCATCTTGCGAGCTAGCACAGGGAATAGATGTTCTTCTTCAATACTGTGGTGGAAGCCAAGCTGAGAGCAGAACTGCAGTCCTGTAAGTATCAGTTGCTTGGGCTTGAGCCCGCCAGACCGCTTCCCATTGGTATCACATGCGTTCTGGAGATCCTTCCAGGTTAGGCGAAAATGATTATGCTGGTGCCGTTAGTGATGATCACCCATTCCGAAGATTTCCGTCTCCATTAACAGGCACGGAAGGACATACAAAGTGGTCCATCTGAGCTGCCATTCGATTATACACGCCAAAGTCTTTTACGGACAGAGGCGGTAACTTCTGTTCTTCACTTGCACCCTCATTAGGGGCCGCGGCAGACTCAATCTTTTGTGGCATTGTTGTTATATGGAGGCGGGGTGAAGATGAAGATAAGCGATGGACTGCACCGAAAGCTTTCCAGACCGGGCTCAGGAGACGTACGAACATCTGACAAACTTAAGAGGCCACCAAGCCCTGGTTGACAGAGGCCCAAATTATAGAAAAATTATTTGGAGTATGATTATGATATGCTGAATAAGCCCAAGCCCATCGGATGCTGTAAGGAAGCCGAAGCCGAAGCCCCAAGCAAATCACAAATCGGCGATTTGTCCGCACGCGCTAACTTGACTTGGCTCGCTGCCGTCCACCTTAGGACTAGCGCAGACCTGTGAGAGCCAAGTCGGAGGAAATCCCGTGATTCGTCTCAAACACCCACTTGGGCCAGTGACATCACGGAGAACTGAGTTGCGTTAGGTTGAATTAGTTAGTAACAGGTTCAACTTTGGATTATTAATTCAATGATAAAGCCAGAGATATAAAATGGTTTTTTGGTTGCTAGAGTTCTGGTAAATCGCTTAGGAAATAAGTTTTACCAAATCTTCTCAGCATCGTATACTAGGTTATATATATCCCACGATCATCAAAATGTCGTTGCGCGGGAAAAATGTGCTTCTTGTACGTTGATTCTGTACATGAAACAAGATATTGCTGCATGCTAAGGAAATTAGACAGGGGCCTCTATGGGCATCGGGGAAGCCATCGCTTCTGCTCTGGTTGAGGCTGGGGCCAATGTGATCCTATTTTCGCGCTCCGAGGTGAATCACTATGAGTCTATGATGTTCCAGACGTCAGCCATGCCAGCTAACATTGTGCATGTAGAGTAAGCTAGCACAGCTTAAAGAAAAGCTGTCGGCGACATCAGATGTAAAAGTCACATATGGGACCGTGGACGTTGGGGATTATGCCAGCGTCGAAGCAGCGGTGTCCTCCGCCATCGAAGAGATGGGAGACATTGATGTTCTCATCAACAACGTGAGTTCAGTTCCCAAGCCCTCTTTCATATTGAATCGCTATGTAACACGGATCGTACAGGCGGGTCTTGCCCTCGGTGCCCCGAGCCCATTCCCAGAGTTGAAAGTCTCAGACATCCTAACGATGAACAATACCAACATCAACGGGTACATGTTCATGGCTCATGCCGTCCTGAATCACTCGATGCTGCGACGGAAAGCAGGGACGATTTTAAACATTACCTCGGTCACAGGCTTAGAGGTCCCGCCGTTCCCAGGCGAGGCTGTATACCATGCCAACAAGGCGTGCCAAGAGGCGTTTACAAACGCTTTGCGGAATGAGCTGAGCGGCACAGACATACGCGTGCTCGCACTGCGACCGGGATGTGTTGCGACAAATTTCCATTCGTTGCGTGTGGGTCATGACAAGGAGATGTACAATTCCTTCTTTGAGGGATATGAGTATGTGTTGGCTTCTATCTTTGTTTCCAGTTTGGGGCGGTACTTACTCAGATGTGACTAGGCCACTCGTTGCTCCAGACATTGCACAGGCAGCTGTTTATATGCTTCAACAGCCACCGAATCTGTCCGTAAAGGCCCTGGATATTGTCCCTTCCGGTACGTTCTTGAGATCATATCAGCAACCTATCAATTTCTGGGATCTAATGCTCTATGTTAGCACAACGCTCGTTGAATGTTTTTGACCGATCATGGAACGAGCGGAGAGAATCCCAGTGAAGAGCTGAGGAAGATGAGTACCAATCTTCACAAGCATATAGAATTTCTCAACTGCACACCAAATACTAGATCACGAGCTAGTATTGAACGTACCCGCGAAATAAATCATAATTGTATAAACCCTCCATGGTATCTGGTTGTTTAGCGAGGCCTTTGATAGGTAAAATGGTTGCGATCGTGAGGTGTTCACTGAATCAGCAGACTCTAGTCATCGCCTTCTGAGAAGTAACAGTGCAATGTGGTGAGATGGCTAATCCTGCATGAAGAATCGGTCTTGGCAATGGGCCAACGCTTCAAAAAGTCCAATCCGATTGCCTGTCATATGTTGGAGAGACCCACCTGGCCCACCATCCAACGACTCCGCCTCATTAAGGAGTTGACTCTTTGTATCGAGTAGGGTTGCGCTTCTCACATGGGATAACTTCTGCCTCAGGATGCCTCCTCGAAGATCCCATAAGAAGTCACGCACTGGCTGTCTGCAGTGTAAAAAAAGACGAGTAAAGGTAAGCCAAATCTCCGTAATTCATTCTAGCTCAACTTTCATCTTCTTTTCAAACTCTCTTTCGCCATGTTTGTTCATGTTGCATTCTCCACGCCTTTATCTTTCCTTTTCCACGGTGCTTTAGAACCTCGGCAGTAACAGTCCACATTAACGTGGAGCAATTGATGATGCATACCACATTGAATTCGAACTACAACCGTTATCCTCGGTAGTATCAAAACAAGACTACTGCTATATGGGGTTGAATTGGCCAATTCGTTCCACACAACATCGATACCAAATGTCGTGGTGTATCTGAGCCTTATCTAACAACACCCGTAGTGTGACGAGCGAGGCCCTCCTTGCAAAAACTGCACCACTCGGGGGATAGAATGCGCCTATTCCAGCACGCCCGCTGGGGCTCGCATGCCCGACACATTGTCCGTGAGCCCTAGCTCTCCGCAGGTGTCTCTAAGCCCAAACAACGTATCCAGTCAATCACCAATAACCACTACGCACTATGATCTACGCTCATTAGAGCTCATGCACAAATTCTCCACGGAAACCTACTATAGTCTGTCCAGCGACGCACTAGACCACCGTGTGTGGCAAACCACCATGCCCCGCAAGGCACTGGAACATGACTTCCTCTTGGACGGCATCTTGTCAATTGCGTCATTGCACACGGCTGCGACAAAAGGACCCATCGAGGCACGCTCATACATCGACACAGCATTAGAATACCAAAACCGAGCATTAACCCCCTTTCGACAGGCGCTTAACAACATCTCGCCGGCGAACTGCGACGCCATTTACGCCTACTCCCTTATCACCATCGCGAGCCGTATAGCAATGCCCCATTTAGCAATTGGCGACAACGAAGGCCCAAACATGATTGAGAATATTCTACACGTCTTCGAGCTACTGCAAGGTACCACTGAGATCTCAAAGATGACCCGTGCCTGGTCGGCGCAGAGCTCTTTCTCCACAGCCGCGGATTACTGGGCCCCAGCAGCCAAGCGACTGGATAGCGAAACCGAAGAAGCCTTCACCCGTTTAACGGCGATAAACAATCAAAAGAATAGCACTCTGCCCGAGGCGCATCGTATGACGGACGAGGCGATCGACCTGCTGCGACGCTGCTTCTGTCGGTACAGCACGACGAAAGACCCAGGCTCGGTCATTACTTGGCTCGCTGTGGTTAACAGGCGATTTGTTGATACGCTCAGGGGCCTTGAGCCTATTTCGTTGCTTATTCTGGGGCATTGGGGGGTTTTGCTCGGTCAGCTGGATGGGAAGATATGGTGGGCTTCGAACTCGGGCAGAGCGTTGGTCACTGATATCTTGGGTGTTGGTGGGAGGGGTGATGTTGAGTATGGGGATGCTTGGTTGTGGCCGAAGCGGCAGTTGTATTTATGATGGTGTTGGCTGATATATATTTAACATTAGAGGATTGCGACTGTTCTATTGGCTTGTTTATGATGGTGTATAGGTTATTCTCCTGTTCGTAGATCCATATATCGCGCCGTCCCTGGGTCCCTAACTCATCGTGGACATATTCACATTTGAAATATAGAATAACAGTATTTACAAGCGTTATCAAATATTCGATAGCTACTATCCCATTGAACAGTATGTTATTTGCAACTCTGACATTGCAAGGGTTTCATGACGCGGCAATTGGAGTACTGTTGCCACAAGTCAATGTTGACAAAATACCCTGCCACGAAAGAAAGCATTAGGAGTTTAGTAAAGGACAAAAAGAAATGAAAAAAATACAGGATAAGACAAGCAAGAATGAACACCAACCAAAGATATAAACTCCATCGGCAAAGCCGATATCGTCGGGAAGCTGCCGATACCATCGGTATGGCCCCGATGAACTCCACAATGCACATGGGATTCCACCATTGCTGCTCATAACTGTCTATCACATATGTCTCCACTGAACTGCCACTGTTAGCACTGTTTCAGTTTGACACGAGAGATGAGGCTGTGTAGCCCTTATATCAGTTCAGCCTGAAACCCGGCAGTGTAGAATCTTACATTACAATTTCTCCCAGGTACCGCTTGGAAACGCAATCTGCTCTAACATATCAAAACCCAATTGGCCAGTGGTGTTTGCTTTTTCTCCAGTGAAGGGAACTTCAACCCATTCAGACCATATGGGGTGATGGTGCTGATCAGCGAGGTACGTAGCATAGATGGTAATCCTAATATCTATCCAGGGGGATTGACCGTCGTCAATCAAGACGATCAGCAGGATCTAATCGTCTGTTTTCCCAGCCCGAAATCCACAGGGACTGTGATAGACGATAAAAATGCAGGCTTAGAAGCGTGTGCTCCGCGTAGCCGTAGGGATCTCGACAGGGATAGTCAGGCACAACACCGATTAGACCCGCCAAGCAGGATGTGCAACGAACGTATCCATTGTTTAGCGCTGTTGGATTGGAAGCCCAAGCACGAGAAGCTTTTTAAGCATGCTGTCAATGTACTTATATGGACTAGCTATATCCGGGGAAACGGTCGAAGGCTTCAGTGTTCGAAAGGTACTCGATGAATCGGAGGGCGGGGAGAACGACCGACCGTTGGATATGCGATCAGCACTAAGAATACCTCGTCTGGATGGCTGGTGTGGGGGCTGAAATGGAGCCCTAGATGGGAGAAGACGCCGAGGATCCTCGTCCGGTCGCCATTATCTAAAAACATCTTATCCTAGCCGTTTTAGGTCTTAGCAAGTGGACAGAACAACCGCCTAAGATGCCGATTGGATCTCCTCTATTGTTGTCTCGGATAGCTGGGGAGAGATCATGTTCTCATGATTCTTGTATTACAATCTCGTTAGCCTGAAATGAATGTGGAGTTCAAGACGAGCCAGTCAAGCACACGATCAGCCCCTCCATGTTTGTGATGACCCAGAGGCCAAGAGCATCGGTCGTTGGGGTCGACTTTCTGAATGGCTACAGAATGATGGCTGCCTGCAATGGACCACACAGGACCCCTGCCTTTCATTTCCACTGGCCGGGTCGACAGAGGACAGACCGTGTCAAAATTTTCAGTCTCACGAGAATGGAACGGGCCGACAGCTAGTCCTAAGTATCAGTCAATTACAAGGCTGTATTATCCGTGGTTACATAGCCTGTGCCCTAATGTATCTCCTCTACTGAATCAGGAAACGTTGAATACTAGGGTGTAATCCTACAGGGTCTCACTAACCAGGTGCACTGCCTTCCCAGAAACATACATTAGGTTCTGCAGGAACAGCTGGTCAACTTTTAACCAGAGTTCAGAATGTGAAAAGAGGGCTGTCTCGTTCTTGTTTAATGTCCCCGCCTTTGTTACCATCAAAATGTGGTCATCCTTTTGGAGTATTGCACTTACCGTGTGGCTGACGCTGGGACGGCTCACCGCAGGCATTCAACTTGATATCAATGATCCTGGTATTTCCGCGTCCGTTGGATGTAAAGTTCGTTCTGCATCTCTAACACTGGATAGAATCGATCAAAGATGCCGCCGCAACAGCCGCCTACGGTATGATGTCCTATTATCATGGCAACGAATCCGGTCAAATCCCAGGGAAGCTTCCAGGAACATGGTGGACGGGTGGCGAGGTATTCATGGCCCTGGTGCAGTACTGGTACTGGACAGGCGACACATCATACAACGATGTGACCAAGCAAGCCTTGATCTGGCAAAAGGGCCACAACGACTACTTACCGGACAACTATACCCAGGATTTGGGCAACGATGATCAGGTATTCTGGGGCCTCGCCGCGATGACTGCCGCCGAGTTGAATTTCCCCGAGGATGAAGAAGTGTCATGGCTCGCACTTGCCCAGGGCGTATTCAACACTCAGGCTGAGAAATGGGACCCCGATACCTGCAATGGTGGTTTGCGGTGGCAGAGAAATTCGTGGAACGGAGGCTACGATCTAAAGAATTCAGTCTCTAACGGAGGGTTCTTCCAGCTCGCGGCCCGCCTGGCACGATATACCAAAAATGAAACTTACTCCGAATGGGCAGAGAAGGCATTCACCTGGGCCACGTCTGTTCCGTTGATCATCGAGAAGGGGTGGACTATAAATGATCTGGTTACTGTGGAATCGAATTGCAAGGCACCTAACCAGATGCAATGGTCTTACAATTACGGAATCTACTTTAATGGCGCTGCATACATGTATAACTTGGTACGGATGGCCAACAATGCTAGACCCCTGGGGTACTACATTAGTATGACCTTTAATGCGGGCTGACACATTGCACAGACGAATGGTGATAGCAAATGGCAAAATGTGGTGGAAGGCTTACTGAATACTACATGGCGCAACTTCTTCCCAAAGGAGTACGGGGGCAACATCATGGTTGAGCCATGCGAGCCGCAAAAACCGGGAGTGGTAGAGTGCGATGGTAATCAGTCGACATTCAAGAGTTTGGTTACCGCTTGGCTCGCCTTCACGACGACGGTCATGCCCAACACTCTCGACCAGATCTTGCCCAAATTACAGGGCTCCGCAGAGGGAGCAGCAAAACAGTGTTCCGGGCCCTCTCCGGACAAGATCTGTGGACAGCGATGGTACCTTGATAAATATGATGGTGTCACCGGCCTCCGGGAGCATATGTGTGCGTTGAGCGTTTTCACCGCGAATATGGTGCCATTCAAAACTGGAAACCGTGAGCAAGGTCCGTTAACGGCGGACACTGGAGGAACGAGCAAAGGTGATCCGAGTGCAGGCACGGGTAGTCACAAGCCAGAGAAGGACAAGCCGCGAGAGATCACGACAGGGGATCGTGTGGGTGCCAGCTTTGCGACGGTGGCTGTTGTGGGTATATGGCTTGGAATAGTAGCCTTTATGATGACCGGGGACTGAATTGGACATACAAACGGCGCGCTATGCCGTGGACCCGAATCATTGATTCCAAACGCAGGGCAATGGAAGAACAGTCGAAACTGAGATGACGGTTCTGCTCATGGTCTCCAGACCGTACGAATAAGAGACTGAATGAGGACAGCTTTTGGCTACAACTATTCTGTCTTTCTCAAACCGATGGAGACCGCAGCCGGGAGGTATGACATGCATACGATACCATAAGCTCATATTAAGAGAACATTTCCTGTCACAAGTTTGTATTGTACAAGTACAACCAATAATATTATGCCAATTCCTCTTTAGTTATGCCTACCTGCTCCATTGACCATTGTATAGCTTCGGTCCACTCATTCATCCGTGCGAGCTCCCTTGCCAAATCCCCTACAATCCTCCTTCCTGAGAGCGTTGCCCACCATATATCCTTCAACCCGCTAAGCAAAACACCCCAATACATATACACCAGTAAGGCCATGGGCTCCTCTTGTTGTATGAGATCCACGAAATCCAGCCCAACAACCATGATCCATGGAATCGCCATTGTTTCATCTTTTACAAAGCAACTCCCCAGGAGTGTGATAGCACGGCTAAGGATGTTCCGTATAGCCGGATTTACATGGGAACAAAGCTTTCGCAACTTGTGAATGACCTCGGTTTCTTGCAGGGGTGACTCCCACTCATCATCGGAATGGGCTAAAATTGCAAATCGAAAGGGCCCTTTGGCCAGCCATAGCCGAGATTTATCAATGACGGAATGTATTCCCTTGACAAAATGAAATGGAGAAGTTAGGTTTTCTACCATGTTTCCGCGACTGCTTCCAACGAAGGGAGCCACAACAGCGCAAGCCATCGTGATCACCGAGCATGCGAAAAGCGCATGGCAGTTCGATGCTGAGATGTTTTCTAGTGCGGTACAAAAAGCCGGGACGGCGCTATTCTGGTAACGAAGTGCGTCGTTGATGTATTCCGAGACAGTGGCCGAGCTTAGGGGGGCATGACTATCATTCGCATCGTTGTTGTTACTGCCGATGGTTCCAGAGGCTATGTGTAGTGACGTGAGTGCCAGCAGTGAGTCCATGAGAAATGGATGATGGAAAGCTTGCTCCACCACGAAGGATCGGAAGACGTCGCCAAGGTTGCAGGAAAAGCTGTGGCAGGTTTTGAAGGACCAGACGTGCATCAACTGGAGCTCTCTCATGCGGCCCGCCGGCACGATAGGCAATGTACTTCGCGATGCCTCGGATACCCACGGTATGTCTGTTCTGCCTTCATTTGATCTTGTTGACTGGTCCTTTTGGTATGTTGATGAGATAGGAGGATTTTGGCATTGTTCGCTCCATTCTGAATATCGAAATAGTCGCCCAGTGGAATACTGACAATCGGCCTTTCGGGCAGCGCAGTGGCCGCATGGAGGGCCGGCTTCATCGCATTTGATTCTGCGTGTTTTGCATCGCTCGCAGCCGTGGCGGGACTTTGTATGAGTACGTCTGGTCGGCATAGCAGCTAGGCGTGGGGCGGAAATAATTGCTGCGGAGTCGATCGCAGGGAGAGACTTGGTGGAGAAGTTTGTTGATTAAACGGGTACAGAATTTGGCTTCAGTTCTTGGCATATATGGTTTTTAAATTGTACTACCTGATTTCCACAGTATACAAACTACTGATAAATACTTTATTTCCGTCATCCTGTCGGTCGAGTGCATCCTTCCTGGTTCGCTGCTCAAATTTAGGGCTTAGCTGGCGAATACTTTGGCTCCTACTGGGCAAATATCATTTAAAGAGACGATTTTGTATTGCATGTTGTGAATCAAGGCTTGGTCTGGTAGAAGAATTTCACAATGGGTTCTAAAATCTGATAGATCACGCTGTATCGCTTCCAAAGCGGGTTAATTACAGATATAAGGTGCCTTCCCAAGCCATTGTTCTCGAGTAATCTCATCCAGGGCCCACGTCGCAACACTCGCTCGACTAATCCATGTGCCATCATCGCCGCTCCCCAGGAATGTCGCCTTGACTGGTGCCTCTTCACCGTTTGTCAGTCCACCAACCCGAAACAAAGTCCACTGCACAGACCCGCCGACAGGCAGCGACGCTATATACTCCCCTATGCCGACCATCTCTCGATACTGACCATCGCTGAATAGCCTCATGAACCATGCCCCCAGTCGCCATTTAAATGTGATGGTGTCCGAGGGGTCATGGTAGGACGGGGTGCATAGTATGATGATGCGGTTGAAGTGCTGGTCTACTAGACTTGGAACCAGAGCTTTATAGCCCAATGTCAGAGGCTATTTGGATGATCAACAGACTGCGTTAGTTATAGGCTTGATAGCATATCTCACCGTTCCTTTCGTGCCGATCGGAGGACCAGCGAACGAGACAAAGATGCTGGCACCACAGCTCGCAGCAGTGCCTAGGGCTGTTTCCTCGTCTAGAGTGCCTTCGATAATCTCCACATCTGTATGTTGCACGAGCTTTTGTGGGAGGTTACTGGGAGTGCGAACTAATAGACTTAGACGATGCCCTTTGTTTAGCGCCAGGGCGCAGAATTTGCTTCCGATGGCTCCTATACATTTTGTGTCAGATGTTGGCCTATTAAAAGTGTAGCCATCAGATAGAGCAAGGTACCTGTAGCTCCTAGCACAAGGAAATGCATGCTGTCGCTTTATTGAACAAGATGTGCTTATAGACCGGATGGCCAGGTGGACAGCGTGCAAAAAGAAATTCAATATATTAAGAAGAAATATTTCATTCTTCCAGTACTGGTCTGAGGAGCACTGACAATCACATCCTATTGACGCGAGGTCGTCTTCTTTTATAGACTCTTTTTTTTTTGTTAGGTCTTTGGATGGCTAAGAGCCCGAAAAGGGAAATGAATACGCTGTGGGGAAACCCTAAATAGGAAAGTCTTACGCAGCATCCCAGTTTCGACTATGAATTGTACGAGATATGGCTTAATCGACATACTCTTTTCTAAATTCTAGTCTTACTACAATTCGCTTAATGCGCATTCTACACGTCATAGGCCGTCTTTTGATCGATCTTGCTAACCTTAAAGAGGCTCCCCCAACATCCGAAAGCTGGGGAATGACTGCGAATGAGGCCTATGAAATGCTAGCTATGCTTAGGGCGTTTCACAAATCGTACGTATATGGTTGGGTGGGAGGTCGTGGAATGGCAGGCAAGGGCCTTGATAGGGTGCCAGGCTGAAGGGGTGGCGTTTCCCAATAGTCCGCACTGCGCTATTTGAGAGATCATGCCGATCGCTATTGGGATACGATTGACCGATTTTGGGCTGGGAGGAAGATTTCCACGCCAACTGTGAGAACGGCTGGGCAGCTGGGTGCTGGTAGTTCGGGTGGCAGGTTACGGAGCCGAATATAGACAACGTGACCTGTACATACTATGAAGGAAACTGTAAGTCGATGCTGGCTGACTCTTACTGGCGAGAGGCCGATGCCGCCAAATATCGGAAAATATTTCCAATGAAGACACTTGTGAGCCGGAGTATGAGCTTTCTGAGGACGTCTATGTCCGGCCAATATTGTTTGGTCCGAATTGAAGTAATCTGTCGTCAATCATGATGGCGTTGGATGATACTGTTAAACGTAGATTCTGGACGATGAGTATACACTCTTCTTCGATTCCGAATTTTGTGGGATTAAAGATGTGCTCCTACTGGATAAGGAGCTTGATTAATTTAACCATTGATGTATCTTCATTGTTCTCAAAAATAATCCAAGTCCTGTCCAAGAAAAAAGAGTCTACCAGGGGCCGGGCTATTCATTGGAACCCCGGATGGTTGATCGAATTGATTGGGTCATCTATGCGCCGGCGCTTCGACGACTGATCCACGGCTGTGCGGAGGAGGTACTCGTTCGGATAATACTGCGGGCGGCCAGGTTGGCTGCCGTCAAAACTTGTTGCAAAATTACCAGAGTGGTACGGGCTGGAGCTAGTCATACTCAGAGCTCCACTGCCCCACCCAGTGAATGGAACCATGGTGCTGGCCATATGATTAGATGACCGGCCTGGTACTTGGGATGACTCAGGTGGCTGAACAGGCTGTGGTGGTTCAGAAGGCTGTGATAGCGGCGACTGTTGTTGTTGTTGTGGCTGCTGTGACTGCTGGGGTCGTTGGGACTGGGTTTGTTGATTTCGAGCGCGAGGCTGCTGGGGCTTTCGAGGCTGAGAGGGTTTCTTAGGTTTCTGAGGTTTTTGAGGGGATTGCCGGACATGGGTTGTCGGGTATGCTTGGAAGGACGAGAGTAATGATTCCAGTGATGCAGGTGGATTGCTAGAAGGAGCATTGCTGAGCAAAGACAAGGAAGTGGCTGTATCCTCGGGGTTCTGGGATTCCTGAGCCTCCTGGGGCTCTGGGTGATGTAGCAACTGAGGTATGGAGGCAGTTAAAGGCTGAAGTGATGACTGGGTTGACTGCAAGGTCTCCGAGGGATGAGTTGGGGAGGCGTTACTGAATAAAGGGTTGGAATCTGAAGTGGGTTCATTGCGCCGAGTTCCCTGGGTTTGTGGGGACTGCAAAGCATACAAGGGTAGCGACGAGTCTGGTGCAGAAGAGGATTTGAATGGCTCCACAGATGATGGCAACGGCGTAGTTATGCTGCCTGAGGCGTTACCAATCGCTGGCGTAGAATCAGCGGTACTCTGGGATTGCTGCGGCTCATCAGCGTCGTGTTGGTCAGAAGCATGTGAAGGGTGAGACATGTGGTTTCTGGAGAACTGCTGGAATGTCGTGATGGACCGAGACGGCGTAGAGGTATATGTTGCAGAGGCATTGCTAAGGATTGGTGTGGAACTGGCGGTATTCATGGCTTCCTGAGAGGGCTGTGTGTGCGCTAAGCGATTTGTGGGAGGTGGTAAAGATGTGCTAGATGCTTGACGCGCCATAGTCGCACGTTCGTCAGAGTGTACACTGGCCCTGGGTGGTGGGTTTGAGGGCAACTGTGGTTCCTGATGTTGGGGTATGTTATCGGTCGGTAGCTGGGATGACTGAGATGGTTGAGATGGTTGAGATGGTACAGCTGTAAAGTCCCCAACACTAGTACCAACTATTGGCGTCGAAGCTATAGCGGTCGGGGGCTGCTGGCTCTGCGAAGCCGGCGGAGCAAAAAAGCCCTGGGCTTGTTCCGATCCCTTTTGAGGCTCTCTTGTGTCCACTTGGGGTGCTGTTTCATTAGTCTCCTTTGGTTCCTCCAGGGCCTTTCTCACACGACTAAGCATATCAACGCTCTTCGCCTGTTCCACTAATAAATGCGTGAGGAATCTCTGAATCCGAACAGCAGTGGCAGGTGGTCCACATCGAATCTGTCGAAAGTACGTAGCACACTCAACCTCAGTCTTCGGGATATTGAACTTCGAAAAGTCATCGTCCACGACCGAGCCGGTGTCTTCCGCAAAGTGCCATGAGTGTGGCCCAGAGGAAGCACCGGGAGGAGGAGCACGCGGCGGAGGCTTCCTAGCCTCTATCAACTGCGACCAGGTCTTGCGGAAATCCGGGTGACGGATTAAAAAGCGCTGAGACCATTGACTTCCGATCGGCTGAAATTCCATGCCCAATTGAACACATTTCTCCCGATATAGATCATTTGCAACCTCCCAGATCAGCACATTGGTCGGTCGACGATCGTCTTGTTCCACCCGTCGCAGCGCCTCCTTACCGATCGAGTCCTCGTCTGTTGCATCCAGTTTCTGCTGGGGGTGCGCTGCTTCCCGCCTTGGTAACCGCGGCCCCTTCGCCCGACGCTTGAGCATAGTCTGCGAGATTCCCCATGCGGCAGCAGCAGCTTTGAGGGTTTGATACTGACCGGCCTCGTATGCCGCACGTGCTTGGGCAACTCGGGTCTCGTTCAGCAGGGAAGGGTCGGGTGGAAGGACGTCCTTTGACGCGGGTTGTTCCTCATTTGACTGTGCCTCCTCTTCCTCGCTTTGCAGCTCATTGTCCAGATCATCCCATTCCCCGGCTTCCTGAAGGTGCAAGGCCTGGCTAGCGATCTCAACTGCCCTCAATGGCGCTTTATTCGCAACCTCCACACTGATACACTCATTTGTTCTCTTCCCACCATCTTTTTTCTTCTTCTTCTTACTGAGTTCCGGCTTAACAGGGATGACAACCGATAGCCCTGTATGCTGTGTCGAAAGCCTCGACTGCGGTCTTGATCGGGTCACCCTCGAGCGGGTTGTGGTAGCGTTGGAACGCGATTTACCTGTACGGGCGGATCTCCGTCGCAAGAATTGCGCGCTCTTGGGTGCTTTTCTCGGGATTAGTTTTCCTAATTATAGGAGCTAGGACAGCAATGAACTACTTACGCATTCTGCGGATCCGTCTTCAGGGGACGGGGCGTGATGCCGTTGACGCGATCTGAGCTCTTTGCGGAGATGTCCTGATGTGGATGGCCGATAAGCATCGGCAGTCATGTTCTTCCGGTGCGTATGGGGAACTCGGCCCGGGTGGGGTTTGTTGGCTTGGAGCTGAGGTGGAGCTCAGTCATTTGGGTGCCTGACCTATCGGGCATGGTTTGCCTGTTATTGTACATTAGTACTTCACCTTTTACTTGCTCAACATACACGAAAACACAGAGAGAGACAAAGAAGTACATAACAGGTGAAGCCCATCCTTGAGTATGACCAGACGCTATCAGGGCATGAACTACTAGCAAAGGATCCTTGGTCTTATTATACATTCCGCTGAGCTTCAATCCCCATCTAGCTGTGCTGTTCATATCCTAACTGCATATTTGCGCAACTCTTGATATACGTCATTACAAATGCTTACTACTTAGTGGGCATGGTATACACAAAGCAGTCAGTGGTCGTCCACAACCACCACCATCCAAACACCAACCTCACCATTACTTGCTAGCAACGGCGTACAATGAACCCATCGATCCCTCCCCTGGGGATTGAATCTTGTTACCCATTTGATATGCGCAGTTACACTGTTCCCGGCCATGAATGCGTCCAGCAATTCTTCCCGTATTGAGGCGCTGCCGCCAATACGTGACAAGAACGAGGACTGAAGAATGCCGGGAATCTGGAGAGCTGGCGAGGTAAACAAGATCCGGAGAGACGGATAGGGCCGAACAAGGAGGTACTAAGACAATTAGCACTAAGGCGGCCTGGGAGATACAAAGGGTGGGCAAGCAAGGGCCAGACAAGGAAGACGTACATTTTCGTAAACGCCCGTTAACGAACCCCGAAATAACGCGGTCTTTATATCTCTATCGCGTATGACCTCCATCTCCACTGTATCCGCCGTTGACCAGGTGCGAGTATGACCTTTCCAATCCCGATCGTACACTGCGGGGACAGGCTTGAAAAGACTCCCTCCCACCTGGTGCACCACATTCAGTTCTCGTGGACTGAACAACTCACTGAGCTCGCGGAGCTCGTCTGCACGAATGTCCTCCTTTATCGTTGCGTCTTCTTCGACATCAGCTCCTGCTTCCATGTTTCGCTGCCTGTCTAACAAAGCGCAGAGCGAATCCATCTGCGCACCTTCCATGGCTAGGCCGGACACATCGATCTGGGCGCCAATAAAGTACCGGACTGTTCCTTGACTATCACAGAGGGGCGCGCATTGAAGGAGGTTCATAAATGGAGAACCGTCGCGGCGACTGTCATATCCATCAGTAAATATTGCTTTCCATGATGAGCCAGACTCCCAGTACTGCGTGCTTACTAGTTGAGGAAGAGTTCTGAGTGATGTCTTCCTGCTTCTATAGCCTCTCTGATTCTCCTCACACTATTCGGGTTTGTCTTGGGACCCTGAAGGAAGCGACAATTGCGACCGAGAACATAATCCATGCCGTACTGCGTCGTGCGATGGAACTCTGTTTGTTTCTCCATCAACGTCCACCCTACATGAACAGCCCACCTGGGTGATAAACCTACCTCCTGATGCAAATATAATTGGATTGTCCCGTCTGGACGGATCGGTCAAACAGAACACCTCAGCCAGCGCATCGGATGTCCCCTGGAATTTACGCGGGAGGGTTCCTCGCACGCGTTCCTCAACTACCCTACTCGTGATTTCAATGCAGCGAGAGGTGATAAAAGCAGGAAGCTCCTCGTCCGTGAGTGCTTGAAGCACTTCGTGGACACGGCGCTGAAGGGCAGGATTCGAGCTCTCTCCGACCGGTTCCTTGACCGCGATCGTCGGTGGAGGCAAGTCGACGGCGCATCTGACCAGAGCGTTGGCGTACTCAATTGCCTTTAGCGCTTTACATGTGTTCAAATAGTATGTCAGTAACTCAAGCGACCGCGGGCGCTCTTCAAGGAGGAACTCGCGAAAGCGCGCGAGATATCGCGGGTTGTTGAGGATAGATAGCATGTGCTCTGCAGAGAACATGATGTCTGCGAGACGCTCCAAGCTGTGCAGGGGCGCCTCGCAGGAGTCGCTAAAAGGAACGATGAGGTCATAAGAGCAACCAGTCTCTTGGACAGGATGGAATTGGTCAGACCCATCCCAAGGATTTGGCTCTTGCAGGAGTGGCAGTTCATGGATCATGTAATTTCTGCGGAGGGTTTTAATGGAAGCCCGTGGGCTGTGTGCCGGTACGCTGTCGAGGTTGCGCGCGCCACTTGGAGGTCGTGGAAAGGAAGTGATAAGCTCGTCGGGAGGACTGTGATTGTGACTGAGTTTGGGTCTTAGGGTTACGTTGGAAAGCGCTTACTTTGACGGGGGATAATCATCCAATGCGACCGTCGAGGTGTACGATCGCAGAGAGTCTGTGTCGAAGCAAGTATATCTTTCCATGGCGTCGGCTTGTCCAGCGCTCGCAATGAACCGTTGGGTTCATCCTGTTTTATAGCCCGAGGTCTCGTATACGCCGCCATGATATGTCCAAAGATCGCTCCTGGGCTGTCGCTTCTTGACACCATATTCAGGTAGCGAAAGGCAGCCTTTGCTTTTAAATATCAAGCGATCGACCACATTGAGTGAGTGTATAGAACGATCGATCGATGCGCTGCAGATGTCAACCACGAGATCGGGATGCGCAGTTCGCGGATGATGTCATGGTGCAGGAGACATATCATCTTCCCGGAACCCTTTCGATACTAAGGTGTGGGATATTCTAGAAACTATGGATTGTGGCTGTTGAAGGTGTCTAGACCATGGATTCGAATCAATGGAAAAGGTATCCGACAGAGATTGCAGAAAGTGCGGACATCCCATCACTCGTCGCAGGGCGATTAGCGTACTCGCGACATATCCTCGGCAGGAGACACTCTGGGCGAATAGGCGCAGAGTTACATCACTGCGAAATATGGCATCGAATTGGAAGAAGCATCGCTGGCGTATCTTCCCTTGGAGCTCCTAGTGCCTGAGGATCGACATCGGCGTTTTAAACACGAACCTTCGCAGCTGGCCAACTGGCAACCCCCAGTAGGTTCAGCTCACACGGAAGTCAGATACGGGGGACGGATGGATAGCATCAGGTCGATTGTATCTGGTGGTAGGTCGTTGGGGATCGACAGCATTTCCTCGCAATATATACATTGATAAGTAGATACATAACACGTTCGGGATATCTTTCTGGTACGCTATAGCCAGCCAGCAGTTTAACAGGCATTACCAGGATCAATAACCATTCAATATCCATCCCTGGGCTTATTGTCCGCGTCACGGCCCTGTGCAGCCGACAAGCTCTGTACCATAGCATTGCCGATAGCCCCCTGGTCCGTAATGACCGACACCATGTCGAAGCCTTGTTCAGCATATCCGCGGGCCTGGGCACCATCCGTACAGAAGATCGCCGCCTTCTTGCCCGCAGCCTTGGCAGCTTTCAAAATGCGCTCGATAGCTGCCTTGTGCTCATCTCCGCCACGGACGACACCAATCTGTTTCGCGAGATCGAATGGGCCTAATGCAATATTAACACATGTCCTCGGCACCTATGTGTTCATCGTGTAGTCGTCAGCCATGGTAAACGTACCGATCAGAAGCACATCCAATCCCTCCACCTTGGCGATTTCCTCGACACTGTCCAAACCGGACTTCGACTCGATCTGAACCATGACCATCAAGTTCTGGTCGGCGTTGTCGTCATATTGACCTCCAGCCTGGACGCCGGGAAAAGCGTGGGGCGCATACAGTGGCCCATAGCCTCTGCAACCGACAGGGGGGTATTTGCAGTACCGTACAACACGACGGGCATCCTCCTATCGACCGAGAACGGGAAGACAGTGAGTTTCTCAGCTCGAACACGAACGCACCAACGCGTATCACCCCGGCCTCGCTAGTGATGGTCCGGTGACTGGGAAAGGATGCAGAACTCACCACTGAGTGGCACATAGGAGTCAGAATTCCATGAGCGCCAGAATCCAGAGCACGCTTGATCATCCATTCTTCCTGCCAGGGCACGCGGACAATCGGGCTGGCGCCTTCCGAGGCAATCGCTGTTGTGAGCTATATCTCCTAGTTAGTTGATGTGTGAGTCCGCGCATATGACAAAACGTACGTCATAGTAATCTCTGTCTGTGATCAGTCCGTGCTCTGCGTCGACGAGGACCCAGCTGAAGGCCTCGGCCGGCGAGGCGGTTGCAGCGCGGAGGATGGTACGGGCGACGGGGGCGCTGGGAAAGCTGTATATTGTGAGTGCGAGTTAGTAGGGTGTCCTCAATGGGGTTTCCTGATGATATTGAATTCAGACAATAGTGCAGGCTCTCCACGACGCTCTGGGTGCAAACGAGCTCGGGGGAAGTACAGTGGGGGGAATGCGGGGGAGGAAATACGGACGTAAGCCAGAAGCCGTATGCCGTCGATTGGCGTGCGAGAGAGGTACGGAGCGCAACGTTCAAGGCCATGGTGAAGTTTTTGATCTTGAGGGTTTGAGGTGATTGTAGAAGTGAGGAAGAGAAGTAAAAATGATTACCAAGTGATGTCTTTCCTCCTCGGCAACTCGCAAAGATGTTTACCCCTCGTCTCGGGGTAAATCCGACCGAGGAAGTGTGGGGAAAGCACACGGCGCGATAAGGGCTATTGAGTGCGTGCCAACCACAGTCGCATCTCTATTTCCAGCATCGTACCTGTCATCGGTGTTCTTGCCGGAGTCTATCTTTTAACTAATGACTCGGTTACACGTCTGATTGCCTTCGATCGGGGTTATCCCACGGCGTTGGAGAGAAGCCATATGTATTTCGAGACATCGTCGGGCGAAGCAGATAACGAGATATGTACACAAGTGACGGTATTTTAACGAGCAAGACACAACAATGCCCATAAAAACCGTCTTGTAACACCTAGCATGGCCTTCAAAGGTTTCCCTGGCCAGCGCTGCTTGGCACTGAGCCCTGCGCATCAGCATACGGGGAAGCCGACGCGATATTCTTGCCCTCGAAGTTCAACAGGAAGGCTGTATCCGCTTGGCTGAAAGCACCCGAGCTACCAAACCCGTTGACCTCGCAGTTGCGACCGAGGTACGTGGCGCAAACGGCGTTGGTGTTCGTATCGGGCGATGTGAACAGTTGTCCCTCAATCGGCGACTGCACGGGGGTGTTGATGTTTTGGAAGACGTTGCCCTCGGCAAGCACGTAGCCGCCTGCTCCGATCTCGAAGGCATGGCCGGTCGAGTCGTACCAGTAGTTGTTGACCTGATCTGTGTTAAGTGCTGGTCCAGTACACGGGAATGTAACGGTAGACTTACGGCATGCAGCAGTGTGTTCTCCTGGACCTTGGGACTGCGACCGCTAAAGTGATGGATGTAGTTGCCTTTGAAAGTGATGAGGTCACTGGAGCCAGCGAAGTAGATGCCCCAGTATGCGTACCCGTCACACGTGGCGCTGTAGTCGGAGACACCGTTGAAGTAGCTATTGGACACGGTCAGGCGGTTGTCGGCGTCATTTCCGAGGACGAGGTGCTGGCGACCAATTCGGGCAGTCTGGGAAAGGGGGTCAGTATAGGTCTTTGTTGAGCCCAGCTGGGGATAGACGACGGACCGTGACGTGATCAATCCAGACCATATCCGCATCGTTGAGGGTGATGGCATCGCCTCCCCACACGTATTTGGGGTTGAGATCTGTGATGGCAATATTTCTGGATAGATTTAGAAGTGAATTCACGCAGAGAACGGGCGCTGTACGTACTGGATGATGATGTTGCTTGCACCGCTGACAATTCGAAGGCCTTTGCCTTTGATAACACCACTGGAGCCCGACCCTAGGAGGGTCTTGTCCGATGCGACCGTTATCCCGAGTATACCGGCATTGTCACTGTCGTTGTATCAGCGGAGATACGAGTGATCTATGCAAAGCTAATACTCACTATGTGACGGATGCCGAAGGCGCGTCCGGTTGATAGTTGGTGCACCAGTCATTCTGGTTAATGGCAAGTTGACAAGCGGCAGCAGTTCCCCATGGTGCACACCCCGTGCCCGTAGTGGTGCCTTCGGTGCCAGTGAAGTCAAACCTACTCCGATTAGATTCAGGAGCCTCATATTCCCGCGATGAAATACTCACGTGCGGTCCAGGACAATTACACGGGGAGACGAATCACCGAGGTAGGACACCAACTCGTCCGTCGTGGTGGGATACACAGCAGCAGCAGAGCCACCGCCAGTCACACCCTTGGCGAAACCCTCTGCAGCACCAGACACGCTGACCGCGCTTGCGACGGGGAGAAGTCCCGCGGCGACACCGGATAGCAAAGCAAACTTCATGTTGAGCGCAATTGAAGTCGATATTCTGATCAAGCAGGAGAACAGATGATCTCCTGCAGATATTTATCCATTTATGGCGATCATCGACACGCCTTGTCAGGCGATGTAGGAACCATGGGGGAGGTGTACTCGGTTGATCATTGGTGGATTCATTCTCTGAAGAATTGAAATTAGGGTTAAGGTAGACGTCCATCATGTCCGGAAATCTGCCGGCGTCCGACTCTCGGCACTTTGCTGCGAGCATCGCACCGATTGGAGGGTTTGCCCATAATCAGTGCATCTGAAACGGGTGTAATTTCTCCGAGACGATGGAGGACTGGATACGTGATTCTTGGCATGTTGGGGAATGGAGCATTGCTAGTAGTGGAAAGTATGGGAAGCATATGCCCAGAACGGATCTTTGAGCTGCATCAGACGCATGCAGAAATGACAGACACGGAAAAACCCAATATATTCACTCGAAAATGGAATATGATACAATTCTAATATGAGATACAGCTGACCAACGCTTAGTCCTCAGCCCGTTATCAAATGCCAGCGGTCTCCACATTGCCCATTCAGCTATACCAGTCATTGTTGCGCCATTTGACCTATACTCGCATTAGCAAAGACAAGCACTCAGTAAGGGGAGGGGATGCCATCGAATTCTTACATAAGAAGTGTCAATTTTCTTCAAGTCGCCCAGGCCCAAGTTACCAGCATCAATGGCGATCTCATGCTTGAGGAGTTGAATCGCGCGCTTGACGCCCTCAACACCGTAGGTGTTCGCAAACATGAACGGACGACCGAGCCCGACAGCCCTGACGCCAAGGGCAAGGAGTTTCAGTACGTCTGCACCGTAACGCACACCGCCATCTGCATAGATTTCAATCTGCTCAAAGAGCTCTGGAGCTTCCTGGTGGATCTCAAGAGCAATTTCAAGAGGGGATGGGGAACTGTCGAGCTGACGTCCACCGTGGTTGGAGAGAATGACGGCTGGGGCACCGTGCGCAACGGCCAGCTTCACATCCTCCACGGTCTGGATACCCTTCAGGATGACAGGCAACGAGGTCATGTTCTGAAGCTTCTTGTAATAGTCCCAAGTAATGTAGCTGTAGTCGCTGTCTGCCGACCCGACGCCGTAGCGAGCGGCGCGATGACGGTTTCCATCTGCTGCAGAGTCGACTGTGAAGACGATCGCCTTGCTACCAAGCTCCTCCACATGCTTGAAGAGCTGTTTCGTTTCGGTGTCATTGTCGGTGAGATACACCTGCTGGAAGAGAACCTGGGAGCCATTAGCTGGCTTGGCAGAGGCGATCTCATCCACGGAGAGAGATGCATAGAGCGACGGGATATACAAAATATCCTCCTCATAGGCAGCTTTCACGAAGTTCTTCTCCGCCTCCGGATGAGCAAGGCCTCCACGAGCGCAGGGGCTAATGTAGAATGGAGCGGAGAAGTTGTGGCCCAGAATGGTTGTCGGGAGTGTGGATTCAATATTGGTGACGTCGACCAGCATGCGTGGCTTGAAGCGGAACCGGCCGTACACCTCCAAGTTATTCCTGTAAGACCATTCACCAGCCGCGCCGTTGCGGTAGTATGTGTATGAGGAAGCGTTCATGTAGCGTCTGGCAGCCCATTCGAAGTCGGGAAGGCCGACAATGCTTTTGAGCTCCGGAAGGGTGCCCGCCGGGGTGTCGCCTAGGACATCCTCGATGCTGGGTCATCTTCAGTCAGCTTGTGTCTAGTCAGCAGAGCTTGTTTTCCATACCCAGTATCTGCCTCATTGAGGAAAGGTCGAGATGCAAGAGCTGCCGGGAGAAATGGAAGGAGAAGAAGTGTGGAACGCATCCTGAAAGGAGTGACTGAGTTGAACCTGAAAAGAGTGTTATGTGAGAGCCCAGCCTTGTGAGATCTACCGGGAGAGTGTGCCTAATATATTCACTACACCACCACGGCTACCCGGGCATCGGTATGTCACCGGCACTCCGTCAGACGTCACAAGTGCCTTCCCGACCACATGGCACCTAATCTCCGGCCTTGGCCGTGGCCTTGGACGGCAAGTAACATGCACTTGACACAAATGACCCAGTGTGATCATGGGTGCCTGATCAAGCATGCCAATGCTGCTTGATAATGATGACCAATCCACTGTATGGCGACGGAACATGACCGCGATGAGAGAAAACGATCAGCGCTCATCGTGAGCTTTTGCCAGAAACCGTTAGACTAAGAGTATCATAACCTGCCTTGGCGGGGACAGCTTAATATATTTTGAGTCAATAGACGCAGAGATCTAACCGCATCCATGGTGTATAATATGCTATCATATCAATCAAGTCTCTGTTGAGACGGTGGCCGATCTTCAGGGTGGAACGCCAAGCGCCCTAGTATGGCCTGGGAGGGATCTGATAAAACTCCAGATTGGACCCCATGGAACGGGATGCGTTCTCCACCGGACTCCGGCCTCCTACGGGGTGAGACAGAATGCAGGCCAGAACGATTAGACAAGAGATCAAGCCTTGGCATCCCAGAGCCCAGGTGCCCTTGCTGCACAGCCTCCTTTCAGTACCGAGAATCTTCATGGTGAGTTCTCTACGTAGCCTACATGCTCGGTATACTCATATTCTTAGTCAAGATTATGGCCCTGGCATTAATTCATAACCCATGGAGTACTGACAATAATGTTCAGGACAACTCTGTGAGGATCGAATTTATGCAACTGGGAATCACTATGCATCCACTGGCGGTCATTGCGTCAGGCCAAATTCCGCCGAACGAACTATCTTCCAAGCCAAGACTTGTTAATTTCCGTGATGAAACTAACTCGGTCAATTATTGCATCAGTGGGTTTGAGATTGAATAGGCCAATGATGGCCTCGACTCTAGAGACGGTCTCATCAGGGATCCACAGGACCCAGCCTTTGGAAGGCCTTTGTGCATTCGGATAAATTCACTCACATTATGAAACAGTAAGTACAGAGTAAAGTATCCTTCATCCCGCTCTCAAATACCTTCTAGGGGTTGGGCATCACTGTTTCAACCCACAGAACAACATCCACCTGAGCATCACGTCTTTTATTATGCATACAGCATGTACACGATGATCGAATACTTTACAAATAGACAAAGAAACACCTACCGACATGTACACCTTGGTGGTTATGCCTATTTCTTTTTCGAAGCTCTCGGATCAGATAAGGAATGAGCGGAAATAACTTCCGAACGCCACACTATTCGCTTGCATGTCCATTCAAGCAAGGAACTACGGCTAAGATACCAAGTAAAGTAGTACCCCAATATGATGTGCCACCTTCTGGACGAAAAGCGCTATTTTGCATAGCAGTGATCAGGTAAACCCGGTAGACTCGGTACAAGAAGTGGTTGGGCAGCATAGTGGCCAATAACAGACATCCCTGGGTGTCTCTCAGACTCCTGCGCTCTGTTCCTAGACGAAAAAATGTTTTTAAGCAGATACTCCGTTCTAGGGAACAGACATAGCCGTAACATGTTTCGAATCATGTTCTAAACTGGGTCAGATGCTGTCTAACAGGCGCATCCTTCCGTGACTTCGAGAATGTAGGGGCAGGACTTGAGTATGGCTGGGTTCGTTTAGGATGGAATGTAAGTCATGCCGAATCTCCGACCCCCTCCATGATTAAAAGTTCTTTGCCGTTTTATTATACTAGTGCGCAAAGGTGTCAACTATGGGATTTGAAGACACAATGATAGAAAGTGCTTGGGAGCCACACTCCGGGCTCACTGCATATCACTTTAAAAGACTAGCGTTGAAGAGACCAGCAAGGCCCCTAAGTTTCAATTCCGGAGGAAAGGATGACAATTTCATTATAAGAAGTGGAAACGTTTTTTGCACGAGAGCGGTAGCTGCGTATGATAGTAGGCAGCCTGAAGTGCCTTGCTGGTGCAGGGGCACTCCGATTACTATACGACTCTCAATCCACTGGATGTAATGATAGAACCCTTCGACGGTTTCTCACCACGTCTCTACCGAGGACTGTGTCGTGCGCGTCGATTCAGCTGACGACAAAAGCTAGAACCCGATCGCCACCAACAGGTCAGGCGCAGTAAATCATTCCTGAGTAAAATGAAAGTAAAATCAAAACCTCTGGTTGATACCCGTGCGCCTTGTTCATGGTCTCGTTGAGACAAGCTAAATAATCGGACGTATTGATTTATGGAGTGTAAGTAGTGATGATAAACTGTCACGCTATTTCCTTCTAGAGCGAAGATCAGGTCTCAATAGCATCACTTTATACGAGGAGTCCTTCAACCAGATAGGGGCCCTTCATCGCGTGAATCATGCAGATCACTAGTGCTGACTGAAATGACAAAAGGAGGAAATGCCAAGGCCATGGAGGTCTCTGGTTGCAAGTTTACTCAACGCTAATTCTCACTGTCGAGTACATACGGGGGGCACTATTCATGCAATCCTTTAGGGCGGCGTTCTTCCCTGGTGTTGAATGGACTGTTTTCAGGTGCGAAGCAGGCTAAGAGGTCGTAGGCTCGAAAGTCTTCTGTAGTGAGCTCTGTGGTCACTTCTCATTAGATGGAAGAGGATGCCGCCGCACATCGCGATCGACAAACTGAAGACCGAATACGTTAGTGTCAGTTCATTAGTGGTGAGACAAGAGCTATGCCCCAGCTGCACGAACCCAATTCAATAGGTCGCATGAGGAGGACAAGGCCATTTCCACTTATAGCATATGTGTGGGGTCATTAGTATCGGGGGCAAGGCCTGAAAGGCCTCCTCGTGGTGATGGATGTAGTTTGACATGCAGAATCTAAACATCCAGGCATATGCGTTGCCCATACCATAAGTTCAGTGCAAAAGTACATTGAACATCACCCATCCTGACTATATAAACCCCAGTTGTGCTACTACTTAGATTTTCTTCATCGGCTTCATTCGATTTATGTTGAGTACCGGCTACCTGGTACCGCGGTTCGAAAACTTTGTGATTGATTACTGACACATCAAATCGACGCATCGGTAAGACTGGCAAAGACCATATCATGTATTGTGACAACGGTGTGCCTCGCCCAATTGCCGAGTGTGGCCCAGGAACTCATTGCGACTACCAAAACGGTCAATCGGGATGCTTGCCCCTTTGAGGATGTCTCTCTTACGGCGTGCTGCTTTCGCAAATGACAAACTGGGTCCATGTATTAGTGGACAGGGACATGATCACAGACGTGGGTTTTCCGTCAGTGAGGGGGATCAAGTCAAAATAGCTACTCTCTGATCAGACGGAAAATCCATGAGCCCAGTCTATGGCATACATGGTAGCTCTCCTACAGACTATAACTCATCTTATGATCCTCATTGCATTGAAATATATAATAGGGGCGTAGGCAGAGCTAGCTCTCTGAGCCTGGGGTGTAATACCATGGCACCCTGAAAGCTGGACCATATAGGTGAAGATATTTATTTAGGTAGGTAGACTACAGTATCCTCGCAAACAAATGCCCACAAGTGCCGACGGTAATTCTGTTGTATACTCTCATGCATGCACGGCATCGATACCATGATGAGGTGAGAGGCTGGTTCTTCGGGAATCATCACTTCAAAACATTTCCGACTAACAAGCGTGGCCTGTAATCCCTTAGAACTCATTCGGGTTTAGTTTACTTGTCCATGGTCGCTGGCGGCCTGAACTGTGTTGCTCAAATCCAGCTCTAACATCTTGCTCGGTTTGTAGATAAAAGCATAGTATGTCACTACTGGAAAAGGAGCTAAGAATTATGATGCACAAGTTAGTAAGGATCATTTCTTTCGGCTATTTGCGCTGTTGCGGGGAGCCTTGGTTGAGCTTCGTGCAGAATGCTCGAAAGCTTGATATCCTGACTGCTCTACTAGGAGACTACCTTGTGGGGACACCGGCCGGCTGTGTCGCAGTGCGTATCCTCGAAGATACTATAGCCACGAATGTCGATAATCGCACGGCTATGATGCTGGCTGAGCTGCAAGAGTTCAATCAGACTGCCGTCAGGCGTAGTCCTCAGCGAACAGGGTCATTCGCCCCAGGACCGTCGACGAGCAACCTATACAGCATTGCCTAGGGGGGAAAATGGTGTTACATGCCATAGGTTCACACAAGCTGCTGTGAGCATTCAGATCGCGTTCAGAGAGGGAAGTGTCCGCCATATGCAGGGTGCAGCATGGGTCATTTGTCTATAATGATAGACGTCGGCCTGGCCGGGCTCAGTCACACTTCCCTTAAGCAGTTGTACTGACGGGTTTGTCCAGTTCGCATAGACCATGAGGCCCCAACGGCCTGTACCAATGCCGCACACATATACGACCACCCTCCTAGGAACTGTATCCGCGTCGTACCATGGTTAAGGCGAAAGACGCAGCCTTGGAGACTGGCTTCATCGTGAGCATGTTTTGCGTGATCGGTCCGGAGCTGAATGGCAATCTGTTAGCCCTGATCAGCGAGAGGGGAAAGATATACGTGCAAGGTATGGTCTGGGAGGAGAAGAACGCAGTCCGGTGTTCTATCGCGAACTGGGCTGTCGGGGTTGAGGAAGACTTAGCCATCATCGTGGATGTCCTTCGATCGGGAGTCGCTCAGTGGAAGGGTAGGAAGTTTCATGTTGAACTGCCTCTTCGTGTCATGTTTACGGCATGCTGGATAATAGTGGAGACTGCCGGACGCGACGAGTGTTGACGTGACATGTCACATCGAATAATAAACAACAGCTTTGGAAGCGCTCGGTCCGTGCGCAAAGACATTTCTGAAATATTTCGAAACCCTGTTCTTCAAGCATCGAATGGTCCACAACACCCACCAGGTTTACCGGTACTGTGGGAAGCCTTCAAAGGTGTGGGTCTTCAATGACAGCAATGCTCTGGCGCGTTTATGCCAATCGCTGCCTGTAAGAAGGCCTCGGCATATTTTGCGCCCGTTATCGACAAAGCGAGCATTCCGAAGTCCTTATAATAGCTGATTGACGTTACACTCAGGTGGAACTTTCTGCCAGCGCCCATTTCCTTGTGGCTTGCTGTCAAGAGAGCTGGAGAAGAAAACACATGCTTCGGAAGACAACAAATTGGTAAACACAGCGCCTGGTTTGCTTGGGCGGTTTCAGGGATAATCTCGCGGCAACGGGAGCAATGGACAGGGCAAGGGATAATACTTGAAAGTTGGAATGCTCGATTATTTTGTCACTCATATTCATAACAGAGCGTTGAATTCTTGTTTACAGTGGCAATGCCAAGGAAGAGAGGATCAACAGCTGCCGAAGCTTATGCTCGGATAGGTGTCAAATTGATGTAGAAAGAGAGTATAGGATAGGGACGGGTCAACACGACAAAGTATGAACGTCAGCCAGAATTTAGTATACAATCTGGATAAAAATGGTAAAAAGCTTGAGATCGAATATATTGATTTAGGTATGTCGTCGTGGAATATCAAACATCTATGGCCCAGTGTATAGTTGTGAGGATATAATTGCGGGTAGTATATATATATATCGTTGTCAAGCAGACGTGCGGAACCCACCATGTCAGACAAACAATATACTCCAAAGTGACGCTTGCTAAACACTAATGCTACGAATATTGACAAAGCAAGAATGGAAAATTGAAGTATCTAAGCATTTACATTAAATTTAATCTAGTTAAGCATCATGGAAAGTCTTATTACTGTAGAAACAGCAATTATCCGTAAGCACTGATCGCCCGCCAAGTACAACGCTTTATCCTGATTAAGTTTGAAGAAGAGCAACTACTCGCTGGACAGATTGGGATTGCTAGTTAAATCACAGAAGATGAATAGTTATGTACCTAGGTACATGGGACAGGAGCAACAGAATCTAAATGGCATCCAGACGTCAGTGGCGGTGTGGTAGTGGCTTGTCAGACCGCCATGGCTTTCTCTGGCCCTGGCTAGATATATTGCTACTGGCCGAATATGAGAGAGGTGGCGGTGTGGCGCTACTTATTCCCTCATATTATACTCCAAAACTGTGAAGCTGAATATCCTATCTTAAAGCTAGATAGAACTGTGATTGACCGCAGTGGGGGGGGTCTATGTCAAACAGTGACAAGCATTTCCCAAAGAAGAATACAATAAATAAATAAATGAGCAAAATTAAAACAAAGGCCAAGTGCGAGAACTGGCGATCAAGCCGTCGTCTTTGCTAAACAAGTGCCGAAGCGGTTGCTTCCTGAGCGACAAGCTTATGCCTTCGGAAATGCAGAATCGGGTGACTGTGCACCCAGCCAGCCATTGCAGAGTGGTAGTAGAAGGTGGTAGATTTGTATCATCCTCTCTCCGGGTGCGCCCTTAATCTCGCCTTTGCAAAGGAGCGACACTTTTGTCCAAGCCCCTCTTTACAACTCTCCTCGGTCAAGGCATCGCTTAGGGCATCTTCAATGCTCCTGTCAAATAGCTCGCGATGGCGCTACACGTGCAGAATCAGCATAGACTTGCATCAAGTTAACAGCTGAACTCCTCCTGAAGAGATGCAGCATGGTCTACTACACTTATTGTATGTAGTAATGAATGCTGACGATCGGCATGCCCCACTGCATTCCTAGCCGCTTTGGTACGCCCAACAGAACATTCCGTACTTGAGGAAAGGAAAAAAATCAATAAAAATAATAAGAGCAATTCCTTGTATACGAGAAAGTTCGTGCAGTACTTATTTACAATTGTCGTGATCCTTATAGCCTCTTCAAACTGTAGAGTAATATTTATGGCACAGTACCGTGTATAAGTCGGGATGTGGGAGAGGGATATGCGGGTCGTGATAGAAAGCTCATAAGGTATCCCTGGTTCGGAGAGCCCGACAGTGCACCAGCGACATCAAAAATCTCAACAATCCAAGAACGGAAAGATACTTACGTTTTAACCCTGGGGGTTTCATTGCGAACTTCGAGCGTGGGTCCAATCAATCAGGTTGTTGTTGCTCTCCATGGCGGGTGGTCGGAACTGGAATGTAGCCCTAACTAGAATCTAGATAGTCGAATTCCTCGGATAAAAGAACCACTACCCATAAACAAAGAGATAAACACAACAGAATCACGCATGAATAAATTAACAGATGGCGAGAACAGAATAATGGATGTATCTGAACAAGGAGGCAGTACGCAATTCAGTGCGCGCTTGGGCAGCGGGCTGAAGGTGTGTGAATCCGGGGAAAAGCTCCAGCTGAACAAGGCAAAGCAGAACTAACGCTATTCGAATATTGCATGTTGAATACAGCATACGTCAAGACATAGGTATGCTTTTTGTGACAAGGGGCAAAGGAAATGTGGACCACAAACCCCCTCGATCTCTTTCCTGATGCCCTCGGATCTGTTCGTTTACCTGCATGAAAACCTGACTCGAAGCTGGATTCTTCAGTCGTCTGGCATTCTCAGATCTACATCCCATGTTTCGAGAGCAAGCAATAGGACAGTACAAACAGCCAAACACGGCAACAAGCATTCCATATTGAATTTGGCGAAATGATGGGAAAGGAATCCGCCAACCTGATGTATTTGTAAAAAGCCACGAAGCGCCCGGCGTTCCCTGTGGTTCTGTTCTCACCCCCCGATTTAGTATAATTAATGCTGCTTTGGTATATGCCACAGAAATTCTGGTTGCCATGCAAGCAGTAGAGGTGTCATTGGATAGCGGCCCGGTCTCGACCCCCCGTGGGTACGAGTCTCTGGCAGGCCGATTCGTTCAGAATTACAACGGAGGGCAAGCAGCTGCTAGTGCAGCACCCGTCGCAAATAGCGACAACAGTCAAAATGGGCAATATCCAGGAACGGGCTCCCAGGGTTCCACGGGCTCTCAAGGCTCACAAAGCTGGCAGGGCTCCCAAGGCTCACAAAGCTGGCAGGGCTCCCAGGGCTCCCAAAGCTGGCAGGGCTCCCAGGTTTCACAGCTTTCACAGGGTACACAGGGTACACAGGGTTCCCTGGGATCGCAGGGCTCCCAGGGCTCCCAGAGCTGGCAGGGGTCGCAGGGCTCACAGGGTTCCCAAGGGTCGCAGGGGGCCTGGGGTCAGAGCTGGGGAGGAGCGCAGAGTCCTAGTCAGAACGTTGGTGGACAGGCCCTGGGGGCCAGTACGGCCCTTCAGCAAGTTGCGACCGAAAATACAGGTCAATACACCTGGAATCCCAACGGGAAGGCATCTCAGCTGCAGACCAGCACTCAAAACGGAGCCACAAGCAGTCTCAGTCAGTCAACGACCACCAGCCAACTTTCGACCATCAGCCAGACGAGCAGCACTACCAGCCAGGCGACAAGCACTACGAGTGGCACGACAACAACCCAGAGTCAATCGACCAGTACCAACACTCAACCGACAACACTGGAGACTCGTGTCTCTCACACGGCGACCGCAACGGCAACTGGCGGTGCATATGAAGTCGCGGCGACCAGCACCGGCACAGCCCATCACGGGGTGGGCAAGCTCGACACCAGCGCATATGCAGCGGTTGCAGTTTGCGCTGGGGTCGGAATCATCGCCGCGTTTGTCCTGTTCTCGTTATACCGAAAGCGGCGGCGGGCGAAAGCAATAGCTCGCGCGAAAGAGCTTAGAAGACGACATGGGGGTCCGAAACCTGGACACTTGGAAGCAAACAGCAGCGCCAATACCTTGCCGCAGCTCTTCCTCGCGAGTAAAACCGCACTCTTCAGCGTGGTTTCTCTACGCTCATCCAATGAGAAGGAAAATTTTGGCAGCGATCGCGGTCCCGCGGAAAAACAGATACCACTGAATGCCGCTCCTCAGTATGGGAAATCTCAACTCAGTGCCGTGAGTGTGCCAAGGAGTGCTGGGAGTCAGGATGATAGTTGTAGCATTTCTGACGCCAGTACTGTCGCCGGCACTCCCTCTCGTCATCCAACATTCCGGCAGCCTACTGAACTCCATTACGATACCTGCAGCACATCTGATAATACCTCGGACGATGGTGCCGGCGAACATCGCCCAGGACTGTACAGGCGGCTTACGGAGCGGGTCGCGAGCATTCGGACGCGTTCAAAGCAGCCCAAACGAGGGCATCGCCACTGTCTTAGCGCACCAAACGCAATCATTACCGATCGCTTTGCCTCTCCCATAGTGAGACCGGCTCATGAGATAGATCACGATCGCCACAATACTTCCGACGATGACTCTGACCAGAGTACACGCAGCCAACCTCATGGAATTCAGATCACAGAGAACCAGAATGAGTCTCACAGCACGTCGGACGATGAAGCCGACAATTCCACGGCGACTCCCAATGATTCTCGCAGTACCTCCGGTGACGGTGGCGACCAGAATGCTTCCTTTGAGCGTCCGCCACTCAAGACGAGGGGGAGCTTTAAGGAACGTGTCACCGGTCTGGCCAAGCTGCCCAGGATGCCCAGTATAAACTCCCTCTACAAAGCATCCGCCGCATCCTCCATCGAGGAGAAAGATCGCCCAGGGGCCAAACTATCCACGATTCCAGACGATGAAATGGAAGACAACCGGCTTGTCACCTCCTATGCGCCTTCCACCTTCAAGACATACTCCGTTGACATGGAATTCTCTCCAGTCAACGACACTCAGATCAAACTGGCTCTGGGCCAGTCAGTCATAATATACCAGGTCTATGATCACGGTTGGGTATGTGTCATTATAGTGCCACTGCAGTCCTTCGTAATGTGAACTAATGGTTTTGCTAAAGGTACATTGTCTCAACCGCGACACTGGCCAAGATGGCCTGGCGCCGCGAGCCTGCCTCTCGATATGGCCAACCAACCGACCCCCGAGCAACAGAGCTGTCAGCGATGTGACCTTGTATCCACCGCAGATGAACGTCTCTGTCACGTCGTTCGGCTCTTCACGCCCTATGTCCCCAATCACTCGCTTTTACAGCCACCGTTGTCCTTCTTCACCCGCAATTTAAAGTGGCGATTCCCTGTATGCACTCTCGATACCCAACATGTGCTGCCTTTTTGCAGTACATCCGCGTCCATTCTTGCAGAGCTTGAATGATGCTTCTCACTCATTACACCCTTTTCTTTAATGATGTATAGTAATACTAACCCTTCTTCGCAAGTATGCCATTCGCTAGCGAACTTTACTATGTAATATCAAAACTGTTGATAGATAAGCAACGTTTTCCGTAAATGGTTTACAACCCCACGCTCCAATCGCCTTCGTGTGCTATACATATCATCACAATGCGCCATTGTAGAACAACACTGTGGCTCATGGCACCTTTTCTGTGTGGCTGTATTGTGATTCCTTGACGGAAATAGGATTAAATCATCTAGAACACACCTCTAGCCCGACATATTCTGGACATTAAGGTTCTGACGACGACGGCTAAACTCCTTCATGTGCATACGGCTGGGTCTCATGATGTGCCAGAATCCCCGGGCATCGTGTTTGTCCTCTCTGGTATGTGACATTAGACGCCCACTACCGTGCTTGAACCATGTCTCCTCCTTAGCTATCTCCACAGCCGTAGTTATCGATAAGCCATCCTTGACCCAAAATCCTCGCCACCCCGTATCCCGCCCCACTCAATAGGCAACCATCTAGGCTGCGAGGCTTCAGTGGGTAATCATCGAATCCTGCAGGATTGTGATACCATACCAGAGACCTTGAAGAGTCCCTACGATGTGAGTCACTCCGGTTCTGGGGCATTCGGGGCGGTTCTAGAAGATGTGTATGAGTGAAATTGGAGTATATATAAAGAGGGAGTGAAAAGGCTTGAAAATGCAATGTTATATTTGAACGACACAGAAAACAAGCAATAACCATGACCGAAACGACCGAACAACCGCAAACCACCCGCGGGTCCTGTCTCTGCGGGACAGTCAAATACCATGCCACTGGGGAACCAGTTCTCAGAATGATCTGCTACTGCCAGAACTGTCAGAAGTTTACGGGGTCGGTGGGAATGGCTAATAGCATGTACCTCAAAGAAGTAAGTCTCATCATCAAATAATGTATGACCAAACCACTAACATTATATAGAGCATAACCATAACCCAAGGCCACGACACACTTCGCACTTACAAGGATAACGCAACCCATAACGGCTCCACAGTTGAGCGATCATTCTGCGGGAATTGCGGATCGAACCTGTTCTGCCAAAACAAGGAAACGGCTGCGGATTTCTTTATCGTGGCATCAGGCACGATGGATTTGGAAGCTGAGCAGACTTGGGTGCCGGTGGTGGAGTTCTTCTGCAAGGATAGGAGGGCTTGGTTGGACACGAATGTGATGACGAGGAAGCATGAGCAACTTCCAAAGACGTTTGACGAAATCTGATTGTAATTGCGATGAATATCCGGAGCGTGAGATGCTGATGTTGGTATTTGTGAGAGCATTTGTACAGTGAACTGGGCTTGTTTGGGGAGTTGAGGCTGTTTATGCCAGGATGTATTTGATCGTGGGCAACTATCTGATGCTTTGTCCGAGAGAGTCAGGCCTACTAAGGGGCGGTGCTATCTTTTCTCCTATTTTCATGGGACTTGGGGGTGCGTGTTTAAATCATATGGAAGGTATAGAAATACCAATGAAAAATGAACATGTTTTTAAAGGCGAAGGACCGCAAGTGTGAGGAAATAGGGTAGTTTTCATTTGGGTCATAAGTCATATACCACTTGCTGTCCATACTTATAGGACTATCGCAGCATCATGGCTCAGATTAGGACGAGTAGGACTTCTTGTTCGACAGCATCAGATCGGTTGACTCTACCGCAGACTGGCCCCCTCTCTGACCCTTCGATGTACAGCTTCCTTCTAGAAATGCCGATAAACTTTTTGATCGAATTCAATGCTTGCGACGGGAGTTTAGCTTGCACATAGTACCAAATATACATGATAACTGTGAAACAAAGAACAGTATGCAGAAAACGCAATCAACCTACAAAAGAGAGGTACTTGGAACTCCAGGTTTGAAGGGGCGTTGTCCAAAGATTTACGGTATTAGCTGAAGTATTATCGCGAATGTTCCTGGCGACAGCCACGGTTTGCTCAAGCGGTGACTTCCACAATCAACTATGCGACTAAACCATCAATATGGTTGATATCAGATCACAACTTACTGACTACTTGCTGTTCTCCAGAGTTGTGCTCAAATATTCTCGTAGCTATTGTCATTTTTGCGCCTTTAGGGGCCGTGCGGTCGAAGATATAGCGAATGTGTTGCTCTCGCCTCGGCAACAGGTCGCACATCTTGACTCGGGTGAAGAGCTGAAGTTCCTTACGCTCTTCAGGCGAGAGTGCCCTTGATAATTCCACAGTTCTTTGTTCCGAGAAGGCATACGAGGCGCCAAGTAGTCTGTAAATGCGAGACAGATAATGCTGGTTTGGAGAATTCCAACCGCTTGGATCCCATACTAGTCTCAGATCCCAGGGATTCAGCCGGAATCGCACTGCTTGATGCCATGCGTCGCGTGTTTTATATCTTGCCCTCTTACCGCTCACAGCATGGAGGGCACCAGCTGTACCGGCGGCAGCGTGGCTAATCACTCGGTCGGCAACGACATCAACAGGGACTTCATCGAAGGTTGCCTGTGAGTTAGGGTCGGGCAAGCTTGTTCCAATGCGCATATCCCCAGACTTGCTCGATGCTATCCCAGCCGTAAATATGAGTATTGGGGCGGACAAAGGAAGGCAAAAGCCAGGATATGGTACACTTTGAGAAGGTCCAATAATAGATGGACGAACGATGAGCAACTGGTGCAGCGCCCCATGGTCTTGAAAGCGATGAACTAGTAGCCGCTCAGTCAGATTTTTGGCGTACGCGTAGGGCCAAGGGAATTCATTCTCTTCATAAACCCTACTCGTGCCGTATTTTTTGACTTCGGCCAATTCCTCTAGAGCGCTAGCAGAGTTGTCCAGATCATAAATCCGCTCATCAACCTCAATATCACCTGCGTGGCTTGGGCGACCATTTGCGTATGCAGTGGAAACATACACGAACCGGTCAAGCTTTGGACATGAGATAGCAAACTCTCCTATCATGTCACTAGCCCGGATGACAACATCTAACAGACCGGCCAGATGCTTAGCAAGGTGGGTCGAAGATGCCGCATGAATAATAACATCCACATGTGCTCGCACCATTTCAAGATTATCCTTCGGTAGGCCCATGCCTGGCAGGCGGATGTCGCCATCGAATACTGTGACTCTCGCTGGATCGCATAGGGTTTCGATTGTCTCTTCAGATAGCCATTCACTCCAGGTGGATCGCAAGCGCCTACGCATGACAGAGGTTAGCTGTGTGGTTGACGTTGTCTTGGACAGAACTGACTCGATGCCTCCTCTGCAAAGCACGTAGAGGTGGCGGACTTTGCACAGGTTTATCAAGCGATAAATGGTTACTGTGCCTAGAAACCCTGGTGCCCCTGTCATAAAGACGGATCTCTTCTCGTAATATTCCAACATACTAAGTGTACTGTTGTACAGCGATAGATATAAGACCCTAAGCTACCTTCAAAAGCAAATCAAAGGCGCTTCAGACGATGGATAACCGTTGGCGACGCTGTGCTGTCAAATGGTTGTTATGCTTATTCTATATCCTCCCAATAGCTCACGATCAGATCCTATGGACGACGAAATTCTGAGCTGTGTCGGTACATGGTCATAGTTTCAGCATAAACATCTCAGTCTAGAAGCTGTGGACCAAGATGTTACTTGGCCATCCAAGTAAGCCCCGTACTTTCTTGGCGGAGAGTTTGAATATCCTTGCTTGGATATCTATACCGAGTTCGAAACAGGAATCCTCTTAGAGCCAAAAGTGAATTTCCCCGATGTTACATCATCCGACACATAGCGACCATGGTTTACTCGCAGGCTTGATGATTCTAATATGGTAGCGCTTTTTGAGTCTGACAATGCACCTTGCTCAGTGCGAATTACATCGGGTCCATCCTGAGGTTATAGTGTTCTAGAGGTTCCAGGATTACTTATGAAGCCCTAACGTAGTCTGCTTATTGCCCAAAGCACTTCGGCCAGGAGAGAAAACAGGTTCATGGCGGACATGGTGTAAAGGACAAATAGTGGCTTCAGGTCAGATAGGCTTGCCCCTAGGCTGGTGCGAACCCAACCCTTCGTGGTCAAGGTTGTATTAGGCTTATCTTCGGTTCTCTGCTACGCGCCTCATGCCCCTGCCAGGGATACGTCTCTGTTTTGACATATTCCTATAGTTAAACATGACTTTTAGCGACATACACGGCCCAGTCTTGACCAATCAGATCCATGATGGTATCTATGGTCACGTTCGGCTTCACCTGGAATGACTGGGAAGGAAGCTTGTTCTAAAGCTCAACTACCTTCATCATGATATGGAGATCTAGTAGTTAATGTGGCAGCGCAGCTTTGAGACGCTGTCCAGAAAAGTGTGTCGAGGACCTGTCATGGAAGTGGCTATCTAATGCATGAATGAACATATTTACCCTGTTTTCTTCAGAACAGCAATTTCTTCGGCTCTTTCAATACCCCCGACAGTCCCAGTCGCAATTGCCTTTCTATTCTCCCCATCTTGGACCCACTTGAGCGGTCCAGGAGGCAGGCAGTTCTTTGAATCAACCCAGAATAGAGTCTGACGAATGCCCTCATCGAGATCAGGAAGCATGCCATTTTGAAAGACAAATTCGCCTCCAAACTGTTTGGGAATGTTGGTGTGATCCATGCACTTTTCCAACGTGGAGTACACCTGATCGGATTTCAAAATGACCAGTTTTTCCGCTGTTCGCGGATCTACGAAGCCTTTTACAACACTCCAGATCATGGCGAACGAGGGAGGGGCGTTGCACACCTGTGTGGTCAGTATTACCTTCCTAAAAAAAATTCATGCTACTTACAATAATACGGCTAATCGTCTCAGGATAGCACGTCGCTAAAATCCAGCTAATTTCCTGGGCATAGTCCCTCATATCCCATGCCTGCTTCAACGACAGCGCAGACGCATCAACCAGACAAGTCGTTTTAGTCACTGGAAGAGAACTGTCTGGCCGATCAGTCATCGCCGTGCAGAGTGGCAAAATGAACCGTGTCAGGCCGTCTTGAAAAACACACGCTCGCTGTGCCATATCCGGAGATGATGTCGCCAGTGCATCTCCACATGGTAAATTGCGGGTTTCTCTCCATCGAGTCATGGCTTCGCTTTTCATATGAGCTAGGTCGATCATTGTGATGGGTTGGCCTTGTTTGTCGCGACGGCCGGTCCAGTGGGGGTACTACAGTACATGCACGGTCAGAAACGGTCATAGAAAGAGAAAGAAACGTACTAATCTCCTTGTATCTTCATAGTCGTCTACAGAAATGACACTGTAAAACGCATGCACGCTTTTCTCTGCGTGGAATGCCGTTGCTTCTTGGAACTGCTTGAGAGCATCGTGTGGCTTCATTGCCCGTGCTTGGAGAAAGCGTCTACCCCATTAACAGGATTCAATATTGGATCTCCGAGAGTCTACTTACAGCAGAGCCGTGTCATCGTTGATTCCATCAACAACATCGCTTTCACCCAATTTGCTCGGTCGTTTCAACAAGCCTTGTTCGGTGCATAGCTGGCTGAATGACGCCAAGGCAGCTGCCGGATCCGCTTCAAGACTATGCATTTTGTCATACAATTGAACCTGACCTTCCCTAGTGGTCCTGTTATTTCATATAACACCAGCTCAGGGTCAAAACCACTACGGAACCAGCAGTGGGGGGAGTGTGTTGTCAAATGACGTGTAGTCGTTGGACTACTAGCGGTGTGCTGGACCTTCACAAGGTATTTATAGACCGCCGTACCGCCGCCCCTTGCGCCTCGGTTGACCTGCGTCCACAACTTGACACTGGGTATGGTCGATATTCCTGCATCTATGCAGCTGTAGCGCATTGACCGCCACCCAGTGCGCAGCTGAACTGAACGCTGGAACCATCAACCAATCAGAGCTTGTTCAAGGGTATAAGCACAGACAGCCCTCAGGGGTTGGAGTTGGCAGAAAGGGCTTTGAAGCACTCGTAACCCTAGGTACAGACTTAGTATACAACTTACTTCTTCAACAACTTGACTATATAGATATAGGATAGAGGAATGGATACAATAAATTTGGGATTCGGCCAGACCTCATTAAAAACGTCATCACCATCATGTGGCTCATCTTTGCTCTTCCAGCTCTCAATAAACCCCTTCGACTTGGCAGAGATTGAGCAGCAATAAGTCATCTTTTGTGAGTGTCGGCTGCATGGGTGGTACCGCCTTTCCATGGGCTCTGTAAAGATCTGGACGGATAGTAGATACGCCCCCGATGGTGGTTGAGCAATCGGTGTGATTGCCAATGCTGGTGTCAAGATCAAGTGCTATTTATCTGGTATGCTAGAGTTGATCAGGATCGGGGCCGGAGGTTCAGTTTTCGCTCTGGGATCAGCTAGGATCGTGGCATGAGCACGCCCGGTGCGTGTGCTGATTGCTCTCGGATCGCGTACGGAGCAATCCGGGAGTCACTCGCAGATTCGTCACTGACCGCCCGGATTAAATATACTCGGCCCACAAAACTCAGTGAAATAAACATGATTTTGCCAAGTCGGTCCGGACCTCCCTAAAAATTCAGCGGCCCTCGAAATAGCTACGGAATATTGTTGATCTTATTTCCACATATCGTCACGCTGCCCATAATTGGATGATCATTATGGCAGAAGAAAGCTAGGAAGTATCACGCAGTAAATTACTTACTACCGTCCTACCATTGAACAGCAGTCATGTCCGTCTTAGAACATGAGATCACTATACAAATGAGGGCTAAAGAAGAGGACAGGGACGCATAGTCGATTTCTGGTATGGCCGAATAAATCTGAGAAATGGCATATATTTTACTAGTTTTCATGCCTCCAGCAAGCTCGATTGTGGTGCTCTCTCTCCCTATAGCGAGGCGAATTGATATAGACATAGCCAATCCTCACTCTATATCCACATTCCAGAAGTTTAGCAGGAGTCGCGATACAGGTTTACTACGCTAGAGGAAATTGTGGGGGAAAAGCGTCAGAGTAGTTTCGCCAAATGAAAGGGACGTGATACTGTACTTACGTGGAAGGCACTCGTAGAAAGGTCCATGGCAATAATTATAGGAATCCCAAAGCTGCAACTATCCGTTACTTCTACCTGCACCAATTGCTAGGATGTTTCCCTAACACACAATCAAGAGAACTTCCATGTCCTCCTTTCTTATGTTAGCATCGCCCGACGCAAAAAGAAGTTATCAAAGCATTACCAGAGAGTATCCAGCCCTGTAAAACAGTGGAAAAGATCCCTTGAGCCATTGGACATCACGTAGAGTTTCACCTTATTCGTATATGTCCACATTTGTGACGCAGAAGCTCCGTGATGTCAGCGCCCACTGCCAAGTTGTTTGGAGCGCCCTGGAACGTGTCAGATAATTTCCCGGCTCTAGGGTTTGTGAATGCTAAGCAAGTAATCTGTCGCTCAAACTCGAACCAGGAATCCTGGGCTGTTACGTATCTCGAATCATGGTCCCCATAGTCGACCCTGGTGACTAAGTCGACACGAGCACTTTGTGTGGAGAACTCTCTTTCCTTTGGATGAAAAAAAAAGTATCAGATAGCAGCTCAGGTGAGGTCATTCAATGCGGTGAAGCTTCCCACAGGAGGGGCCCCCATTAGAACCAAAGTTCTGTTCCCGCAACGATGTAGTGAAGCAGATAGGATACTAGTCGCGGGGCCGGGTTGGTCAAAGTCAACGGCAAGATTCACACTATGACTGAGCGGACCCATATGTGCGTAGTTTAAGGTGTTGCGGTAAGATCTGGTATCGGGCCTACCTTGGAGACTCGTAGATACATTGAAGCTTGATATCAGACGTGGTACGATGTACAAGGCATTTTCTCCGCCCCTTTTCTACCGACTTGTCTTCGGCCACACGTTGGAAGCTCTGTTCTTTGAGTTTCCTCCTACCTTTGCGGCAGCTAGTACAGATTACTCAAGGTCATCCGCAACTAGGCCTCTAGCGTGAAGTCCATCGTTTGGCTGAGGAGCAGATTCGTTTAGATATGGGGCGGTACACACTGGTTGAAGGGTATACGAAGAGGAGTAAGAATCGATGAAGGGAGGAGGAAAAATGAGGTATGATGACCATTGAACCAGCAGACGACTTCAACAAATTGAATGGAAGACTTACAAACTCCAAGGAATTCCGAGATATGAGGGTACTATATACCCACCACGGGTAAGACTATTGGCCGTAAAAAAAATGCAAGAGTGGAGAGATCTTTAATGCAATGCGATGGAGACCTTTCACAGTACAGGCTCAGCCCCTTAACAAAGAAGTACAGAAAATAAACCAATCTACGCCCAAATCCTACGCAGACGAATCCTTCTGGGCGGCTGTTCGGCTCTCCATGATGCTCTCAATTTGGCTCAAGATACCATTCACATCTTTTTCTGTCGAATCCCATTCCAATTCGATAAGCTGCTGATGGACAGAACTTCGCACAGATAAAACCGCGCTGGAGGCAGCTGGTGGCGAAACTACTCCCTCTTTCATATCCCACGGATCTAGCTCCACCTTAAGCCCATTTTCATAGGCGTGGTTAAAATTATACCCCCAGATCAGCCGTGAGATTGCAATGTATAATGAGTTCTCGGCCATCTATTTTCCCGGGCAAGCTCTCCGACCAAATCCAAAGGTGCTCAAAGGAAGATTAGGGTCTTCAAGCCACCTTTCCGGTCTGAACGCATATGGGTCCCGGAAAATTGCATCGTCCAAATCGAGCGTCCAATTATTTGGAAATATAGTAGCCCCTTCAGGGATACGATATCCCATAAATTCATCAGTCTTGCTCGGTGCATGTGGAATTCCCAAGGGCGCGATTGGGAGCCACCTAAGGACCTCCTTGATGAAAGCATTGACATAGGGAAGTCGCGGCATGTCTTCGAAAGTAGGCATTCGGTCATTCCCAACTGATTCATCAAGCTCTAGTTGCGCACGGCCAATGCATTCCGGATGGAGAACTGAAGCTAGGACAAAGCTTTGAAGCACGGTCGCAGTGGTCTCGCTTCCAGCCTCATAGAGAGCACTCAGAATGTAAACAATTTCTTTGTTGCTAAGCTTCTTTGCTTCTTTCAGCGCAAGAATATGCTTAGACCAATTCTACGCCGGGCGTCTTAGGCCTTCCAGCATTTGCTGTTCAAAAAATTGTACCGTCTGGGCATGCATGCGATCCCCAATCCTTTTCCATGGAGCGAAGCATCGAGGAATGTGATCTAATACGGGATATGCCTCCACGATCATATTCCTGGCCTGGTCAGCAGCCAAGGAGATATTTTCAGTGATCTTGCTAGCTTCAGCTATCTCATGCCGACCTGGTGATTTCCAGCCGTTTCCCGTAGGCCAGTGTAAACATGACACCTGATGTGTAACGACGAAAATGCCCCAGGAAGTCGCTTGATTTCAGCATGTCGTACAAGATTTGCTTGCTTTCGATGACTTGAAGGTATCAGAGCTCTATTAAACATTAACTAATTTGGTTGGCGATCCTGTATAACAAGGGTTTGAATTCTTGTACTGACAACGGGGCCACGTTCCTACAACTACGCAATACAGCGAGCCAATTACTAAGAATTATACTCCTCTTCTAATCCTGGAAACATTAAAAGACCAGTATACTTACAGTTTACTAACTCTATTTAAACCAAAGCCTGGTAAATCTTAAAGCCCTATCTTAGTTGTGGAGCTTCTTCAGTAGTCAGTCTATTATTACTACTCTATCTATCTCTGTAAGGGTATTACTAAGCCAGTTTTAGGAGATCTAAAGTATATACGTGATATTTATCCCGATAACTTGGATACAATGTACCTTGGCCTGCTGACGATGTCCCCCGATTCAGAAATAGTTTACTCTATTTTAGATGAAATACTTGATTACATCGGCGAAGACAGCAACGTGTAGGTTCGCTGTCAATGTCCTCTAAGCTAGATTACAGTGGTAAAGCTAACTTGACACTCAGGCATACTTTGACAAATCAAGACTATGGGTCGACGCAGTTCTAGCCCTCAATGTTCTGACACTATTTTATCAGTATGGATATGGCTACGAGCTCCCTGAGATGATAGAGTGGATCTACAGTGTTTTGTTTTATAGGATATATATATTAACAGTATCCGCTACTATTCTAATACAGAGTAGTTCCTCTACTATTTAATTTAACTTCTTTAAGTGTTGAGTGATCCGATACTCAAGGAAAAGATTGAGTCTTCTCTCCGGATACAGGTAGCTGAGAGGATTGGCACTGCCGATAATATGTGCTGTCTAGGAATACAAGTATTGGTGTGCAATTATCTTGGGATCGATAATTGTCTCGATTGCTGAAATGCAGCAAAACGACGGTGGCTGGGAAGCTTCCTGTATGTATTTGTTTCCCGGGGCTAAACGAGAGACCGGAAATAGAGGAGTCAGCACAGCATCTACTGTCAGGGCCCTCAAGGAGAGGCCTATCTATCGGAACAGCAGCATGGGTATTCCTGGGGCAGGAGATACTATCCCGCGCTAGAATAAGTCATATACCTAAGTCCAAATTGCCAGTGAAGGGGCTACATAGCAATACAGATTTATTGTCCAAGTGAATTCACAAGCTTTCCGTCAGGTCATTCATCTGACCAACGTTGCTGAAAGCCCAAAATGGGAACTGTAATAATCCAGTACAATATACCTTCTGTATATAAACACTCATGTTCTTAGGTATGAAAAATAGCCGTTAATCTTCCTCTGCATTACAACATGACGAATCTGCTGCGGTACCTCTTCGACAAGCTCCGCAACGTTGCAGTGGCTGTGGGTGGGATAGTTGGATATAGAATTCAGAATATGCCTAGCACGTATCTATTGCTTTATATGTTCTTTAGCTGATTTTAACGGCGTTAGTGCTCCGAAAGCTTTCAAAAGTGGCCCCTACCGCGAAAAAATCCGCAACTCACCCATGGGTCACTTTAACACCAGGAAACAAATAGTCAATAAAGTTCGTAATTAGAAGACCATCTGTAGTCACATGGAACACATTATTTCACGCCCACTGTCTAGGCCTCGCCACGACACAAAGACGTCCTTCAGACTAAGATGACAACTGGAGCCACGAATATAGAACAGCGTGTCCATGGCCCACTTGATCACTGCACCCTAATGTCATTTCCTGGGCGTTATCTCTACTATCTGCACAATCATTGGAGATCAATAGGACAGGGTGCCCGACTGAGTACCCAATTACCTGCCCCAAAAGGGTTGGGTGCTTGGCTATTACACTGCCTGCGGACTATGACGAGGTTTTACCCCCCTCGCAGCCGGGGGACAATACTTTTAAAGTAGTACTGCTCCCTATTACAATCAACGAGACGCTGTGTTTCTCCATACAACAGCAAGGGTAACAACTGAATTTTATTGAATTGGGCAACGCCACTATGTCTGCCTTTGAAAACCGTTCGTGGGACTCCCTCCCAGACGCCATCAGTTCATCGGTGAAGACCCTGAATCATGCCTTAAACGGTGATGCTCAGTGGCAAGCCTTTATCAGAACGGATGCGATCTCTGAGCCGGTTGTTATTGGCATTCGGTCATCTGTCATAGACCAGGCAGTATTGGTTACAGTCGGACCTGGCTCCAGCACAGTGGTATCCTGTGGGTCGTCGTCTAGAGGTGACTTTGTCCTGGTTGCTGAGCCATCTCACTGGGAACAGTTTTTTTCTACCCACCCCCGGGCTCCATACACGAGCTTCGTTGGTATTCAGGTAGATCCCTCTTTTCAGTAATGCCATGCCTTCTCGCAAGCCTTGATAGATGACCTAGACTGCATTACTGATGGACATCAAGCTGCATAGTATGAATACCAATCAGGGCGGAGCAGAGATTCGTGGGGATCGGACTAAATATGCCCAGTTTGCGCACCTTACAACTCATCTTCTTGAAATGATCCGCAAGGGAATTCACGGTCCCCTTTCCCAAGAAACACAGACTGTCATCGATGAAGATCATATCACTGGCAAATATGTCTATATCAATACTCCGGTCTGGGGAAAGTCCAAGGTATTCTATGAGTTTAGTGGCGAGGGGCCGCAGGAAATCATGTTCCTTCACACCGCCGGAAGTGACGGTCGCCAGTACCACGCTGTCATGAATGATCCAACCATGAGAAGAAAGTGCAGGATGATCGCGTTCGATCTCCCAGCCCATGGAAGGAGCTTTCCAGGGGAAAACCATATTCCGGGAAACTACACTAACACCGAGGACGCGTACGTGGGGGCAGTCCGTGAGATGGTGAAGGTTTTGAAGCTGAATAAGCCTATTATTTGCGGTGCTTCCATGGCTGGCCAGGTATGCATTGCAGTGGCTATCCGGGCTGAAGAGGTTGGAGCGGGTGGCACCATTCCACTGCAAGCGTGCGACTACTTGGCTATGGAGCGACAGTTTGATGACAAGTCGCCCTTCATTAACCAGTCTCTGTTCAATCCAAACTGGATCTACGGAGTGATGGCTCCAAATACGCCGCTTGCAAACAAGAAGCTCATCTGGCATCTCTATAGTGGTCAGGCATACGGCATCTTCCACGGCGACCTTGATTTCTACCTCGGGGGTTTCGATGCCCGTAGCAGGCTCTCCCAGATTGATGTCAAGAAATGTCCTATTTACTTTCTGACTGGGGAGTTTGACTGGGGCACGACTCCTGATATGAGCCACGCAACTGCTGAGAAAATTAAAGGCGCAGAATTCAAACGAATGCACGGGCTGGGTCATTTTCCAGCAACGGAGAACCCCTCGATATTTGTATGTAACTTCCCATTTTCACCCCCAGTGATCTGCGCTAATCTGCAAGATGAGTAGATACCATATCTCCTAGATGCGATCAATTGGATCCAGAAGACTAGGGCGCTCTGAGATACGGCGGGGGACGACTTGTACCGTTGTACCTGGGCATATGGAATAACTCGTAAAGTCAAGATGAGAAAGTTCACGATCAACTGGGGTTGCACTAGCGTAACCTAAAAATGCCACGAGAAGGGCAAATGGTCGCGGTTGACGCGTTTTGTACAGAAACTTTTGGTGGGGCTGTATACGTAATTCCTGCAAGTCCATGAAGGCCCAGGTCAGTATCGGGTGAAATACTTGGGAGGCCGGAATGGCATTTCTGATTGTAAAAACCCAGTCACAGCTCTAGTGACTGCACCACACATGTATTACTCGATTCAAGACCTTAAGGATGCAAGGATACATACTCTTCGTTCAGACCATCTGTAGATACATTCTGATGGTAAACACCAATCATTTGTGCAGTCTAGACTTCTTCTCGTTACAGCGAACTCTTTATTCCCGGCAGTCATTTTGATAATTTTTCACCTGCTACACAATATCATCGTGCATCGACGTCTGCGCATGCAAGATCCGTGCGTGCTGCCTGTCCCCAGTATGACGACATGGCCGAGTCATGGGCTTTGATGCACTAGGATATACCTCATAGAAGCCTATTCCTTGGAGTCTGTGAGGGCTCTCTCTGGGATGACCTCTGAGCTGTGGTGTAGTAGGAGCCGAGAAATCAAGTTAATGTATGGACCACACAGCTGTGTACGAGTTAACTCCAGACCGATCACTGCTGTTGAAGGTTTGTTGCTAACAGGACTGCTTACCCGCGAGAAGAATCTCCGGGCTGTTGGTGCAGGCCTGCCTTGCTGAGTGGCATGAGCAATGTATCCGTCAGACAGGGGCCACGGAGCGGTATGTATGGAGGAGTTCAAAACTCTATATCATGGACGCATTGGGATATTATTGTCATCTTGATCAATTGTCCTCCTGGATAGGATTCACATTGTCGTTCATGTTGAATTACATTCAGGTAACAAATACGATCTCCGGAGCTACTCCACCGCACCCACTCTATCCTATCCGCGTCTTCGTCAAACGGTTTGAAAACTGAACATCTCCATGCCCTCCCGCGCCAACTTCACAATGTACGCAGAATCAAGTAGCGGTAGAAGTTTTAACTTTGAGCGGTAGATTCAAATGTCCAGCTGACTCTGTGGGACATAGAGACGTATCAAGCTGCTAAGATGCATGCGTTACGTGCGCGGCAGTTGCTTTCGACAGGTGGATGGTGATAGATGATTTCAGATCGAAGAAATCACAACAATGGCGGTGAGTATAAGAACTCACACATCAAACTCCAAGACAATACCAGACGCACCTCCTTGTACCGTGACACCCAACAGTCGGTTGACCGCTCCAGCTTCTCCGCTCCTCGAGAGACAAAGCGCCCAGTTGTGCTGTAAAATCACTGTCATGGAAGAGGCCCTCAGCAATGTCGACGTAGACATCACACGAGGACAGAAGAAATGCAAGGCAACCCCCAAAACTATCAGGAACCTCACGCGTGCTTTTCGAGAATCTCGTATTCAGGCGGTTCACCCGCACAAATTAATTTCACTTCAAGTCATGTCTCCCTTAATCCTACCCGAATTCAAAGGCTCGACAGTGGACGTGTCGATAATTCATGCTGGGCAAATAACCGTGCCCGCGGTTCACATCTTGCAATCTCCTATCCCAGGACATGACCTGCTTGATATTCCTTGCTACAGCTTCCTGATCGAGAACAACAGGAGCCAGAAGGTCCTTTTTGACCTTGGTCTTAGAAAGGATTGGAGGGAGAAGCTACCACCAACTAGTAAGCAAGGCTATTACCCGTGGGTTGGGTGGGGTCCATTAGCCGTGCTGTAGATGAGGAAGTACCATGAAGACTGACGGCAGCCTAAAAGTCCTAGGCCAAATCGAATCTGCTAAGGCAGTTGTGAAGATTGAGCAAGATGTTGCTGATCAACTTTCCAAGGCCCAAATTCCCCTGGAATCAATCAACACTATCATCTGGTCCCACCACCATATGGACCATACTGGGGACCCATCCCTGTTCCCTCCATCCACAGAGCTAGTCGTTGGCCCTGGATTTCAGCTAGACAAAACCACGTCTCTAGGGTATCCTATGAATGCGGACGCCCTGGTGAATGACGATGCCTTCCTTGGGCGGAACTTGGTGGAGCTGGATTTCAGTGGTGCCGTAAACATTGGAGGCTTCCTGGCTATCGACTTTTTTCAAGATGGTAGCCTGTATCTACTGAGGTCGAACGGACACAGTTAGTATCTTTATACAGTGACGACAGGAATTACTAACACTTTCAAAATAGCCAAGAATCATATCAGTGCTCTGGCCCGTACGTCGGAGAACTACTTCATCCTTCTTGGGGGTGATGTCGCTCATCACCCGGGTGAATACCGCCCAACAGCACACCTCCCACTTCCGATAGAGATCAGACCATCGCCACTTGACAAGGCTATCTGCTCAGCATCTGCATGTCCCTCTTATATCTTCGAAAATATATCCCCTGCGAAAGCGAAAGGCAAAGAGGCGCGAGTCACCCCGTTCTATGAGTTGAATGCCGCAATCAATGAAGACTTAGAAAATGCTGAGGCCTCGCTCGATAAAATGGCTGTGTTTGACGGCTCGGCCAACATCTTGATAATCATTGCGCATGATGCGAGTCTTCTGGATGTCTTACCTTTCTTCCCCAAGAAGATTACCGACTGGGATGTGGAGGGATACAAGGAAGCCGGGGCTTGGCGATTTCTGAAGGACTTCAGCGGGGCAATTAGTCAACCTATATAGCCATTGAACTGGATTGATAGTCGTGGTAACTTTTGCTTCTACGTCGACCGAGATGATGATTTTATTTATGAACCGAGTCGCCTTATTTACTGTTACTCTAGTAGATTTCCGGAGTTTGCGTACTTTTGATAAATCAGGTGAGTCTCAAAATCTCTTACACATATATTGTAATGGTTGATGGGCCGATTGGTCCCTATCTATGCAGGAGCGCCTTTTTTGGCTGCGTCCGTCTGTCAGTGTTAGGAGACCGTTATGCTGGCTTGATAGTACTTATTACAAGGAAGTGTAACTGCTGAAGGAAAGTGTCACGGAGGTCATTACACGGACCATGTTCAGTGATAGTGGTGCTTGAAGTCCAGGAGGTTAGGAGAGGTTAGGATCAGTATGATACAGCATACGAGTTACAACTCCTTGCAGTTTCCCATCTCATACAACCCACTTATATCGAAAGGTTGCTCACCGTAAGTTATCCTGTTGGTCTGCCACACAGTATATGGGTCCTTCTTTACTAGGACCCCTTGCATATTTCTAACTCTTCATTCAGGGTGTGTCAGCCGCCCCTTCCGGGGAACAATATACACGTCATGCTCTCGGAGTTGTATACACGCAGCGGTCCATATATCCTACCCGCTGCTGCCCTTTCATTTCAATCGGTGCAACACCGAGATGCATGATTTTCTTGAGCGTCAGCTAGTCCAACCAGCCTGACTTCGTGATTGTCGGCCTTTCCCGTAGACAGATTACTGGCTTTCCACCGCATGCAGTTCTCACCGCCCCTTTTCTCAGACACGATATCGACAGCTGGGGTGTCATGGCGGCGCCGGAGATGCATGGTAGAATCCGATGATGAAGGATATTGTGTCTTCCCTCACCTAATCATATAATATCATCTGTACTGTCCAACCTACAGGCCCAAAAGTTGATGGAGGTATATCACAAAGCTTGCGCTTGGTAGGTAAGCAGGCTATTTGTCATTGCGTGACCCATCGTATTACTTGCGACTTAAGCAAGGATAAAGAACAGTAATTCAAATTTATGAAAAGTTAAATACTGACTGACTGAAACAAGTTTTGACCAATACCTTAGCAGCTTCTCATTCTTGCACGTTTACTCTCAAAATGCAACTATGGGTGGTTGCTATTGTTCATTGTCCAAGAATATGAATGCTCCTGGGGCCTAGATATAAGTTGCCCATAGCTCGGTGTGCTCTCTTGTCTCTGACCTCACCTCGAAATCCATTTGCAAACTTCAAGGCCATACGCCTGCAGTTAGAAATATGATAATTGACCAGGCCTGGGTCTGGATGGCTCTTATGGCGATCGCGGGACTCTTCTGGATAACTAGGATCTTTTATCGTTTATATTTCCATCCGCTGGCAAAAATACCTGGACCTAAACTAGCTGCCGCTTCACATCTTCTGGAGTTCTACTATGATGTGATTCTTGGAGGCAAATTCCTATTCCAAGTGGAGAAAATGCATCAGAAATACGGTTTGTTTCTTTCCCCCTTCTCTTAATTTTCCGTTCTTTTCTTGCTCCTCTCTCTCCGTATATCCCAGCAATCCTTTGTCTAATTGAGTATAGGCCCTATTGTGCGTATCAATCCAAATGAGGTCCATATCATCGATCCCACCTTCTATAACGAGACATATGCATCAGGGATGCGAAAGCGTGATAAGTATGAGGGGTTTGTGCGCTCTCTCGCTGCCGACGAGTCTACTATCTCCACCGTGGGCTCTGAAAAGCACCGCTTCCGACGCGGCATCCTTCAGAACTTTGTCTCCAAGCGGTCTGTTATAGAATCTTCATCAGCAATTAGTGAAAGGGTGGAGAAGCTGATGCGACGCCTGGAGGTATTCGAGAAAACCCAGACCCCAGTGGCTCTTGATGCAGTATTCTCAGCATTGACCTGCGATATGATTACTTATATCTGCTTTGGGAAAGATTAGAAATTCCTAGATCATGAGGATTTCAATGGCGACATTCACCAGACTGGTGTGGATTTTGCCAAATTTCTTTCATTTCAACCGAGTTTTCCCGGGGGTATTCATGACGCTGCGAGCACTGTCTCCACGAATGTTGGCACTCCTCATACCCAGTCGAGCGGCAACGTTCAAATTCCAGGAATCTCTCCTCAAGCATGCAATTGAATTGGCCGCGAACGAACCATCTGATGCCCCCAGCAAAGAAACTGAAAAGCGTCGTCCGAGTGTGATCTCCAACTTGATCAATTCATCTATACCCTATACGGAACGAAGTCGTCGGCGTCTGGAGGATGAACTAGATACAGCACCAGGGTAAGTGGAGAGTGGGCATATTGGGCACAAGCTGCTAACCGTTTTCGTGCTCTATATCAAAGCACATACATTTGTTGGATCACATACTTCTTGCTTATTAGTCCTTCTAAGTCAGTAATCACTCTTACTCGCACTTGTTCATACTTGTTCATTTTTTAAGTAACTATTATAGAAGGGCAACTGATGCACTTGTGTCTACCTTCACGGACACCGTCCAACAGATGTTATTCATCTTTGTCATAGGTGCTGCTACTTTATAGAAAATATGCGAACGCCGTGCCTAGGATGAAGAATCAGCAAGCTTACGATATGCATCTATATTCCGAACATGTCACCAATCAAGGATATTCTCGTTCTCGGGGCTGGAGAGCTAGGAACGCAAGTACTGCTGTCCCTCGCCCAACATCCTCGCGTGAATAACATCGTGGTTTCCGTCCTGTTACGGCCTTCCAGCATCTCCTCCACGCGACCCCAAAAGGTACGGGAGCTCTCGCTACTTGGCGAGCACAACATCGGGATAGTTCCCGGCGACCTGGTCGCAGACTCTCAGGAATCTCTGGCCCAGACCTTCCGCGGATACGACACAATCATCGGCTGTACAGGCTTCGTGGCCGGTCGTGGAATACAGATCAAATTAGCACAGGCTGTCCTCGCCGCTGCAGTCCCTCGCTATATCCCTTGGCAGTTCGGAGTGGATTATGACATTATTGGACGAGGATCCGCTCAGGATCTCTTCGATGAGCAGCTTGACGTTCGCGATCTCCTCCGCTCCCAGACCAAGGCCCGATGGACGATCATTTCCACCGGCATGTACATCAGCTTCCTTTTTGAGCCTTCCTTCGGGGTAATCAATCTCAGAGATAACTCAATTTGCGCCTTGGGCACTTGGGACACTAGGGTTACTGTCACTGCGCCCGAGGATATTGGAAAGCTCACCGCGGAAATTGTTCTGGGCTCGGAGCCAGATGAAGCATTCAACAACCGACCGACTTTCGTTGCGGGTGACACAGTTAGTTATACGGAACTGTTGCGGGTAGTGCAGGAGGTTACAGGGAGGACTTTTGCAAAGAGTGTACGCACGGTCGAGGCGGCGAAGGCCGATCTTGCAAGGGAATCGGATAACTCGCTATACAAGTGTCAGGTGGTCTTTGCGGAGGGTCGTGGCGTTGCATGGGATACGTCTACAACGTGGAAATATGAATCGGGAGTAAATGTTTTGTCAGTTAAGGGGTATGCAAGTCGGTACCTAGGTTAGGATCATGGTCCTGATCGCCGAAAAAAGGGGCAGTGAGAGCCCCGGAAGACAGAGCCAGAATATGATAGCTCCTGAAAATATTCCCTTAAAAGGTATAAGCCTTGGGATCGGCATTGATCTCATCAAAGGATCTGCAAGCCCTAGGGGCAAAATGCGAAACATTAACAGCTAATAAGGGATTGGCGAAGGATAGGAGCGATCGCCAGGGTCAAGCCACACAGGTCTGTCTTCAGCTCCATGAGCTAGTGATTTGACCCTAATATCTAACAATGTGGCCACCGTTAATGTATATAAGGGAGCGCAGCGTCGATCTCAGTTAACCAGCCCAGTCTGATTAGACCTCCCACAAGTGCCATCATAAGCACCACATCCCACTCTACCCGCGCATTTTCCTCACGATCCTAGCAAAATGAAGTTCTCCATCGCTGCAATGTCTCTCTTTGCCCTCAGCGCAGTGGCACTTCCTGCGGCAGTTGTTCGCCGTGGCGCCAGCGCTGCTACTGTCGGCCTCATTGGTGAGGTTGAGGGTTTCCGCGCCGACTTTTACGATATGATGGGCCACAAGACCATTGGTATATTCTATCCATCCTACACATTTCACTCATAATCTAACCTTTCAGGATACGGCCACGATTGCGTCGCGAAGCAGGATTGCGACAGCATTAAGACCCCGATTAGCGATGCTCAGGGTGCTGAGATCTTACAGAAGGACCTCGTCGGCTTTGAGCAGTGCGTGTGCGCGCTGCCCAATGCCAAGGAACTCAACGCGAATCAGTACGGCGCCCTGGTCAGCTTTGCCTTTAACACTGGCTGTGGTGGTCTGCAACAGGCCTGGACCGGAGCGATGTCAAGCAAGAATTTTGCTAGTATCTGCGCTGGCCTTCCTAATGCCAACACTCTCGGGGGAGTTTTAAACACCCGTCGTCAGAAGGAGAGTGCGTTATGCTCCACGCCTACCACCGAGAAGTCTGGCTGCTAGAGGTGTTGTTCTGGGTTTGAATTGTTAAGCCTTTCTACTTCCATTTTCATTACTTGACATTTGTTTCATATTTGTCTTTTCCCTTTCGCTTTGTGGATATTCTCTGTTCAGGGGTTGGATGTGATTGATCAACTCAGACTACTTCTATAACCCTATTCTTCTTGTATTATTACCCCTTTTGCTGCTAGACAATGGCTGTTATACACCAGAGACCCAATCAACCATACCAACGTAAACGTATCGTGATATTGCAGAGCAACTGATGTTCTTGAACTGACTTGAAGAGCTTCAATAAAGTCTTTCCATATTAACTGCTCCGTATATTTTGTTAAACCCCCAAGCCCTAGGAAACAACAGGTCAGAATGTGGTGCCAAGCCAATGAGACACGGCAACACGCCGATTGTGACTGCGCCTTGCTCTGTTTGCCACCGTACTCTCCAGTGCCCAAAAATAATAGTACCGAGTAGTCTCCTATAGTTACTATAGTTACCCCCTAAGTTGGGGGAAAGAAGAAGCAAAGTTAGTTGGAAGGAATCCGAGGGTTTCTGTTATACACGCCGGTGTATCGTACTGTGTGCTTGTTACTGTCCGCTTTGAGCTGTTCCTTCTGATTGGACCTTTTGCACTCAAGCAGAATTCTCGACCAATGGAAACGGCAGTATATTGGCCTGGGAGTGGTAAAGCTCCGTTCTGTGTCGATCTTGAAAACATTGGCCGCAAGGGGCGTAGCAACCACACTTACTCGATACTCGTTACTATGGGTAGCTCTCTATTGTTGTGGTCAGATTAGAACTACAATGAGAGAGGCTGAGTTAAATTCTAAGCGAAGCATTTCTCCATTTTCAATGCCTGATCATGCGTGCCAAACCTCCCTGTTTTCCTCGGACGAAAAGAATTGCCCTGTAGATGAAACACTGCGATTGCAATCGCTTCAAAGGTAGTGGTAGTACACTAAAACATGGCTCTATGTGCTGAAGTCTATATAATAATAATAATAGTACAAGATTGACAACAGCAGCTAGACCCTAGATACCCAATTGGCCGTGGTATCCTGGATCCAGCGTACCAGAAAACATTGCGATATGTATGTAAATACCATTTCCCCCAAAGCCAGGCATGTGTCCTAATTTCGTCCCAAATAGTTTGCATCAAACAGCTACATTTGACTCAACTTTCCTAACATCACACCCATTAAACGCATTCGCTCCCCGCGGATGATAGATCGTCCCACAGTATATCGCACTCGGTCTGCCGTTCTGATCCACCGGCGAGCTGGGATCATGTATAAAAATGGCCCGGAACCGTTTCACATATTCCCATCTCCCATTGAAATATTCCCCCTTGACGATCGTCATCTCTCTGCGGTGGAGCCCCTTGTTCCTATTGCACTTTTTGTGTTGGAATTTGAAGTTCTCGTAATTGGAATAATCATGGGGGAAATCTGCACTCGTGTCAGTATATACCATAGAAGACTTTTCTTTGATTTTTTTTGTTGGCCTGCGGTTGGAGCTTACTAGCTAGTTGTGTACCCTGGCGGTCTAGGCTGACTCCGAGGGAAATGGCTTTGTGGATGTCGTCTCCCGTGATTGTGGCCTGTCCTGTGTTGGGGTGAGTATGGATTGGGATTATGGTGGAGGTTTAATGGCGTACCGCATATGACGCTGAATGAGGCATCGAGACCTTTGATGTTGGCGGGGATAGGGGTAGCCTGTCCCGGGGGAGCAGGTTGCGTGCCAGCGTCACTCAGCGCAGGACTTGGAGGACGCTGGGCAGGAGGCGCAACATTGTTAATCTTGTTAGCAGCATTCAGGTTGTTGACACTGTTGACACTGTTGACACTGTTGACACTGTTGACACTGTTGACATTGTTGAAGTTGTTAGGGGTGTTAACGTTGTTGAAGCCCGTTTCACTGAGGGCAGGGCTTGGAGGCCGCTGGGGAGGCACTGCGACGGCTAGGGAGACGAGATTGAGAGCGACGGCGATCTTCATGGTATTTTTGCATGCACGGGGTGCCTTGAGGAACTGTATCTGCGTTGCCCATGCAAGTATCGTGGGCTGTGATACGCTTATGGTGAAAACTTATATGTGTTACCGGTCAACGGGTTTTGAATGTATCCATGGTTGGTCTCCTGATACTTAGGGCAATGTCAGACATGGCGGGAGAGCGGTTTATAGAACCGAACTGTGTCGCTCTCCCGGCACTGGTTGGCCCTCGGCCATTCATAAGGTAAACACACATGGATATTGGCACTAGCAACCCTGATCTATAATAAGTACATCCCAAATCATTGGGAAACGGCGACCCTGCCGAGTTAATCGACATTTTACGGAGTACTCAATGCGTATGTCCGTCTCTGTGCGTGATTTAGCCAGTTGCCCGAAAACAAAGAGAACGCTCGTCAACAAGTGGGGATTGGTCATCCCGTCTAACCTAGGGCTAAGAATATCAGTCAATAGAATGTATAGAAAGGACAGGGACGGCAAGAGTATAGATGAAAAAAAGCATAAGTCTGTACTGGAATCCACATCCACAATCACGGCCAATATCATACACCGGCTATCTTCGTCGAACATCAATAGCAGGACCCATGAACCAAACCCACGGTTCCGTTCGAATGACATACATTAGTTACGTCCTTAAGTTACAATTTGACCTCGCGTAATAGGATAATGGATAAATACGGGAAATCCGGTTGGTTCCTACTACTGGTTTAGATATCGAATTCGTATAAAGAGATGTGGATGTAAGTCTGACGCCCGATGTTCTTGGCTCTCCACCATCCTCCCGACTTGATCAAAAATAGCAACGATAAATTACCAATAAAGGTCTGAAGGAGCCAAAGTCTTTTTAGATGAGTCTGGCGCTCCAGTAAGACGTGTCCCATTGCAATAAATCGGTGAAACGTAGTTGTACTAAGAAACGTGTAACTGCAAATCGTACCACAAGGCTGAAACAGAGATCTCGCATCAATGTGCTCCATTGCTCCGAGCCCTATCGGAGTTTTCTAGGCTCTGGCCTTGGGGCCGTTAAGGAGGAACAAAGCGATGGGCCAGGTCAAACTTACTTGGACCCCCTGACTCAGCGGTATAAAATGATTCAACTACAGGTATCCTATATCTCTATCAAGACACTTTGCGTTAACTCGTTATATTGTAGTGTCCAGCCAGGCCTCGGAAATCTCTCACATCCGAGAGCCACTCACAAACAGTGTTACATCTCATGGGATGGAGCACTCTGGCTTGATCATTCCCTGATGTAAATATACGTTCATCTCCACCGGGTTGCCGTTAAAACCCTTCAACAGTGATTCCACGGTCCAAGTCATTCGCTAATTGAAGCAGAGGGCTCGGAAGGGCGTTCCGCGGAAGGAGTCTCCGAAAAACCACTCTAAGATCCACTATGCACCTGAAGGACTATTGTTATATCACTAATGCAGTATACGCGTCGTAGGTAGTCATAGCTGAGATGTGCATGTAGAGGGCAGTCGAAGTTAGATTGCATTGATTTATCCTCCAGTTGTGTTACACACTCACTACTTCTATAACGGTATATCTGGAGCGACAGGTGGCTAATGATTACGGTAGAAGTGACAGTCATCTACATAGTACGACGCTAACCAATGAGTCTCGGTTCCTACTCAACAATGTTACAGATTGAGACTACAGAAACATAACCTCTAAATGCTAATTCCACATATTGCTATACTCAAATTCAAAATTGGTACCCCACACACTCTCTTGAAGGACGTCCAATTGGTCAGCCAGGTCTAGTATCTGCGTATGGTTTATGTCGATGTTCTCAACGTCAACAGCCCAACTAGCAAAGTTGTCTGGGGTTGAGGGACGTTGTTCTAGGTCATTCCGCGATACGATATCTTCGTGGGCTCCGAGCTGTTGTTGCTCTACGCGCACAATCTCTACTGTCATCCGCTGCAGGAGGTCAAGTTCTTTGCTCCGTTGTTAGCTGCCAGGTCTCCGTTCGCAATCTGGGCATTCAGCAACCATGAGGCCGTCGAGATGTAATTTTCCACATCGGGTACTAATGACGGCTCGATGAAAAAAGCGAGAACGACGATAAACGCAGAGAAGAAGGCGTTGTCTTGGTTGAATGGGATGAAGGATTCTTGTAGATGTATGTCAGAATGTGTCCCCTTGTAATAGAGCTACTAGGAGAGAAGGTCACTCACCAAGTGACGACTGCTCATGTAGTGATATTAAGGTCCTCAGTGAAATTTTGGCGGATTGCAAAGAAGTCTCCAGCAGTGGTCTGAGAGGTGGGGGGATAAATTCATTTGTCGCTCCGTTGGAACCCCGGGGCTTCTTCAATCGGTGGGTCAGGAAATATAGGAATAGAGGGCGGGTTGCCAGAATGATGCACTATTTAGTATGGGCTCTATGTCAACGATCATGTCAGGTCCTGCGAGAACGATGATTTCACTGACCTGATGGTACAACAGAAACAGGTGGTTGGTCGTAGTGGAAACTGTGCGGAGGGTGGGGTGCGCAGTCCTGGCAGAGACATTCTCGATCTCCCGCAGAATATCTGCAATATCTCTTAATACCGACTGAACTGTAGCGATGAATGATCGCCGTTGTTTACTATCCGCTGTGTAAACGGCTGCACGATGGTCAGTTAAACTATATCACTCAGGTGGCTACAGGATGCCAAACTGGAATGCTGCCATAGCAATGAGTACATACATTTTATAATATCCCCCATAATCCGAGAAAGCTTGACATGGACTGTCAATAGCGTCCCACGTTCTGAAGCATCATAAGATGAAGGCAAAGAGCAGGTAATCTCGCTGTCTTGGATCGAGCACGGTGCGCCCACCATGACTGAAAGCTGACGATCTAGTATATATGTGGTCCACCATATATTCCTACCTTCGTTTGCGAACTTCACGCCGAAGAGATCGATGGGTGGCTCTTTCTGGAGTCCCTCGATGATACAAGTCCGGAATGATTGGCCGACCTGTTGGTTGTTAGTGGGATGTACTATCAGTATGGGTGATAAAGAAACGCACATAAGCATATGCGGCGTCTTTCATATCCACCGATACTAGATACAACCCGGCCAAGTATAAGATTTGCATCCCCAGGTTGGGACGACGTCGGTGCAATCCAACCCAATCTGGCATAAGAGACATGGCACGCTCAAAGAATACAAATCCTGGTGGCGAGCTGGAACTCCTTGACTTAGTGGTGGTGCGTTTTGCAAGGGCAATAATTAGTAGATATTGAATGAACCAAAGAGGCGAGCTCCTCGCTTTCTCGAGGCCTTTTTGGTAAAATTCATGTAGGTGCGGTAGGAACTTCTCCTCGTCAAATAGAAAAAGCATCTGGTAGGAATGAAACTTGGCCACCTCCAAAAGATATAGGGCATCATGGAGGGATGGGAGTCCTGCCAGTAACTGATCACTATCTAGACTTGTTCGTGCCCAGTTCAACTCCCACGTAGTCCCATCAACGTGAAATGGCAGTTCAGGGGCAGGAAATTCGGGCACCGCTGTTTTTAGTAAAAGAAAGACACGTTGAGAGAACGACCAGGTAGATGATGGCCCACAAAAGCCTTCTGCCATTAGTACAGACAGCATTCGTCCATTCCCAATGGATTATAGGTTCACTCACGGTATCGCCCAGGGGTGTCTTGAAGATAGAACGAAGTGGCAGACACCAGGGGGTTCGTAATAGCTTCTCCATCGGTCGCATTCGCGCCGGATACATGCATACCCCCTGTAACTGTTTAGCCTGTACTCTTCGCCGATGCTAGTTTATCTGCTAACCATGCCCGGGCGACAAGTCGGTATTGGGCGCCGGAATTGAAACATCCTCTGAGCTGGCACGTGTGGAGACCTGCCTTTCTTGCTTCCTGGTGTAGGATTCTTGCAGTTTGCGCAGATAACTGACAATTGCATTTCTAAGTAGACCGAAGGTAGGCAGTGGGCTGCAACGTTACCTTTCAGATACGATCACTCTCTTTTCTGCTTGTTTGAAGATGCATTGCAAATCGCGAGCTATACATGACTCACAGGGGTGGCGTCCCGAGCATTTGACCTTCCTCTTCTTACACTGCTCACATCTGTCAAGACGGTCAGTGAATCGCTCGATCAACAAGGCGGAGTGGTGATATAGGTAGAGCTACGCATTGGCCACCTTGTCCAACTGTCTCCTCCGACGGACTCTAGAAGCCATCCTGGATCAATTTTCTGATTTTTTCACCAGCGTGGTGCATCTCTTGATAGGTAGCTGCACTGTAAGGCAAAAAGAGGAAGCAATATGGACAATGCCTACGTATTAACGAGCATAGTGCATAGCTGAGACGTCGAGATTTGCTCGGAGGGGTCTTCCGAATCGACCCACACTGTGATGAGAATTCCTCGGAGACTTCTCCGATTATAGCGGCAAGCTGGTCAAAATAAAATTTACTGTTAATGTTGAACGTGGGCGGCTTAATAAGTTTGTATTTCCTTGTCCATATCTTCGAGGTAGCATAGAAAATATAGATATCCATATATGGTGAACTAATCATTCTTCTTTCCTACGTAGAGTAATATTGAACATTTTGACCGTTCTGACCATCGCAATCTATTCCAGCTGCTTACTTGAATTTCTACTCTCTACTGTCAGCCTCAAGCGCTTACTCCTTCTACATTAAATCTTGGTTTATTTGTTCAGGCGCCCCACGTGATAGGTTATTGATATCAGCATACGTTAAAACTGTTGCCTGAAATGCGGCATGAGAAGATAGACCTTCCCTTGTCCCCTTTTCATCATTCTTCAAGACATCGTAACGACCATGGAGTTCTATCCAAAGTTCGTAATCCTCCTCCTGGCTATACTAGGAATCGCAGGAATATCCATTCGGCGCTTCGTTATCCGCCGTCAGTTTGCACGCCGCCACGGCTGCCAACCAGTCGCGAAATCTGCCAGCAAGGATCCTTTCTTGGGCCTGGATACCCTCCCCGAGACAATCCGTGCGATCAGACAGCATCGGATTCTTGAGAGAAATTGTAGGCTTTTTGGCATATATGGCAACACCTTCAGAGTCAAGGAGCTGCATCAAAATGCAATCGTGACGATCGAGCCTGAAAATATCAAGACAATTTTATCCCTGAACTTCAAGGACTATAGCCTCAGACACCGTTTCGAGCCATTAAAGCCGCTATTGGGAGAAGGCATCTTCAATACCGATGGCGAACACTGGGCCGCATCGCGCGCGCTGATCCGGCCGAGCTTTGCCCGTGAACAAGTAGCCGATCTGAGCTTGCTAGAGAACTTGATGAAGGATTTGTTGGTGTTGCTTCCGCGCAATGGTACCACGGTGGACTTACAGGCACTGTTCTTCCGCTATACGATTGATTCCGCGACGGAGTTCTTGTTCGGCCAGTCTGTTGGCGCGTTGAAGAAGAGCCAGTCGGAGCTCGCTTTCGCAGAGGCCTTCCACTATGCCCAGAAAGCTATTCCTATACGGGGCATGCTAGGTCCGTTGAATGCGGTTTACCGTGATCGAAAGGCTGACGAGTGTAATCGCATCTGTCGGGACTTTGTACAGCAGTTTGTCGACGAGGCTGTCCATGCCGCTGAGGTGAGGAAAGAGCGCATAGAAACCAGAACCACAGAGATGAAGCGGAAATACATTTTCTCGCATGAGCTGGCGTCGCGCACGTCCGATAAGCGGCGTATGGTGGATGAGTTGATCAGCGTGCTCCTAGCCGGGCGGGATACAACAGCCAGTTTACTCGGGAACCTGTTCTTCATGTTAGCGAAGAACCCGGCGATTTGGAAGAAGCTGCGTGCCGAAGTTGATGTCTTGCAGAATCGGCCACCGACATATGAGGAGCTTCGGGGCCTGAAGTATATTCAGTGTTGTGTAAATGAATGTATGGGCTCCTACCCGGTTCCTCTGGTTTCTTTCACTAACTTCAAACCCTCAGCCCTCCGTCTTCACCCCGTCGTGCCCCGTAATCAACGCGAGGCGATGCAAGACACAGTGCTCCCACTGGGCGGAGGTGAAGACGGGCTCTCGCCTGTATTTGTCCCGAAAGGAACCCTAGTCTGCTACGATCTCTACGCCATGCATCGCCGAGCCGACTTCTACGGGCCAGATGCCGAAGAATTTCGCCCAGAGCGCTGGGAAGATGGTAAACTGCAGCCACGCTGGGAATATTTGCCGTTCAATGGTGGGCCACGGATTTGTCTTGGTCAGCGCTATGCCTTGACCGAAGTGAGCTACGTTCTTGTCCGGATGGTGCAGGAGTTCCGCGAGCTAGAGAGTCGGGATCCGGGACCCTGGGAGGAAGGTCTAGCTTTGACGCTTTGTTCGAGAAATGGGACTAAAGTTGGGCTTATTCCATGACTACATGTACATGACCTCTCTTGCTTTGTAATAATCCTACCTCTAGCAGTGCTAGAAATGCATTATACATTAAAAATTGATACATAAGCTTACGGAATACCTTAAGCAGATGAACCAAAGGCCCGGTTCTGCGTTAGAATCTTGCAAATTAAGCCAGCCTGGACAGGGTGAAAGACTGGTATATTAGAAATAAAAGTGGAACCGTACTCGGAGAGCTATGAAGGACCACTAAGTTTTGGCCCTTCCCAATGAGGGTATCATGACGATGCAACTCGAGTCTTGAGTCCACTCGTAGTATTACCGTCTTGCGGTTAGCGTGGGTCGGCTTACGCTCGGGTCAAGTTCGGGGCATCGCGAATATACGGAAGAACACAACCACGGAGCCAGCTTAACCTTCCAATATGATGTAAGTCCGTGGAGACTAGGAAGCGTTGGCATTACTATATTATTTATTCCTAAGCTAATGGGAATCGCTCGCGGCTAGCCTCGACAGTCACAAATGTCATTAATTCTATTAGTAACCCCCATATATCTGCACGAATTGGGGTTTGGCTAAACATCGAGTTCAGCTGGTGTAAGAGTCGTATCATGTACAAGCATTCTCATAAATCCATATGCTATTCCCAGACATGCTCCCAAAAGTATATCCCCGTTAGCCCAGATTGTTGCCGTCCCATGAATGTCACTCGCGCTCTTACGTAAAGGCCAGTAGGAATCGGAGAGGAAGAGGAGGTCTGGCGTAGCCCTTTTATAGCTCGGGCATGGTGGAAGCGAGGCTATGAGCTAGGATTTCCTTCTCGATCTCCTTAGATCAATAGCCCTGCGGCGACGGGTGCTAACCCGTATAGCGCACTGCTGATACTGAAGAGGCTTTCCGCGTGGTTGTCCTCGATCTTGGGGTACTTGTTCGCGTCGCTGGTATCACACTCGCCCCATGGGTTGGTAGTGCTCAGGGTGCAGTTGGCGTGGTCGCCGTGATCATTCTTGAATTGTAGATCGCCGGTGTCCCAGTTGACGGTGACGGAGGCAGTTTCACAGATTTCCTTGGTCTCGATACCCTGATTCCTGCCACACTTCTTCTTGAAAGGATCAGAGCTGCCCTTGCAGCCGAAAAGCTCCTCATCGATGATGACGGTACAGTGTGTCACATATCCGTTAGCTGGTGGATTAGTAGACTTGATGTAGATGTGGGCGCCCGAGATAGTCTGCGCCAGGGCAAGGGTGGTACCGAGGTTAATGAGCCAGGAAGACATGGTGAACGTCGTTGTTGGGATAACTGACGGTAACAGGCGGCCTGGAAGGACAATGAAAGTGGTAGCAGGTGCGTTGGGAACCAACTATGGGCTACCAGAGAGCGAGTTGCCCTTTATAATATAGTGATCATCTCGTAGAGGTTTGCCTTTCTCCGGCGAATCCGGCTCACCATGGTACAATCTTTCACGTCGAGCTATCTTCAATGACTAAAGGTATGTTTGTAGGTGGGCAGAGACTCCACCAATGAACAAATCCCGCAGCGGACGACCCTGGGTGCCATTGCCAGACCCTGAAGCCCTGACGCCATTTGCCGGGCATAGTAGCGGCGATGCAACCGTCAGGATTGAACGCCCTCCACTCTCCATCATCAGGTCTGTGCTAATTATCCGGCGTACCCGGATGCTTAAAATCACTCGCTGTAACCTTGACCACCATTGGAAAGATTCTCACCTGTAGATATTCGAATCAGAGTGACAGCACGCCGCAAAAAAATGCCTCAAGACTACTGGGATCTCACCAAGTGAGATTACGGGAACGCTATCCAACGATATGGATGGTTCTAGTCGGACGGGTTCATATCGATGGCACGCCTGATATGGGTAGCAAGGATAGCTTTGGCCACCACAATTTTCGTATCTAGAAACTTGCCCGTGCCGATCTACCCGATAAGCCAAAGCCAAGCCTTCGCATGCTGGTCTAGTACTGCCTCTCTCTATTGGATGCTCAACTGCAAAGACATGGCTCCGGTCTATTGTAAATGTCACGAGAGACCTGCGTCGGAAAAAAGTCCGAAGGTAGATATACCCAATTTCATCAACATAATTACTGACAACTGATTTTATTATAATATGTTTACCTGTAACTCCCACCTTTTCACATAAGAAAATCCCGTCTATAACGCGTTCCAGAGTCTGGCTGAGCTTCTTGATCGACCGTTCAATATCAACCAGACAATCAACATCAACATACTGTATCCATTCGCACTGCTCCCGACAGCCCACCCAGTAAGATCCTAACTAACCCTTCAATTCCGAGTAGTTTCTTTATACAGCTCGCGGATCAGGTCTGCCAATCGCCGAACTTCATGCTTATACCAAGGCATGGCGTGGTGATAATCAACCTCATATACCTTGGATGTACCCGGTTCATAATACATCGCATGTTGCTGCTTTCCCAATTCCAAAAACATATCCTTCAGTCCATGGACATGTAGCGTCGGTATCTTGATCAACTCGGTCGATCCCATGGTGGCAAACTCTGTAACAATTCAATAGTCAACATGAAGATCCAGATCACCGAAAAAAAAGCCAAGGCAAGAGGAGCATACGATGACCGATCTCCGACACCATGGGTGCACCACCACCCATACACAGCACCCCAAATTTCAGTTGCGGAGTACTTCCCAGTTCCCCCAACGACGTCCTCTGCTGTTGATCCAGCAGCAGCCCACTGGTGATGCGGGTGCCCTGGCTGAATCCCATCACTCCGACCCATTCCCCACCGGGCCCCGCCGCTTCCATCAATTTCCACACCCGCTCCACACCGTCCCGCCCCGAGATGTCGTATCCACCCCCATCACTCTGCTCGACCTCCGATCCGTCCCTCTTGAACCATGACCGGAAAGGCTTGTAATCACGGAAAGCGGGCAGAATGCCTGGTCCGGGTCCGCTTTCGAACGGCCCATCGAAGAAAACGAATTGAAAGTCATTTTTGAGCAGTCCGGCCAGCTGGGCGCATTGAACCTCGTAGATGGCGCCCTTCGACCCACCACCGTGGAAGCAGGCGATGCGCGGCAGAGACCCGGTCATTTTAGCTATAGCGGCGATGCTATAACGGTTAGATGGTAGGGTAGGGTGGGGATTTGGGGGGATATGAGTGTTGATCTGGGTTGGAGTGCGGGGAGGTGAGAAATCAATTCAAGTCGGTGAAGGGGTTGGCCCGGTCATGTGAGATCAGACGCAATTCATATCCAGGATTATGCATGATTATCTTAGCTTATCACATACAACACTCTTGCCGAAGTTGATTTTGTCGTGTCGCTGGCAGGTGGCTATATAGCATTCTGAGTAGTTTCCGTTTACTCACAAACGCTGGCGAATATCCGAATCTGTGCGACATTCAGAGAGGACAATTGAATGGGATGAAGGTGTACAGACTGTTCACGTAGAACTTTTGGAAAACATATCTCGTGTGAGCCCGCATCTGGTAGAGTCATGTAGGCCGTCTTGATCGGCTCGAGAAAGTCCGCTATTTGGTCCAGCAGGCCTAATTGATCCTGCTCCGTTGGGCATGATAATTAAGGGTTTCTCTGGGCGAGGGACATCTTCGTTGCGCTTTTCGAAGATAAGGTAGTTGATACCTGCTCGGTGGAGACAGTATGCTAGGGTAAGTCCTTCGATGGATTCTCCGACGATGATGAGCTTGAAGTGTGGCAGGGGCATCGTGTTTTTGGTTGGGTTACTTGGGCTTCTTTGGCCAGAATCCTCCGTCGAAGGCATATTGACAGAGATGAATCGAGGTGTTGAGTTGAAGTGTATATTCTTGCCGTGGCCCGCTCATTCTGTACGACATTGTCACCGTGACAATGGCTTGGGCTCGATATTTTGCCTGGTGTGGGTGTGACCCAGACAATTTCCTAATTCCCTACCCACCATCCTGTTTGTAATAGACACCTCTGTGGGATGAAGCAACTCTTGTCGAGGTCCCCTCCGCGATGGAAACCTTATTCGGGGATAGATCAAGTCTCCGTTAACAGTTTGGCGGCATTGCGATTACATTGACACTGCGAGGAATTTGTAGGTGACTATTTGGGGGTACTACTTGCGTCGTCGTAGATTCGTGTTCTACTCGAGAAATCCGTTATCAATAGATTGTTTATTAATTTAACGGGCAGAGTCATGTAGTAAGGTGCGACATTTGGGATAGTTCAAGATAAACCTATATTTAGTCCAGATTTGAATTCTCTACCGAACTATGGGGCCTTGACTGGAGCACTGTGCATCTCTCCTTACTTTCTTATCTTCAGATGATCAACACACCACTGAGTAAAATTTCTATTAACTGTTTCTGAGCATACTTAGATTGTACCGTGCCATTGATCACCAACACGAAAGCCCTGGGGGAAAGGATCCTCAGAGTCTAGCACGACCGTCTGATAACCGGTGATCCACGCCCGACCCTGGATAGTTGGTAAGACGGCCGGGTAATTGGCAACATGAGTCGTTCCCCTGATATGCGTGATGAACTGGGTTCCCAGAATACTCCGGTGCACAAACTTCTCCCCTACGGCAATCTGTCCTCGAGCATGTAAGACGGCCAGACGTGCCGAGGTACCTGTGCCGCAAGGGCTTCTATCGAATCTGCCTGGAGAAGTAACAACCGTATTGATCGCCGTCTTGCCGCTGCCATCCGGAAGCTCTTCGACAGGCTCGGTGAACTCGAGAACGCTGTAGCCAAAGATATCGGGGTTCTCGGGGTGTGCCGGGGCGTAGGCTGCGCCAACCGCCTTCTTGATCTTCTCGCCAACCTCGACCAGCTTCGGGCCATCGGCGTTCCGGATCCTCAGACCAACGGATATCGCGTCGACGAGTATATACATCATGCCTCCATAGGCAATATCGACTGATATAGTGCCCAGGTCGGGAACGTCTATCTTGTAATCGAGCTGGAAAACGAACGATGGCACGTTATCAAAGGCCACGCTCCTGCATTTGCCTCCCTGGCATTCAGCCCTCACTTTAACAAGCCCAGCCGCAGTGTCAAGCGTAAGCTCCGTCACGGGCTCTTTCATAGGGATCATGCCGGTTTCTAAGAGCACTGTGACCGTGCATATACTGTTGGATCCCGACATCGGTGCATATTCTTCGTTTTCCATAATCAACAACCCGACATCAGCGCGGGGATCGCAGGGAGGGAGGACCAGGTTCACGTGCTTGCCCGGCCGTCCTCGAGGCTCGTTGAGGAGAAGAGACCTTACCTCGTCTTGCTTGTATAGGAAGTGCTGTCGCTTCTCGAACATGGTCTTTCCAGGGACGTCGAGGACCCCGCCGATGATAACATCCCCGACTTCCCCCTCGGCATGGCATCCGACCACGGAGATGGTTCGTGACGTAGGCATGCTTGAATGTTTGATTTGAGCGATAAAACACGAATTCAAGTCGTATCAAGTGAGGTGGGAATTCCAATTGTATAGCGTCCGTTGCTCCTCTCGATTATTTATATGCTGTAACGGCCGGAGCACGTCCGACCCGGAACCCTCATCCGTAGTTCCGCTGCCTGAAGGCAACTAATCACTCGGGACAAAGAACGATTGCGATCATCTGCAGCCACTCGAAAGCGGGCAAGAAGCGGGCGATCGTGGAAAGATCAGTCTTAGTATGGGTTTATGAAGCTGCTAAGCAATACTTCTTGAATTTCCCCCGCTTGGGGCGGGGTTGCGGTAACTAAACTAGATTCTGTAGGTCTCTATATCTGACATATTTTTCATGCATCCAGCCCGAATGCGATATGTTAGATAGAAGGTTCCAAAGAGCTGAAGATAGATTGGTCAATGATTATGTGAGATTAGGACAATAAGGCAAGTGATACCGGGTTGCATTAACTCAAAGCAAATGAGCTCGATGTCATAAGTGACTGCCTTGATGTTCATAGGCATTGGGCTCCACTGTTGACCCATGTTAAAAACTCAAACCGTTGTCAGAATTTGACATATACGAGGAGTCCAGGTGACGAAGCAAAAAAAGTGAATTTTGGGTCAATGTGGCTATATATATCTTCGCCAGATGTGAGGCTATACAAGCTTCTCGTGGTCGCAAAAGCGAAAATCATAGCATATGGAGACACCGCACGAACTACACAGCCTTGACATTTGAGATCACCGACACTACTACAAACAGAGTATAGACACGTACCCTTACTGCGTCGCAGATCCAAATAAAGAACATCCGCACGTTTGTACCCAATAGCCAAGACCCAATGCGCATCCACTGCGCCAAGTCGCATGCCACGTAGGCAGACACAACACCAGCCCAAGCACCAGTGGAATGGCGTTACGATGCTCCCAAGTCTAATAATTCAGTCCTACTTACCACGGTCGGAAATGGTGGCACAATCTAACACGATCGGAGAAAAAAAGGAACTGGTGAGGTGGCTGGTGAATTGACCGCTACTTCATATCGACGGACCCATTCGACACGACACTAAAAGCGCCCACTTCTCGGTCCCAACATGATACAAAGCCCTCCATGACGACAGGAGGCCGTTTGGGATTCCACCACTTCTCCCGGCCATGATGCCCTTCCTCCCCATCTTGCTCGTCCTCGCCGGGCTCACTTTTTTGTTTCGGCGACGGCGATATAAGGCCATCGAGCAGGACGAGAGTCCTCGGGTAGTCGTTAAAGGGCATACCTATTCAGATAACGTGGAAGAGATAGAACTACCGCAGTTACGACGCGAGAAGGTCGAGAATGTTCGGAAAGCTTGTATGATAGGCGCGGGATATGTGGGTATGCATCATGGCTTGTGCCGATTAATTCGTATGGTCGCTAATCTATTTCCTCAAAGGTGGACTGACGGCCCTGGTGCTTGCATCACAAAACCCACATATTCAGTTCTCTGTCGTGGACAGTGATGCTCGCCTCATTGCCGCGTGGAATTCGGATCGGCCACCTGTCTTTGAACCAGGACTAGAAGATCTATTATTTGAGCCTAATGATCCACCGCCATTGCCGACGCCGTCGCCATCACCAAAGCCAGAGGCCGCACAGGATGAGGATTATCTAAAAATTTCAAGTAATAGTACCAACGATGCGGAGCTCGTCGCTGTCTTACCGCGACGCCGGAAGCTCGCCAATGTGAGCTTTTCGACTAATATGCACGAAGCCGTGGCAGCGGCGGACATGGTCTTCCTATGTGTAGACGCGCCATCCAGTATCATGGTCGGAGACAAAAGCGATATAGACCTATCCCGCCTGGAGATCGCCATCCAAGCGATCGCCCAGGTTTCCACAGGCCACAAGATCATAGTCCAGAAAAGTACCGCTCCGTGCGGTATTGTGCCACGACTCAAGAAGCTCGTAAGTCTCATAGAATCGTAACATGTTGTATCCCTAACAGTTGTAGTTGAAAGAAACGGCCTCGCCATCGGCATCTTTCGATGTTCTTTCCAACCCCGACTTCCTCGTCCCTGGCGCAGCAATCAGAGATCTCCTTTATCCTCCCCGCGTGATCATCGGACACGTCTTCTCAGAAGATATGTCGCCCGAGGCATTAACGGCCCTGAAACGATTATATTCTCCATGGGTTCCGGACGATCGCATCGTGACCATGGATGCATGGTCATCGGAACTAGGAAAGCTCGCGGCCAACGCTTTGCTCGCCCAACAGATCAGCAGCCTCAATTCCCTTAGCGTCCTCTGCGAGTCAACGAACGCCAATATCAACTATGTCTCGGAAACTCTCGGATTGAGTCAGCGATCGGGACTAGGATTCGGCGGGTCGAATCTGCAATCGGACGTGCTGTGTTTGGTGTATCTGGCGCGGGAGTTGGGGTTGCAGGAGGTTGTGGATTACTGGATGGCGGTCCTTCGAATGAACGAATACCAGAGACATCGAGTTGTGAAACGCTTGATCACCCGACTAGGGGACGTGAAAGAGAAACGAGTAGCGGTACTCGGCTTTGTGTCCAAGGGAAATGTGATGGATACGCGGACCACAACGGCATTGGGCTTGGTACGAACATTAACCAGCAATGGGGTGCGCGTCAACATTTACGATCCGCACGTCCAGGCCGACCGCAGCGAAAGCACGCTGCGACTCTACGACTGCCATCCAGAAATGGTGACGGTGACCGAGTCCATTGAAACGGCGTGTTTCGGATGCAGCGCGTTGGTGCTCCATACCGATTGGGAGGAGTTCCGCCAGGACCGGGTGCGATGGCAACGCATCGCTGGCCATATGGCGAGTCCGAAGGTACTCTTGGATCCTCATGGCGTCTTTGATGGCTTTAAGATGCAGCAGTGGGGATTCGAAGTGTTGCAGGTGGGCATCCGGAGTGCGAAGGTGCTGTGAGCTGGTATAATATTTAGTGTATTGTATCATGTATGCATTATGACGGCGATTTTGAGCGACTTGATTGATTTTATAGCATTCACGAAACTACTAATGCATACATAAGTCTCCTTATACCATAGTGTCGCTAGCTTTGACAAAGCTTATTTGATTCTAACCGGGTTGTGTACTTCACTCTGTCTAGTTTTTATTAAAGAAAACAGTGGATTGACTCCTAGATAAAACAAGTATAGTAAAAGCTAAAGAATGTAGCATATTAGAAAATGATCAATATATTTCTAACAGATGAACTTTAATCTTGGATTGTATTTATGTATTAGTGAATATTTGTATTATGATATATTTTCTATTCTTTAATTTTTTTATAATATACACAGCGATCGTTTTTATATTAAAAATGTTATATATTTTTTTTTAAAGAAGCTTTTCCAACATGTCGACTACATCCCCCCGGTGAGCTCACCTGTGTTCTGCTTTAGAATTGCCTTTCATTCCTGACGCATCAAACCCCCTTCTGGCTTATCTCGCAAGCGGCCACGCAGATTATCTACGCCTGGTAATTTCCAAGGAAATAGCGCTACGAGATGCTGGTACCAGCTATATTCAAGCGCCCGGCCACTGACGACCCCCAATGCCCCTCTGCACGGCTATCGCGTCGAGTCGCTGTCGAGTCTCGCGCTCACTGTAGATGGTCAGTTGAGCCCAACTCAATTCAATCAATGATACGCGACAACAGTCGGGACCGTCTATATGTTCCTCCGGAAGCCTGGACTTTGAGGCAACTGCGGCTATTAAATTGCCGGTTCACTGTGCAAAAGAAACGCCAGCTGAAGGAGAGCCTACAGTCGCAAGTGATGCTAGCGGATTCGCCCGTCCAGGATTTCCGAAATACGCCTTCCAACCTTCCTCGCGCGATGACGCAGTTTGGAGGACGAAGAACGCTGGAGGTCAAGAAATCGGCCCTCAAGGAAATCCTTGGCGCATATGGTATCTGCCCTCTTAGGTAGTGGACTTGCATGCCGGCCCTCGACCCACGTTGCTGGCAGCCGCAGTTCTGAGCGGTTATCCTTTTACTTCCGCCGGCAGCCAGTCACAACTGTTTGGACGGAGGGCGTATTCTCCTGCAACTCCTCCGGTCCGTCCCTCGCGTATGTCATATTCGATGAAATACAGTCCCGTCGAAGCAAGTAAGTACACAACTCACCGGGAAAGCCGTTCAACGAGCCTGTGTTCAACACTCGCGATAAAAAGCTGTGGTCTCTTCAGCCAGCGAATCCCGTCGAAGATCCATACATAATGGGAATTCTAATTGCACTTGCCCAAGCGCAATGGCGGCATAGACAGAGAAATGGGCAGCACGGGGAAGGAGGACACACAACCAAGGGCACATCACCGAGAACTCCCTCACCACCCCATTGCAGCACAGGCCGAAGCCCTCCTGACCGTGGCCAGGGTCTCAGAGTATGTAGCACATCACATCAATTGTCCGTCATGGTTTGCTGAAGACGTCAAAGGTCAACGTCCTTGCCACTTCTGGTGTTGAAGACGACTGCCTATACGTCTACACCGCGTCTATCTCTGCCGCGATTCTCGGCAAATTTGACGAACCGTGGCGCTCTTCATCGAATGTCCCGGTTGTAGTTGCATACTATCGTATCCCTCCTAAATCCCCGATAAAGCCGTTGAACAGGCTGCACCGAGTACTCTGTGCTGGGTCGTCTCGCTTTTGTACCGGCGATGGATAGAGTCGTGAAGCCCACCGAAGAATCACTGACAGATTGCAAGAAGCGGCGAAGAGACTCAGAAGCAGGAGAGCTGCTTTGAACAGAGGACCTGGTAGATTGGAAGCGGATGCGAGGAAAACTTAATCAGGGCATGACCAGGCAAATAGAAACGCAAGCTCCGCCATGCTCCCTCTGGATCTGCGCACTGGCTGGAGCTAAGGAATATAAACGCTGCTCAGGCCCACTCGAACTTTCATATTTTATAAAAGCGAGAGAGCAAGATAGTAGAAATTCTCTATGTCTAAGCCAGAGGTGCCAAGTCACTGCACAGCTTTCAGTCATTGTATAGCCTCTATTAGAAAGCGATTTTTTCGCTACTCTCCCATTCAACAATCCCCGGCCTCATTTGATGTGAAAAACATGGAAATCCGTGACAAGGAGAGTACGTCACGCAATAGTGTATAGTAATGATAACTACACCTCCCCAGCATGTTTCCTAATGTACGCCGCAACCTGATCAGGGACAACCAACCAAGGTGTATGCGCCGTCTTAATCTTCTCCGTCTCAAAGCTGGCCCCCTTCGCCCTTGCCTTCTCCACCATCAAATCCTGCACAAACAACGGAATGGCCCGATCATCCTCGCACAGAAGATACGTAGCAGGAATGTCCACATAAGCCGTCCCAGTCGCAGGCGAGTTCTTGGTGGCCCACGCATGCGGGCGCAGCGTTTTCGCCCACTCGCGTCCATCCGGGACATCGTGAAAGAAGAGCGTGAACGGATCATCCGCCGTCACTGTCGCATTCTCGGCCTGTTTCATACACTCAGTCTCATGTACTGCAGTAAAAAATAACAGATCATCGTGGAAGACTTACATCCATAACATACCACTCCGGCGGCACACCCCCAAAAGCCCCAATCAAGCTTTCTCCGATATCCGGCAAGAAGGCCGAGATGAAAATCAGCTTCGTCACGCCTCCCTCTCTGCCCTGCTTTTGTCGTTCTGCGCGGCTTAGTCCCTCGAGCGCGCTGTTTACTGGTAGGCCTGACCAGCTGTGCGAAATTATGATCACATCCTGACCGGCGTTCACGGCTGGTTCGACTAGTGCCCGCACGGCCTGGATATCGGCTGTTAAGTCTTTGACTTCCGTTGCTTGTTGGATTGAAGGGAAGGAAACTGTTTGGCAGGTGTAGCCGTGTGGGGCCAGTTTGGCGATGAGTGGGTCAAAGGCTGATGATGGGTACCAGGCTCCTGGGGCGAAGATGAGCGTTGGCTGGGACATTTTGGACATTTCTTCAGGATACGGTGGTTCCAAATGTTATAGGGCTACTCCTTGGAAATGTTCAGGGAAATAGTAAACGGAAGTCGTTGAAGAAAGCCGAGCTTAAATACCTCTGTCCCGAAGATATCCATGATCTGATAGTTTAGCCCCCAAGGGCAATAGCCAATAAGCCAGAATTTTGGGGGTCTAGTTGAGAGCTAAACGGTGTGGTGGATCAGACTCTCATATCGACATCACACTCTGTATTGGGTCCGATTGGTGCTATCGTGTATAGTTCACGACTAGTCGTGAGGCTAATCTTGTGCAGGAAATGACCACGTACGCAATGACACTACTCTCACCAATGATTTATATCATGTCAGAGCTTAGTATAGATAATGGTCTGTTGATTCGGCAGTCTAATTTCTATCTATAATTGGGACATTCAAGCCATCGAGGCTTTCGATAATGAATAGCATCACTTCTCACAGCCTCCAGTCAATCAACACATCTACTCTATAGCCCTCGTCACAGTAATCAAGCTTAAACCTATCTCAGAGTTTGGGCTTCCTCGATAATCTGCCGATATGCTGTTTCCATTTGTCATCGACCGTGATCTTATCGCGACGCGGTATAGCACTCCACCTCTGGAGGTACGTCTGGCGCTCAGCATCCCATCTAGAGAGCTCGGCATCGCTAAATGTAGCAATCGCATTGGCGCAATCCATAACTCGTTCCATTGGAACTAAATGTCCTGTTGGCAGCGTCACCTCCTTCACTCGTTGCCGACTAACGCCACCGTTTCCACCAACACCAGTACCTGTGACGTCCATCTTGGCCTGACGAGCAGCGGGCGACGATAGTTCAGAACTTTCTCCAAAGATGTACAGAACGCTCGGTTTCATCTCGCCCAAACGACGGAAAAGCTGCGCCGGTTCTGGTCGGTAAAATGGATAACTCTCCTCGAAATCGTCCGGGTGCATCTCATTTTGCCATTCACCTTGCTCAACATCTACTCTTCCTCTTTCGTAAGTGGGTCGCAGAAAAGTAAATACTTCCTGGGCTTTGGGGGTGGTCAATGTCACCGGTTGTGAGCCGAGTTCAGTAGGCTCCGGATATATCTCGGTCGGCACCTCGCGGAGTCCATATTCCACGTATTTTTCAAGCACACGAGGCTCCCATTTCTGATATACCTTGTTGTTTTGAAATCTTTGTATTGCGTCTTGCTTTGTGGCCCATATGTCGCGTCTGTAGCTCGATGGAGGAGCATAGTCCTTGCTGGGGTTCTCGGTCTGAATGACGGGATCAATCAAAACAAGAGCCTGGAAGAGTGATGAGTGCAGCAATGCTAAGTTTGCTCTAATCCCATAACATTAGAGCTCCGAGCACATGAATGTATACAGCGGGTATACATACAGGTGCATCCCACCCATGCTATGTCCTACTCCGATGATCGGATGGGGCATCTCATCTTGATACTGATTGATCAAAAAGAGGAGGTCTCTCGCGTGGTCATTCCAGCTAGCTGAGGAGCCGTCAGCTGAGTGAACCTATACATTGGCCAGGCAGGAAGACACGAACGATCATTGCCAAGAATTCTCTCGTTCAAGACACTACTCTGGCCTTGGTGAGCAACATCTGCGATCCATATACTCCGAATGTTCCTGCCCATAGACCTCATTCGCTGTTCCAGGTCATCCCATAATGGCTCGTACATTTCCTATCATGGTCAACCTGCGGTTTTACGTTCGCGCGATCGGCGATCTGTTACCTTGGGAAACCCATTTGCGTGCGCACCAATGATCGTGACATCTCCCGGCGATGGTTTTTCGTTCGATTTCGGGATGTATTGTTTTACCGCCAGACGGAGCTTGTTAGCCTGCCCTGGTTCCGTTGCGCCGAATCGGTCTCGGATATGTTGGGCTCGGACCGTGTGCTCGACCACCCGAAACTGCGACATGGTTCGCACGAATGGTTTGGCTCTGAGAACAGTGTTTCTCCCTGTGAGGGACGTAACTCTCCTGGCGTTATTTCTCCACGCAAGGACATTCATGGTGAATTTCATACCCTTGTGGTGGACAGAATACCAAATGGTTGGGGAGAAAAACCACCCTTCCCTACAGCCGAGGCACTGGGAAGGCACACCCTACGCCCTATGACATTGGCGTTCCCGTTGCGCTTTCCCCGGCGATAAGCGCCACTAATTGGCGGCAGTACCGGGTGTGGATACCACATGTGAGGCCCTCTTTTTCTTTATATCTTCTTCTCTTCACTAAATTTAACCATAACTTCTAAGTATTGTACAGTAGTTGCTCCTCCTCGGGCCGAGAGGTTCGCAGATTACAGTAACTGCTCTACACATGTGAGATACTGTCATCCAATCCTTCCAGAAGCCTGGTTTTATTTCAGTATGATCGAATAGGAGCATCGGAAAGAAGTCCGATATGTCTTAAGCTAGGGGAGCATCCGGAGAACCCGTTGCCATCCTAAACTAACAAATAAACCTCGGCATGACAATGCTCTATAACCATCAAGAACGCCATTAAGGAATCATATTCGACTTGTGTATATGGTACCGGTCTGAAGCGTTCAGAAGGCAGGTGTTCTGCATATTATCACATGGGTTTCACATGAGTTCATGTCTAGTAACGTCTTCGTTGCGGTGGGCCAATATCTCCTAAGATACGTGAGGCATAATCTGGTCCAAAATCGTGTGCGTTCGCAACAATGGCCTGGTAATCTGGAAGATGAGACGAGCAGAGGTTATCTTTCCGCAGGGGAGATGTCAGATTAAGCTTTCAGGGCTAGACGGAAGACGTCCACTTGGATTTAATGCTTCTGACTTAGGGCAAAACATCGACACCCTCCTCTATCTGCTCATTACGGTTTGCAATGGTAGACCCGGCGCGGAATCGGCATGTTCTGTATTTCCCATTCACGCTCAATTGCCTCACTCATGCATGTGGGGTGGAAGGTGAACGGCCTATGTATCGTATCATTTACACTACATAAGACGGCGTTCTAAGCCTCGATGCAGAATAACGCTGTCCTTCACGTTCGACAATCTGACCAAAAACAATTAATAGATTGGGAGTTCATCAGCAACTACATTCAGATTCTATAAATTATCCTGCTCTAGGCAACCTCCCGGTGGGATGCATCTGCTGCCTTTTCATCCGACACACTCTGCTGGCGCCGCGCAATCTCCTCTCCAAACTTATCCTGGAGTTTGTTCGACTGCCATGGCTTCACGTTCGACTCGAACATCAGATCGATTTCTTCAAGGGACCGACGCGATGTCTCTGGGTACAGGAAGAACACATGGAATGTCATCACCGTGCAGAACACGCCGAAGATGATGTATGTCTTCCACTTGATGTTGGTGAAGGCAGGAGCGACGAAGTAGGCCAGGGCGAAGTTGAAGATCCAATTACCCGCGGCCGAAAGACCGACACCCTTCGCACGGTACTTCAGGGGGAACACTTCGGAGGCGTAAATCCAGGCGGTAGGGGCCTGTCTTCCTGTCAGTCATGACTCAGATACCATTTTTTTACAAGGTGGAAACATACCCAGGTGAGGCCGTAAACGCCGACAAAGATGTATGAGAGGGCAATGACGGCCTTTCCGGGAGCTCCTTTGATCTCCCATCGCAGATTCTTGTTACCATCAATCTCATCGACCGGATTACCATAGCTGGCCATGACACCGGCAATGGCATAATGAAGTATCATGCAGGCGACGGCACCCGATAGCAAGAGAAGGCGGCGGCCAATGCGGTCGATATATGGGAGAATGACACCGGTTGTCACAAGGAAGATCACATATTGGATCGCGGAGGAATATAAAGTGGCGTTATTGTCCTGGAAGGGCGCGTTAGCCAGGGACATTCACTGGGCCACGGGAAGCTATTGCACACACCATGCCGGCCATAGTGAAAATGTAGACAACATAGTACATCGCAACGTTACCACCGAGCAGCTGCTGCCACACCTGCACACTGACACCGCACATGGTGCGCATCCAAATTTTGGGTCCAAACAGAGCGAGAAAGGTCACATCCTTGGCTTCCTGGGCGATACGCACGGCCTCCTGCACTTCCTCCCATTCGACCTGCACGACGGGGTCGTTGCGATCGCCGTTACCGTGCAGCATCGCTAGCGTGTCCAGACTCTCTTCCCACCGTTCCTTGCTGGCCAGCCAACGGGGCGACTCCGGGAAAAATGGGAGGGCCAACAGCAAAATAAGACCCGGGACGGCTTGGATGCCCCAAGCGACGCGGAACGAAGCTGGACCGGCGATACCCTTTCCACAACCGTACGAGATCAGATACATGATCAGGATACCCCATTCGATAGCCCATTGCTGGATACCGACGATGCGACCACGGATACGAGCGGGAGCCAATTCTGCAAGATACACACAGACCTGTGAGGAAGTGATACCGACTATCGAAGTTGGTTAGTTTGAGAAGATGCTGGATGGGCTATGATAGGTACGGACCAGAGAGACCGCTGACGACACGTCCAACAACCAGATGTGCGACATTCTGTGCGCTAAGCTGAAGAACGGCGCCAATAATCCAAATCACACTCGCGATCATCAGGGACATCCGACGGCCCACGATATCAGAGACCCAACCAGCAGCGATGGCACCAGCGAAGGAGCCCGCGGACATGGAAGCGGTGATCTAAGCGGTCGGAAGTCAGTTGTCGCGATCTGACCGACCAGCGTGGGAGACGATTATACATACACCACCTTGTAAGTTAGAGTCAGGGCTGTTAAAATAGTCGAGATACTGCTTCGTGCCAATCCAGGCACTCATAGAACTGTTTCGCCAAGTCAGAATCAACTTTAGGAGATAGTACCATCACGATACTTCTTACCTGACATCGAAACCGAAAAGGGCACCGCCAATGGTGCCAAATGCGGCGAGCACTATGACCGTCAGTTATCTCGCGTTGACAGTTGCTGAAAGTGACCCGGCATACCATATATGTTTGTAATCCGATACATCTTGGCCAGTAACTAAACCCCAGAATTAGCGGCCACGTTGAGTTCGTCCAAAAGAGCTTGACCCGGAGAACCCTGGCGAAGCTTTATATAACAGCGACTGCATAGGATGTGGTATTGCTCGAACGCGCGAGACATTGGACCGGCGGGCGACCCGTAAGAAGAAGGGATCAACCATCCAGGGAATGTGGAGGTCCGGGGGACGCCCACGGAGTGCTATGGAGAACATGGGGATTCAACAAATCAACGGCGTCATGATGTGGGGAGTCTTCCAGGGACTCATCCACTCGGTTGATTCCAAACGGAAATTTTCCCTCTTGGTGAGCTGCGACTTCGGATGAATGGGCATTTAGCCGAGAAAGACGATGCATTCTGGATCACGTATGGATGGCATGACGAGACATGGAATTAATTTGACCGGGTTTGCCAGGGGGCTCATACTTCTTCCTGCGTCACCGTCTCGGAGACCTTTTTGTAGGCCTACGACGTCACAACTCGTATCCCGTTCGGGATCTTGGCTCGTCGCCAACGCCGCCGGAGGATGAGCCGAGTCCCTCTGGTAATAACTCGAGTCGGTAGATTCATTGGTCACGACGCTGAATAGACTCCGACGGACTGGGCTCGGTTAACCGGGATAAGCCCTTCGGCTTACATCCTGTTCAGGATTCATGCGTGAAGGAGAATATTGAGACGGTTGCCGATAATTCGCATGAGTAGGATGGTGTCTGAAATAATTCATATAACAACGATCTTATCTGGCATGATTCAGCCGAGACGGTAGAAAGAATCTGGGGTATTGAACCAGAAAGTCCGGAATCACGAGTCGGCAGTCATTTGACTCTCCACTTTTTCTCTTCTCGGCCCGCACGTGTGCGGAGTTTGGTCACGGCGCACTCTATCACTATTTCTCTCTCTTTCTTTTCACCTGCAACAATGGGCCCACTACCAACAACCAGGACTTGAACTAGAACGGTGGCTCATATCAGGCTCTTGAGGTTCCATTCAAACCAAACATCAAGCACACAGATTCCTAGCCGGGCAACGATTGGCAGATGAAAAGGGGCTCGAGCCCAACATCAGATGCATTGAATCCACATGTTTAATATACAGACGAGCTTTAGATTGACACGCAAGACAATGCGATCCTTCCGACTTGGTATCGGAAGTACCTCCCGATTCCTCGTCCATACTATTGGCTAGATTGCATCCGTAGTGGACGGGATGGCGTCGACGGCATGCTCATGTGTATGCTTACCATCCCAGGGCGTCCAAGCTAGCCAATGCTTCGGTAGCTCTATGATGCTGCATAATGTCCGATGCGTTTAGACAGTCGCACGACATAGCTCTGTGTTTTTATTTTTATTTTTATTTTTTTATTCTTTTATGGCATACTTTGTGGGTATACTATACTCCCGCGTCGCTCAACATATCCGCTTGTCCCTGTCTACGTCAACTATGACTTAGCTTCCAGTCATCTAGATCTGCACACAACCGGTGGATCATTGCCGAATTTCGTTTCCTCGTCTCGCTGCCCGGCTAAACAACCCAACGGGAACCTGGATCCATACCGGCCGTTACTCTGCACAAACCCATATTATTGAACCACTTCAAGGGAGTTTCAATGTGCACATCGCATGGGAAACGATTTATATATGGCTCTTTCAGCGGGTACTAATATGTGCGAGGGTTCCCCTCTTCTTCCCTTTCGAACAGAATATCGTCAGGTCCTTTTAACCTGTCCAATCCCAATCTCAACCCTCCTCCCCCGTCGTTATCCCACATTCAAACTAAACAACCACCCGCCGATGGCACAGCTCTTGATCAATTCCTGATAGTTGTGCCACTCCAATCAGTCGGAACATCGCTGTCACTCGGCAGCACTGAAAAGCCTGTCAGAAGGCCGCTCCCTGGACCGACACAAGGATTCCTAGGCACCGTGCATTTAGTATCAATCGGCCAGGTAGTCAAGATGGCTATTAGGAGCATCAAGATGACGGAAGTTTAGTTGTGTCCATCGACACTTGGCAGGACAAGTCAAAATGCATCGACCACGCCTTGGATACATGGACAGGCTGAAAGTCCGATAGACATGCCCCTCTTTTATTTCATATTGGTGAAAGCTAGCATAATGTCTGAGTAGAGCCGTAGCCGTGTTTCCTGCCTTGGGCTTGCGCGACAGGCCCAATCCTAGGAAACGCAACTAACCCCTCACAGCTCTCAGTTTTTGGGTTTTTCCCACAAAAGACCAGAGATTCAGATAGCAATTATCGCATGAATGGAAGCCAAGGAGCGCTCGGAAGTGAATCTTCCACTTTTTTCCGGAATGGATGACTCTCGTGGGACCCATCAATGCGAGGCCGACATAATTTTTACCTCATAGTAACAGGCTTTGGGCTGATGCGACTGAATCTGACGATAACAGCCATCAGCTAAAGTCTACATTTTCTTCCGTTTTCCATTCTCTTACCTACAGCGAGCTTTTTGCGTGTGCAGGGCGACGATGTGTGTGGAGTGACTTCGCATGCAGTCATCATGGATGTCTGTATAGCCTCTGTACCCTGAGCATTTAGAGCATCAAGCCTGGGTAGTCTCCAAGGCTTCCACTTTTTGGACTTTTGTTTTTGTTTCTTTTCTTCTTCTTTTTTAATATCAATTTCTAAAAGTCTTGGATGGAGCTGAACGGATGCCCTTTTTCTTTGGTGTACCCATAGATTATGTTTGTGAGAATAAATGTCTGATGTGCGGTCAGATCGAATAATCACAGACCCAAGGCAGCCTTCTACCGGCCAGGATAAGCCTATGCACCACTCATACGCAATAAACCCAAATCTTCCATCACCGCATGTCAATCAGCGCCGAATTGGGGCAGTGCGATAACGCGTCCTTGTCCCGTCCGCTGATACCCGAAATGGCGCTAAGGAGGCCATACCCTCGTGGAGAACAATGATAACAAATAGCTGTCAAGAGGATGTGATAAGCATTCCATGATGCTTGGGTGGCATCTTGCAGGCTCATCTATGAATGTCTTATCTGGGGTAAATTAAACTACTACCCCAGTGATATCGTGATGTCACCATTGGCTCTCGACCCGTTCCGATCCCTACTACGAATCTGTCAATTTCCATGGTTCCTTCGTCCTACATCCAGGATTGACAGCTGTGTATGGTTTCAGGTTCCGTCTGCAGATCTCGAGTCTAGGATTCCCCACGATGCTCTGAACTTTAACATGCACATATGGTGATGTGTCCTTCTCGTGGGCCGTGATCGCAGACCATGTTGAGTGGACGCAAGGGATACTACGGGAGTCTTATAATCCATGGCTACACCGAACGCCATTGCTCCCTTTGCGGCTTATTCCCCAAATTACCCGCCATTGGGCCAGCAAAATACGCCAAAAAAAATCCCTGAGCATGCAACCTTGACCAAAGCGGTGGCCACCACCCAAGCCACTGCCATCAGTCGTTCAATAATCGTCGCTGCTGGAATTACCTCGCAGGTTGCACTCTGTCTCACGAGTGATGGCTCAGTGGTGCATTCGATATTAGTTGATGTCTGAGAGGCTACTGATAAGGCTACGGGCAGATGTGCAATTGGCGGAAGGGTACTTATCAACCAGCAGCCAAACGGTCTGACCACGCGGTGATACCCATTCCAGAAACCTTCTCAGCCTAGTGTATCACCCTTATGCAGGTTGCATTGCGCTCGCAGTAGTACTTGGTCGGGGAAAGGCTATCGTTGAGTAGCCCAGGCAAAGATAAAGCTAGGGGCTTATCTGTCCTAGCTGAAACGCTATTTTGGGTTCGTGCGAAGGGTATGGTAGCATTAGCCACAGGTTGTCGTCCAACCACTATATTAATACCCCCCGGGTTCCTTGTCTTTCTGGCTCGGTACTTCTCGCCCGAACCTCACTTGTTGTATTTCCCTTCACTATGAACGAATCCATCATCCCCCCACGGAGTTCATCAGAGAGTATGAAAAAGACCGCCCAGCCCGCGGCCGACTGGGAGGTTGACATCGATCATGGCGCCGAAACCGATCTCCAGCGGACGCTATCCACCCGCCACATCACCATGATTGCCCTGGGGTCATCAATTGGCATGGGATTATGGCTAGGCAGTGGAACATCGCTAGCAAATGGTGGTCCAGCGGCCATCTTTATCGGCTACCTCTTGAGCGGTACCATGATCTGGTCGGTCAGCCATTCCATCGGTGAAATGGCCGTAATGTATCCTCTGCCTTCGGCATTTATTCAGTGGACGTCGATTTTTGTTGACCCGGCTGCGGCATTTGCCCTGGGATGGGCATACTGGTTCTCCTACTGGATCACCATCGCCAATGAGTTACAGGTATGTTAACCATAGGTGCCTCTCGAGGTCTCAGAACCTGACCGCCATAGGGTGTCGTGACTGTTCTCAGTTTCTGGACCGACAAGGTGCCCACGGCAGCGTGGATCACCATCTTCTGGGTAGTAATTATTTTTATCAACGTGTGGGCTGTGAAGTTCTTTGGCGAGGTGGAAGTCGTTTCATCGTCCATCAAATTCGGGTGGATTATCATTGTCATTATCTCTCTAATTGGTGAGAAACTGGCATCAATCTCTTCCTTTCCCCTTCGACTAACATGTCACAGTCGTATCTGCAGGAGGCGCCCCCGCTGAGGGCCCCATCGGCTTCCGGTATTGGAACTCGTACGCCTTCACGAACGGATTCAAGGGCTTCTTTACCGTCATGCCGACTTGTATCTTTGCCATGTCTGGATCTGAGAACTGCGCTTTGGTTGCCGCCGAGACCTCCAACCCTCGAAGAGCTGTCCCCAAGGCAGTGGGGTCGATCTGGCTACGCCTTTCTTTATTCTATATTCTAGGCTCTCTCATGATCACCATCACTGTTGACCCAAAGGACAACAATCTGTTCGGCGCTTCGGGGGTCAACGCCTCGCCATTTGTCATTGCTTATCGCAATGCGGGTCTCGAGCCTTTGGCCCACATAATGAACGCCGTGGTCTTCATCTCGGTGGTGTCCACGGGTAGTATTTCTGGATATGCCGGGTCCCGTGCTCTCATGGGGCTGGCACATGTGAAGATGGCGCCTAAGGTGAGTGATGTATGCCCTACAACGCTGGTTGGACGTAGATGGCTAATATGCACTGCGCCTCGCATTGCGTAGATCTTCGGCAAAGCAGATAGGGTTGGACGTCCCCTAGCCGGCCTCTTTATTACTCTTCTCATCGGAGGTGGCCTGGCCTACCTCAACGTGAGCAACAGCGGCGAGGAGGTCTTCACCTGGTTCTCCAATCTCACATCGCTCTTCACCCTGTTCGGCTGGGGGATGATCTGCCTATCGCACCTGCGGATGCGTTATGCCTGGAAAGTCCAGGGCCGCGATGTATCTGAGCTGCCGTGGAAAAGCTGGACATTCCCCTACGCCGCCATCTGGGGGTTGATATGGTGTATCTTGCTCATCATCGCGGAGTTCTATCTGAGTGTGTGGCCGCTTAAAGGACAGACCACCGCGAAGAATTTCTTTGCCAACTATGTCAGCGTTGTTGCAATTGTTGTCATTTATATCGGGGCCAAGATCTACTATCGTGGGCCTTTTTGGGTGGATGCGCGGACGATCGATCTCGACGGTCTCCGACGGTTCTACGTCAAGACTGGCGATGAAGAAGAATCTGTGGGGGAGAAAACGGGCGCGGTAAAACATGTCACCAAAGCGGTCCGATTCTTGTTCAATTAAATCTTGATGGAGGGTAGCATAGTATTTCCATTTAAGAGGATAGTGTTGTATATATTGTCGATGAATATTGTTTCATGAAGTTATTAAATGTTTGAAGCGCAAATTGCTGCTGTAACGGTGACATTGACAAAGAAACGGAAGGTTCGGGTGAAGGGCCATGTGCTGCCTCATAAGTCAAGAAATTTCCATCACGTGTATCGAATTGGGGATGTGGTTTAGTGGTATAATGTTCGCTTAGCATGTGAAAGGTCCGGGGTTCAATTCCCCGCATCTCCATCTTTTTTTTTTTTTTTACTTTCCCTTCATTTGTAGCTTGAGGATATGATATTATACTCCCTTATGGACTACTGGATGTCTCTTCAAGCGCTCGAGATCTTTCCTGTATACATCGTTGTAACTGTGATACATATCACGTTTTCTCAAGGTGTGGAAACTTGTCAGGACCCAGCAATATATATTACCAGAGAAGTATGGGAACAATGGGGTGAACTGAGCACTACGAACTAGTAGTTGTTGGCTCAACAAGAAGATGTTTTCTATGTTATGTGATTGAGAATTATCAACGACAATAGAAAGATTATTAAATTCCCATCATATGCCTTCTACTACCATACGAAAATATCGAGAAACACTCGTTCTTATTCCCAGTGATGCGATGGCTTGGAAAAGCCGACCGCCTACCGGAAGGATTTGCTTTTGCCGGCAAGGAACTGCCTGAATTGAGTAGGCGGTGGAACAGAATGCACGTGTCACAGCGCGAATGATGTCATTGATCAGGTTCACTCTCAATCAAAGTTGTCCACTTCATCAAAAACGCCTCCACGTCATCTGTATCTCTCGTCTTTACATAGCCTCCCCTGGGGAAACTACCTGGCCTTTTCGGGTAGATTTCAACTGCCGCACTACCTGTCGCGCACCGGGGCATTGGCCTTGATGATTCTGAAAAGCGGGGTCGAGGCAGTGGGGGTATTTCTGCAGTGATTTCATGAGCTCCGACCGGTTGTTGCACATAACCCAATGGGTTGGATGGCTGTTGGAATGGCGCAGACTCGATATACTGCTTCTTCCGCTTCGTGTTTATATTTTCATGGATTCGTGACCTCAACCGGTCAACAGAGCCCTGTTCATAGCCACTTTCTGAAGTTGAAGCAACGTAATCCACATTTGTACGCCTGCTTCTTATTGCCCACTGGTCGAATTTGGAAGAAGTCACGGCATACTCCTTGCAGAGCATAGAATATTGTTCCCAGAACCACGGTGCAACTCGCTGACCATGACGAGCTTCGCAGTGGCTAATTTCCGAGTAATAGCATTGTAGAATGTCGTCTATCATTCGACGATATTGATCATATTCGATTCTAGACTGATAGGCGTCAATCTCGGACAAGACTTTCTTCACTAAGGCGTCGTACTCTCGCAGCTCCGACGACAGTAATTCGTTCGTTAACGGAGCATCATCGCATGCAAATGTCATGGTAAGAGAGGCCGGTAGCTGGGATTCGTTCGGCTGGTTATCCGTAACTTTGGCAGACTCCAAGGCCTTTGACAAACGTTCAAATTGAGCTTCGTACGTTTTCTTCTCCCCGACAAGTGTGCGAATCAGCTCTCGCTGCTCCTCGAGGACGCTCGATTCTGCTCGACTAGCCAAATTGGTCCATTATTATGCCAAGCTTGTCGCATTTCGACCAGGGAAATTCTTACCTACGCAGCTGGCCAGCATACATGATTACGTTAAGCATCAGAAGCATGGTTGACTTCAGGCGCTCCAAGTTGACTCTGAGGACCTCCAGGTCTTCCTCAATACACAAGAAGCCGACCTTTCTTGCTGCCTTCTGGAGAAGGCCTTTCGTGGCTTTCTGCTCGGGATAATCCACCGCATCGCTGATCCGTTGGAACACCTTTCTACATTCTCCTAGCACTTGTTGGGCTGTTGCAAATGCCTCTATAGAATAGAGTTTCGCATCCTCATCCTGTTGGAGGCTGTCGCCTAATTGACGTAGAACATTACACGTCAAGGCGACATCGCTGGACAGGCTTTGGATGCGCTGGTCTGTGTCTTTGAGCCTGCGACAGAATGTATAGAGCTTAATTGAGAGATGCGTGCCAAGTTCTACGACTTGGAGAATGCTAGCAGCAACACCGATGACTTCTAGTCCGGACATAGCATAGCCTACGTCGTTGGAATCAATCAATTTGGAAGGTGAAGTGGGAGAGAATAAGCGTATCCAATTTGGTTGCTGAGTGCAGGTGAGGCTGTGCTCCTCGTCGCCTCGTGATCGACACGCAATGATTGGTGCAAGTGGTCGAAATTGTGTAGCCAATCATTGCGGACCGAACGGTGTTATTTTAGGATATGCCCCGAGAACTAGAAGTTGACAGCAACCTCTAAGAGATATGACCGATGCACTATACATATCCACGGGGTATTACTCGATGGGGACTATGGGGAGGAAAAAAACTGCTCGATTGAGTTCTCGGCATCGGTCGACAGCATTGGAACTTTAGAGATGAGGAGGCCAGCTTGGTCATAGGTCGCATCGCATCAGTATCTCGAAACTAGTTCATACTGGCATATTGCCGTAACTTAGATTGACGCAAAGGAATTGAGCGATAGCGAGAGACGCTTACTCTTACAACACTAATCGTTGAGAAGCGGTTCTCTATCAAACCCTTGGGACGTACAGCGGCTATCGCGAAGGTGCCCAAATAGTTTCGAAGGCAAAAGGTGATGCGCTGTTAACTCGAGGAAATCAGGAGTCTCCGGGAAACATTGACCGGAGTAAAAGGACTATCTATGACGATTTTAACTATGATGTAGTGACCTAGGCTATGGCATTCTCTTTGTTGTTGGCTAATATGCGTTGCTGTCGTAAAGCGTACACCGACTGGGTATGCACTTTTGTGAAAGAGGTAGTATCACCCAACAAACGGCCCGAAAGTTTCCCAGCGGCCCGAGGCTTATCGCCTTAGATGTTGGATACCCCTCGTTGGATTGTCAGGCACGACGAAAGCGGGGGGATGAGGCAACGTGGTTGTCCGTCTGGAGTGATGCGGTGACAAACATGCCCGAGGACTATGCTGATGGCATCGTCATTATAGGACATTCGGATGTCGGGAAAGTCATCCCCGGCCGATTCGAAATTCCATTGAGAGGGAGAAAACAAAAAGAAGTGATAATGGTGGAGCCCAAATGCCGGTCAACCCTGCAGGTGAATGGTGGGCTTCTGTGAGTCACACGCTTTGTTTCCTGAATTGGGGCCTGTTCATAACAAGGAAAATATTTTCTGCAGATGACACCAACACAGACCAGCTAAACTGCGCCAGTACCCCTGAGAAGGAGGGGTTGTAGTGGACCATGCTCTGGTGGGTTGCATGGTATGTTCCGCGAGTGGTATAGTTTGTATAGGATAGTGCCAGACTGCGTGGTCGTAGTCTCTGCCACAGCAACCCAAAGTCCCTCAGCAAATGAGTCATTGCTGTTGAATCTGACTTCTCTTATTGGTGGAGAAGTTGGTAATATCTTTTTCCCTACCTAACCAGCCACTTCCTTTCGTTATGGTTGCCGGTTATTTGTTGTTCAAGGGTGTTAGGCAGGTGGAAAATATTCCTAAAATGCTAGAAATTCCGTGAGTGGCCACGGGCCACGGACCACAGGATTATTAAGCCGGACGATGTGGTGTGCGCTCATTGGACACGAAGCACCTGACCGCGGACTATACTATTCTGGGCGACCAGCAGGCCATCTCGTCCATTCAATCTGGAACTAAAGCATGCCTGATGATTGACGATGCCTAAGAACGAGAAAGTATAGGCAGGTTTATGCACCTTATCCATGGTTTGGCTCCTTGCTCATGCTGTCATAGGTTGTCTGATTTGAGGAGTCCAACGCCTCAGGGGAATCAGAATAGAGCTTTCAGGGGAGCGTTTCAGCATTGTTTCAGGTCTCAGGGCTTAGTTTCTTCAATGATGTCTACCCTAAGAACCTGACATGATCGGAACCCCAGACAACTCAGACGCTTTGACGCGGTACGCGAACGATAACTGGACTGGGTGCATTTCATGTGAAATGGGACCCACCGGGAGTCGATCCCCACTCGTCGATTCCAGAGATCTTTTAGTGACGCTTTAGTGTGAGGCGTGGTGCTGCCAAAGAGCGGTGAATTCGCTTCGTCTCTGATCTGTCATCTCATCATAGGTCTATTGCCACTGTCGCTTGTTCGCCTGCCTCTCATGCCTTACCGCGTCTGCTATTCTCGTGCACGCATGGCAATTATCGTGGAACAACCGGAGATTTTTCATTCCCAAAGACAATGATCACAAGAGATGTGTCTGATAAAAAGGGACCCAGCAGCCATGGGCTGCGAGGGGGAACTAGAACCAACTTTTCTACTACTATCCTATTCTATCCTCTCTACAAAGACACTTGAATGTTGAGAGCGACAGTTCGCAAGATCGTTACCTTTACCATACCTCCCTTATACTACTTTATGCTGTCAACGTTACGAGGCTTCCTCTCGCAGTTGTGTCCGTGCCGCAAGATGGAGTGCAGGCAAAATACTTCCCGTTTCCCGTCGCTCTTGACGAGCTTATGGGGCCCTCGACGGTCGCAACAGTCCCTCTCCGTTTCCACATCGACACAGACTCAGACACAAACCCCGGCGCCGGCGCCGGCACCAAAGATTGATATCGCATCCACATTACAGAAGAAACGGTCTGCCGAACAAGATCGAGTGAGTCGTGAGACCGCTCAAAAAGAGTTGGTGGGCGAAATTGAGAATCTAGTGGGACTGGAGAACGTCAAGCGCCAGCTGCTTGGGGTGCAGAACTGGGTGCAGATCTGCCGTCGACATGGCCGAGAACCTCGCAATGAGTGGTACAACATAGTGTTCCAAGGGAACCCAGGCACAGGTGAATTTATCTCCATTGGTCACAATTGGTGAGCTCAGATGCTAATCATATTGATTCTGTAGGCAAGTCTACCGTTGCCCGAATCTACGCCAAGATGCTCTACGCCATCGGCATCTCCGACTCCAACACCATCAAAGAGACATCTGGCCGAGACCTTGCCATCAAGGGCCCTCAGGGCGCCCAGAAGCTAATCAAAGAGATGGTCAACTCCGAATCTCCTTCCGCACCGACAGCCGGTGTCTTGATCGTGGACAATCCTCACGCCTTGATGCCCTCCAAGCTCGAATCCCATAAGGAGATCCTTGACTGCCTTCTTCAGGCGATGGAACGGAAGACCGGGCGGATCATCGTCGTCTTCATTGGCCATGGCCCCGATATGGAGACCTTTCTCAATGAGAACCCCAGAGTGCAGCGCCGGATGTGTAGTACCGTGAACTTTGCGGACTTCGACCGCCATGAGCTTCTTCGGCTCTTAGGACGCCGCATCACGGAGGAATACGGCGGAAAAATGCAGGCCGAAGGCGGGCTCGACGGCCAGTACATGCAGGCTGCGGCTCGCCGACTTGCCCGCAGTCGCGGTGAAGGATTCACCAACATCTATGCCGTGCGGCAGCTTGTGGAGACCATCGCACACCGCCAAGCTGAGTGCCTGATGGAGCAGCAGGACATCGGAATGGAAGATGTAGATTACTTCTTCTTTTCCAAGGATGATATTCTGGGACCCAACCCGTCCGACATCCGGTCCCAAAGCGCCGCATGGACATCTCTGCAGTCATTCGTGGGGCAGGAACCCGTCAAGGCCTCCGTCCGTGAGGTCTTCGGTACGGTGGAGGAGAACTACTGGCGGGAGGTTAAGAACCAGAAGCGGTTGTTGGTGCGAGTGAACCGTGTGTTCGCTGGTCCACCGGGCACGGGCAAAACCACCGCAGCGAAGCTGTACGCGCAGATCCTTGCGGATCTCGGTCTCCTCAGCAATGGCGAAGGTGAGTAATGTTGAAGCCCTTAGATATTACCAGTAGCTAATTGTGCGGCAGTGACTGTCAAACCACTCTCGGCGTTTAATAACCTCTCTGATACTGACGGCATTCTCTCTTCGACGGTCGGAAAAGCTCTGATCATCGACATGGACACTCCGGAGACCGACGACAATGACTTCAAAGTCTCCGATAGTGTCCTGGATATGCTCATCAAAGAGCTGTCTGCGAACGGGGAGAATCGCTGTACCATTCTCGTCGGCTCCGACCATGCCGTTGACACACTGCTCCCAGAACTCAGGGAGGCGTCAAGGATGCTCGAACACCAAGTGGTTCGATTCCAGCCGCTCACCCGAGAGCAGATGGAGGAGCTCTTCCAGGCGAAATTGCAAGAGCAAGATGTGGATGCTACTCCTGAAGCCTTCCAAGCGGCCATGGATATCCTTGAGAGCGCCCGGATGCGCAAAGATTTTGACAACGCACGCGGGATTGAGCGTCTTCTGACGGCTGCCAACCGCAATTTCGACCAGAGGCGGTCTCGTGCTCCCGACGAGCCTTTGTCACAACGTGTGCTCGAACCCGAGTACTTCAACACCGACCTGGTGGGCGGCAAGGCCGCTCTGGCATTCCGGGAAGAACTGCGTCACTCGATCGTCCCTGACGACATTATCTCTGTGTTGAAACGGTATCACAATGAGATGAAGATCGCCTGGTTTCAGGGCCATGACCCCAGAGCACGAGTCCCGTGCACACTGGTTTTCAAGGGCGCCAGTGGTAAGTTATTTCTACTGCTTCGAGTGAAAGACAATTGTTGACTGACCGTGACAGGAACTGGAAAGAAGACTGTCGCCCGCCATCTAAGCGCCTTGTACTACAAGATGGGGGTCTTGAAGACTTCTGCCATGGTTGAGTGCTCGGTGTCTGATCTCGTTACCACGAGTGTCAGTCACACATCGATCCGGACTCGATCGCAGCTGGAGCGCGGACGCGGCAAGCTGCTGTATGTTGAGGATGCCCATCGATTGGGGGACAACGAATACACCATGCAGGCGATGGACGAGCTCATCTACCTGCTGCCTAAGCTCTCCCAAGAAATGGTTGTCGTTCTCGCAGGTCCTTCTCAGGAATTGGACCACCTGCTCGCCAATCGACCTCGCCTGGCAAGCCTCTTCCAGGAAGAAATTCCCTTCCGCAATCCAACTCCTCGTGAATGTCTTCGCCTGTTGGACCGACGGCTCGAGGAGGAAGGTGTCCAGGGTCCTCGCCTGTTCCTGACCGACCCGCGCGAGGTAACTCACCGGGAGTTCACCCGAGCCATTCAGATTCTCTCCATGTTCCCCTGCTGGGGTAACGCCCGCGATATTGGGCTTCTTGCTCGGTGGATGGTGTCCGTCGCAGTCAAGGATATGCCGCTGGACGGCATGACTGTCCCCGAGGTCCGTCTGACCGACGAACAGGCGATGGCCTGCATGATCAAATTGTTTAACCTGAAGCGCGACCGCCTTCGTTTCAACCAAGATCCCAAGGCCAGGACTCTTCCTCGCATCCTCTCTCAGCCACGGAGCACGGAACGTGGCGGTGTTCGATTTCCCGTTTGACACAGCTGATGATCGGTACTCTGACTTGACCGTTTCTATGCTTTCCTTTTCTATGTTCGTCCTATTGATGCTCATTTAAGATGTATCAACATGCTTTTGTGATCCAGCCACACAGATTGACTATGACATTGGCTTTTTGTTTTTAGAACTATCATGACTGGCGTTGGGGATTGTGTTTTGAGCGATGACCTTCACCGAAGTTTCCTGTGTATATTTCCTTTGTTTCGGTTGATCTCCTGTTCCGCTTTATATTCCACGAACGGTGTTTGCATTGCATGATTCCAACCACGTACTACCTTGCATTGTTTGTTCGATTCCTATGAAAATATATGTATTGCTCCAAGTCTGGTACTTGTGCTTAATATCACATCTATATCCGAGGTCTTTTCTCCTTTCAGTGTCTCCATATTGTTCCTCCTCCACCTGTCATGTATAACGCTGCATCTGCCTTGCATAGAACAGATTCACATACCATGGATTACTATTCACCACATCCCCACGACATCCCTCCATAGATAGAATGAATTCATTAACAACGCACAATTCGATGTTCACCTCCTCGCAACCTTAATTAGGCTTCAGAGCGATCTACAGCCGACATGAACCTTGTTATGTCCTGGACGATCCGAGCATCCATGGTCTAGTTTCTATTTATAAAGAGTCGGAAGTAAGGACGAGCGACTCCCTTGCAGCAAGACGCAACCCCGCAAAGGTGTCTACGTAGCTCTGCATACGAGGGGTCACTGAGCTGATTTAACCGTGTTCTTGCTTCTACTGTAGGATCGAGATGGCTCATCGCCGAATTTTCGCCATAACACCCCACTAACTAGACCAGTGAACTCCAAGTACTCCTTGGCCATATTTACGGCTGCTGTTGTTCCCAAAGTCTCACACTCGACACATTGTAGGACGGTCGCAAGAGTTTGGAGTAATTTTGCATATGCAAGGCCGTGATGTATGATTAGTTGGCCACTCGTCTCTTCTTGTTTTGATTTGCTCTTGGGACGTGAGGGGGATGGTTCGTGGGCATATACTTGATATCCACGTACTGTCGATTGCCTCTACTGAATGACACTGGGCAGAGCTCCATATTTTACACCCCAATGCTAGGGAACGGTGAATTGGGCACTGAAAACGGCTACTCTTCACGTCAGTTTAAGCGTCCTACTGACCAGAACCTTAGTCACTGTGTTCTGCACAGGTCACTTGGATCTAGATGCCTGAGGCACCAGCTATCAGCAATCGTTCCTTTCTGTGGAAGGCACGATGAAGTATCATGACCCGAAGAATCACAGAGTGCCTCGGTCATCTCGATGTCAACAAATGCTGGTCACTGCTGGTCGCTGTTTGAATACAGAGCTGTTCACCTGTTCAACAATCTCTGAGCCTACATTCCACACCTTCGCACTGGTAGTTTTTGGAGGCAGGTGTTGGACACGGCCATGGCAACGGACTTCGTGATGATCGCGAAGAAGTTCATGGCAGACGGGCTGTATCCGACATGTCTCTCAGGAACCCACCTTTATGATATCACAAATATATATGGGCCGTTTCTATTCGGGCGAGAGGATTTGCGAGAGAGGGTCCCTATTTACGATAGCCAGGAGGCCATGAGGCCATTCTATCGACTAGAGGCCCACGGCCTCAAATCACACATCATGGACTGGACCAGAAATGACTCCAACCAGGTAGGCTCTGGCGATCGCAGTATGATTGTTCTGATCGGGCGAGGTACCCAGAGAGACGGCGCTGTCACGCTATGTCATCAGCACGCAAAACAGGAGTTTCTGTCCAAAGCCGAGATGATTGCCGCTGTCTCTGTCTTGCCGCCTAATGTCCGTCTCCTGATCATCAACGAGGCCTGTTACCCCGGCACGTGGGCCACGATAGCCCCAGAGGTAGGCACCCAGCGAGATGTGCTTGTCGAGACAGCAGCCACCCTCGGCGAGCAGTCCTGGAGCTATACCTCGGGCTCCGGCCAAAACCGGTGCTCTTTATTCGGAGCGGCGTTTGTGGAGGAGCCTACCACCCAGCATCACAGTCGAATAGTTGACGAGATGCGCTATGTTGGGCCTGACCAGATCACCTCTGCACCGCTGGTGATCTCCGCCCACGCTCTTCTGTCCCACAATATCTCGCATTTCATCGTCGCACTACAAATTGCGGCTGCGATCACGAATGTGGCTTCTGCTCCGGATCGTCATGAGGAATTTCTGCAATCACGGACTTCTGCCCGGACTTTTTGAAGACTTCGTCGCAGGATGAGTTTAGAACGAGAACCAGCGTGGAGAAAGAGGTGCTTGGGTTTCTGGCTTAGTTTGTGTGTTTCTCGCTCTCCTTTCTGTTGCTAGCCTTATGTGATTCTCTAGTGAGCTGATTGTCAGTGGAGCGCTTCTGTGTATCTTATAAGCAACAAATGTGGGGAAGGGCAGGTTATAGGTCTGCTTAATTTAGTTTAATTTGGGGCAGTGCAGAACGAGGAATCCACTTGATCCCAAATAGCCTAGTTATCGATGCAAAGGGTAGTATCGGTGCCTTTCTGCCATCCACATCAGCCTTTTCTTTCATGATGCTATCAGGTGGCTGAGATAGTGATATTTGAACATGTGTTACATGAGTATACATTCGCAACCCGCCATTTGCATATCCTGGCATTCGCCAAGAGTGCATTCAGTGATACAGCCAACCACCCCCTGCATAATTGGCACTTCCCGTTCTTCTTGTCCAACTTTCTCCCCAAACATCAAACACACAGCGTGCTTTTTAATCGTGCTATTCCCACGACCGCTTCTCACATCTCGTGGATGCGATGGATATTCAACGCCGATTTCCTGACGTGCATTGGATCTGGGGCGGCGGCATATCTTTCGTGTACGAGGAACATCCTCGCATCGTGGTCAAGGTACCAAAGCCTAGAGAGTTCGAGAGAGAGAGAGCAATTCCAGAAAGAACTCAAGATCTACGAGATTTTCTCGCGGCATCGCCCTTGCCCATACATAGTACAGTGCTTCTTATACACAGACAATAGCATTTTCCTTGAATACATGAAAGGTGAGACACGAATGGGCTACTGATAGGTATTTCTGCTAACTAGTCTCTAGATATATGTCTTTCCGCCCAGATACAGAATAACCATATTCGAGACCAAGAGACAATGGCGGTCACTAAAGTAGAACGATTGGAGCCTCTTCCTCTGCGGAAGAGATAGATAAATGACCTGGCGCAAGCCGTTGCTTACCTTGAATCGCTCAACCTCGCTCATAGTGACTTACGACCAGAAAATATTCTTCTCGATCGCGACCGGCTGAAACTGTCCAATTATAATTGCACAGTGGAGATTGGGACAGACTTTAAAGCTTGCTTGGCCCCATATAAAAGATTGCTCAATAGCAGCGAAACAGACCAAGGACCACGTGGAACCTCTAGCTTTCTAGGCCCTCAGACAAAGCAGTTCGCACTGGGATCCATATATTATCTAATAAATTATAGTTTCGAGGTTTATGACAATCAATGTCTTACAGACGATCCCCATAAGCATGGACCTAAGGTCGTGGATTCACTGCAGAATATAGAATTTCCGGGGTTATATAGCGATCCGCTGATCGACGATATTATCGACAATTGCTGGCACAATAAGTATGCCACGGCTGCGCAATTAGCTACAAAGACAAATAGCTTCTCAATAAAAAAAAAAAAAACAATTAAGGAGCCAGGACCTAATGCCCAAACAGTTTCAGCGACCACCCCGTACGTGGCTATAGGTAACATAGTTCGTGGACTACGGGACAGCCTTGGGAGCTGGTGGACGTTATTGCGACAGAGTACCTCCGACGAAATAAGCAAACAATGACGCTCCAGCGGCGACAGAAGTGGTGACAGCCATCACAGCGTTGATCAGGGTCAGTTACCGGAAGATTGTCTTCGAGAAAAGCATTCTGTCAGGATTTGGAGTAGCGGGGGCAACTTGACCTACTATCGTCAGCTGAACCTAAGCAGCTTGGATTGACTTTCGAGTGGTATAGGCACAGCTCCTGAAGCAGGAAAAAAGACATACACCACCTGGAAATATGCACTTGATTAAGCTATGCTAACTTCATGTATCTTTTCGAACCGTAACATATCAAGGTCGCTTCCTCGAAAAGGTGGTTGCATGCAAAATAATGTAGCGCTGTAGACCCTAGACACAATTCACACATGGTGACGGTTGCTTTGAGGTTACGGCCATGACAATCATGCTCTCTTCTTCAGTTCCATGAAGGAGTCCGCGCTGCCGGCTGGGTGCACGCAACCCACAATTTCCAAGGGTGGGTCGATGGACATAAACAATGCGTCCCAGTCCTCGTAGGATCTCTCTTTGCTCCCGAACTGAATCATCATCTGCATGTCTAATGCTCTCATGATGCGCTCGCGCTGCCAAGACGCAGTTCCAGGGCTTTGAAGAATTTGCTCTGCCACGACGATGGATGCTCCTGGCTTCATGCTCACAGCAAGAGCCTGCAGAATGGCGCGGCAATCATTGTCATTCCAGTCGTGTAGAATATGTCGCAAGAGAAACACATCCGCCTCGCGACCTAATGCCGACTGGGGTTTGAAAAATGAGTGCGGCAAGAAGACGACCCTGGACTTCAAGTGGCGAGGGATATTGCCATCGGCACTATCCTTCAGCTTGAGATTGTCCTCCACGATCACAGCTAAAGTAGGATACTCTTCTGCGAGCCTTATTCCGACGAATCCATCTGCCCCGCCAACCTATGATTATTAGAAACCTATAGGAGGGTTTAACTGGATACATCAATACTCACATCCACGACAATGGCTTTTCCCAGCTTCTCCCAGGCGAAGCCCTGCAGAACGTAACTCACATCATGGGCCCCACCACTGGTAATTAATGCCATGTACTTTCCGTAATTTTCAATCAGTTCCGGTCCCTTGGAGGCAGACGTCCACCATGTATCCTCGGTGTTATGAGCGATCTGATATGGGCACTTGTGTTCTCTGTCGCTGTCTTTCAACCAGTCCAGAAGCCTGACCATGGACGGTAAACAAACGTCAAGCTGGTAAGTAAGCAGCGGTGACAGCCGTGGTATCTCCCGGGAAACGTCTGTCTGCGCAACACAGTCTGGCTCCGGTTCGCTGAATGCACCGTAGGTCATGGCCTGTCGCAAGATCCGGCGTAGAATGTCCACAGGCAGCCCGCACTTATGAGCGAGTTCAGACATAGCAATGCTTCCAGTGAGAGGAACGATGGACGCGATCTGGTAATGGTTGATGACCTGCAAGGATGCAAGATTCTGTCTGTCCTTTGTACATCGGGTTAGCCAAGAACTCTTCATGGTGCGAGAAAGCGGCTTGTTACAATCAGTGCCATCTCTTTGAGCATCTCTGCAGGACTCGCAACGAGAGCCAGCATCCTACGACATGCCTCGATCACATTGGCACGGGCGTTGCATGCATGTTTTGAAGACTCATCCTGAAGCATGGGGATCGATTGTGAGATGGAGTTTGCCAGCTCCAGGAGGCTGGAAGAGGAAGAAGGAACAGGTGCCATAACGCTATTCCATCTGCCAAAAGCGAATGAAGGTGAGGTGGAAGGTGAAAAGAAAGAGAAGACAGAAGATGGGAGAACAAAGTGAAATGGGAGGGGAAAGTGAAGTGAATGAAAGATTGGATGGTCACTGACATCACGTTGGCCGCATAGCCCTTTCACGAACTTCTTTATCTGGCACCAGGTCCAGAATACTTCCCATTCACCCATCCTCTAGCCATCACGCTACTTTCCCCGTTCTCTAGGAAGGCTACAAACAACACCAAAAAAGATGCATCGTACCATTCGGAATATCTCTATTGGCTATAGCTACTGGAAATTGTGGAGAGGAGCTGTTCCGTATAGGAGGTGCGAATATATTGCATGACGCGACGGAGCCTCAAGGCTAGAGCAGCAACGCCACGTTCATCCATGGTTTGGCCTTCAAGAACTGAAAAGGGGCCCCAAACCCGCTAAGAAGATCAGCTGGAGGACAGATACCACGCACATGGCAGATGCTTACCACTTCAGAGAGCTGCTGCGATGCGCCCGCAACGCCGTAGATAATATAGAACTTCCAATCTTCTCCAAGTACAGTGCAACCGACGATCGGCGGAGGAGATACGTGGGTACCACCTTGATGTTGACTGGAATATGCCCAGGACATCAAGCCGGTCATCCAAACTGACAGCTGTACCTGGGCCTCGATCAAATTTCCACCCAGTGGTTTGACCTCCACACCTAGCCCAAGTAGCCTTTTTCCGGTATGTGGATGGTCGATATGGCTTAGGTCCCGACCGATGGCATCGATTCCCACGCGCTCGTATTCCTCTTTCCATGATTCCTTCGGTAGCCCCACGACTAGATCGATTTTTCGATTGAATGTATCCTTCGCAGTATATCGCGGCAGGTATTTGGAATAGACCGATTCCGTTTGTCTATAGGGACTATCAGTACCGATGCAGTCTACTCCGCAGAGTAGATTTGGGATAGATGATAGCATACACACTCCAAGACTCCAAAGGAAGATCGTCGATTGCCGCTTCCAGCAACGGTCGAACGACATCGATCGCCCAAGACCCCTCACTCCGAAGCTCGGTAGCACAGCGAGACGATGCTGATGATATCTTCTTAACTATGTCTGTACTTGCTTGCCATGGTGTGCTATCATCCGATGTGAGAAAGCCCAACAAGCTCTTGGCCTCTATACACCCGGGGTCTGCGCTACCGTGCACAAAAACCACCTTCGGCGACGCCGTTGCTAGTTGAGCCTTCACGCGGGTAGGGCTAGATGAGCGTCGGCTCGGTGTCGACTGTGTAAGAGATGGGGCCAGCGAGATGTCATCCCGAAATGGCGCTACACTAGGCGGCACATTCTCCGAGTTTTCTCGTCGCGGTCTCTTTTGTGGGTCGGATTGAGCCATGGGGGAATCTGGATAGCTCCGCTTTGGTTGCGTTGCTGTTTCAACATCGTCTAGCCAAGACTGCCCCTCACGGTTGGCATTGGAGCTCGTAGTACTACTGAACTGCAGCTCTGTCGATACATTGTCGATCCATCGCTCGATAGAATCATTCGCGTTGTGCTCCATACGCAGTAGCAAAAAGGGCCATTCAAATAGTGGAGAAGTGACGTATGGAAGAACTGCGCATGAGATAAACTAGATCGAGGTTGCTAGGGGAACGATCGACACGTGCTTACACTTCTTCTTGCATGCTTCATATCTGAAAAGAACAAGAAGGGAAAGCTGGCTCATAGATAAGTAAGTTGGGTGATATATAACATGTCCAGTCATAAAACATCACAACTGTCAAGTACTGAGTCACTTAGTTAAGAAACTGGGTATCAGGACTGGTGATCCATTCAGGCGTTTCAAGAGGCCTCCCTTAGAAACCCATCCGATCAAGGTAGGTTATACTCTCAAAGAGAGTCGGGGAATCTCATGGTTATACCATGCTGAGTACTGTCTTGAGTCTTCATTCAAGCTGAACTAGTACCCCCCCAGTCGATGCACAACAAGGAGGATTATATTAAGGCCAACCGCCTTGTCCATCTTACCTTTAATTAATATACAAGGGCTAAACACTCTAAGGATCTATATGTATGCAGATATACGCAAGGTGGTTCCATTAATTGAGCATGGTGTGCGAACATTGTACGTGGAGATAACAATTTTAGCAATCTATCAACATCGCCAGAATGCCCTGACATGGTCTTCTCTCCCAGCCACCTCAAATATGATCATGAAGGCTGAAAATATGGCCTTCTCGTCCACCGCAAAGCCGTGCTCTGGCTAGTATAGATGACAATTCACGTTGATCACGCTGGGCTTCTGATCATCTCCTGGTCCCCATCGGATACTGCATGGATCCTCATCTTTTGTGCACTAGATACCAGGTGTAATATCAGCAATATGATATCATAGCCTCAGTGGTGTCCTTACCGGCTTGTCTGTATCACATTTCCGCCGGAGATTTCCCTTCTTGCGCCGTCGATCCACACGGCATTGGCCGGCCTTTCCACCCATTTTGCAGTACTTGATATCGTTAGCCGGATATAAAATGATCTGAAATGTGTCCTTGGTCGCTGACTAACCCCTGTCTCGATCATGTGCATAGGGTCAACACCATTCTGAGGGTCGCCTCGCAATGGTGGCAGTTTCCTGTTGGGATAGGTGGGCTGCACTGCAACGCTAAAGCCAAGAAACAGCAAGGTGAGAAGGATGACGGAATGCATGGTAGTCTGTGTGCTGCTTCAACAAAGACCTGGAGGTTAAAGAGCATAAGATGATAGCAACAATGATGTGCCTGATCTCGTTTGGAAAGATAATATGATGCGAGAGGAAAAGGCTCTTTATATACCGTAGTTTCAAGCGTTGGTAGTAATTATTCCTCTTGATGGCCCATATAGGTCCATATCTTCCGGTTTGCCCATAATCTTTTTTGTATGACCATGCTTGGATAGTTTATGATGAGCATAATATAAGTCCTGTCGGGCGTAGTAGGCTCCTGAAGTTCTTTGTCGCTCTAGGACATGCTGAGATATCCAGCCCACACTAGAGAGCGTGATACAGGGGTGCCCGAGATCCTGTGTCATGGAGAGGACATGCTTGCGACAATATGACTGCCGCGCACAGGCCGTGAGCTGCCGTTATCGAGGAGGTCTGTATGCACCGAGCCCTGGTCCTTCCCCTTAGACGCCCTGACTAGGGCCTCGAGTGGTGGGCCACCTGGTGTTACATAGGACTTCCCCAATAGAGCCCCTGACAAAGGGACGGGCACATTGCTAGAACCCCTAGGTCGGTGTTACTCTAGCCAAGTGACATGGCAGAGACACTCACATCTTGGCAGAGCAGGGCGGCGCTGTACCGACCGAGGCGGATAAATCCCGGGTTTCTTCCTGAGTAGTCCACCTTACTCTGAATCTAAAATGCCATCGAAGGGGAGGTATTAGGTCTGGGCTCATATCTATCCTGGTTCACTGTCTCCCGAGATCTAGTATGATATGCGGAAGTTCCGCTCCGCGAACGGAGTGGACCCGCGACAAATGTACATCGGGAGTAGAATTGAACAGTATTAAACTTGGACAATGCCATGGGCACTTGACACTTTTTTTCCGTGTATTAGTTCCGGCCAATTCATTGTTCTCGCTGTTCTGTGATATCTTTCAATAATCAGAAATGCTGAGGCTCGACGGAAAAGTTGTGCTCATCACTGGGCTGGGCCAAACTGCCGCAGATGGATGGGGGATTGGAGCAGCGATCGCAATGAAACTCGCCCAGCAGGGGGCAATAATCTTCGGCGGGAATCGCACGTTGGCCTCGGCGCAAAGGACCAAAGCGCGGATTGAAAGAGAGGGCGGCGTGTGTGATGTGCAGGAAACCGACGTTACCAATTCGGCATCCGTGAAGGCTTTGGTAGACAACTGTCTGCAGCGACATGGCCGCATTGATATCTTGGTCAATAATGTGGGCAAGTCGGAGCCTGGATGTCCCGCGGGCATGAGTGAAGAAGTCTGGGACCAACAGGTCGATGTGAATTTGAAAAGCATATACTTGAGCTGTCACTATGTCCTACCCATCATGGAAAAGCAAGAGACGGGCGGTTCAGTTGTCAATGTTTCCAGCATTGCAGGGCTACGATATATTGGAAAACCTCAAGTCGCCTACTCGGCTACCAAGGCTGCCATCATGCAATTCACTAAGGCCACGGCCGTGATCTATGCGCCAAAGAACGTCCGACTGAACACGGTAGTGCCTGGGTTGATCTATACGCCATATACCCAAGCGCTCGCCAAACGATATGCTCCAGGAGGAAATGAGGAGGAATATATGAAGATGCGTGACGCACAGGTTCCTATGGGACGGATGGGTGACGCTTGGGATGTGGCCCACGCCGCCCTGTTCCTGGTCTCTGATGAGGCGCGGTATATAACGGGACAGGAGGTTGTAGTGGATGGAGGAATCACATCGTCTACAGGGAGAGCATAATCATTTTTGAAATATCCAGCTGGGTATAGATAGCTAGTGAATTTGCAATTGGTCTTGATTTGTATCTGGAATCGTCTGAACAATGTAAACGCTATGACCGATATATGTTGGGTCACGATGGCTTCCGTGCCCGAGGGTTCTACACATGTAGCCCACCCATGACTCCTCGTTGATGTTAAGCTAGCTGACCATAGCGCGAAAGGTAAAGGCTCATGGCAATGAATAGCAGCGATCCTATCTCTATCATATTCAAAGATCCCCAATTGTGGAGTGGGTCAGTGGAGAGCATCCGCTCGGACCAGAACCGTCGGTCTACCTCCGAAGCCCATAGATGTTGAAGCATTTATACCTTCTCAAATCGAAAGCTATAACAAAGACCAAGCTACTCCGTGCTACCCTCAAAGACTACAGAAAGTGTATATTCGATTTCACCAATATGACCCTCGTTCACATTGGTGAGATATGCGCCTTGTTACCACGGCCCCCCTAACAGCTTCATGCAGTCCTCTTCAAATTCCGCTCCGATGTCAGCGAGAAGCACAAGCAGACCTTTGTCACAGAGTAGAAGAAATTAAAGGATCTATCATGTGTCAAAGCCGGACGCCTGCTTGTTGGAGGCCATAGCGTCACAGACCCCATTGAACGCAGCAAGGGGTTCCAGATGGCGCTCGTGAGCTACCACGAGAATCGGGAAGCGCTGGCAGAATACCAGGCGAGTGGCGAGCACCACCGGTATGTATCCATTCAAAGTTCTGGTCGGAAATCGACATCTAGAAGCTGAGCTCACTTGCAGGGTAACCTTGACATACATGTTCCCTTACAAGGAGGATTTGGTCCGGTTTGACTTTGAAGTGGACGAAGAAGATGAATATATGTGCCATTTCCCTTTATCTAGCCTTGGAATATAAAGATATGATGTAGTGTTGTTTGTTCCGTGTAATCCATGTAGGATTTAATTGGTATCGGAGGACAGAATGGCTGTAGGGAAGGCGAGAGCGCGAGTTGAAGAGAATGACGACCACCCGTCACTTTCGAGTTTTCTGGCCTATGCGCTGCCAGTCGCTGTATCATTATAGTTGAGGGGACCATGAGATAGCCCTTGTTTGGACCAAGCACCGCTCAGAGAGTACGAAGCTGTGGCTGGGAATTCTACAGAAAGTCGGATCTCTTCCGCGTTTGGGACTGCGGGGAACATCCGAGAAAACCGTCGGCCCGAGCACGTTATTAAGGGCTGGATGATGCCTTTTGATACACCGGAAATTGACAATAATTACTATTCTTTTTACACGACGGACTATCATGGAGGCTCACAGCACAGTGAACGAAGACTACAATCTTCAGCAGCCAGTGGTTTCCACTACCGGGTTGCGACAAGGACTGACCTCCTATGGAGATGCCCACTTTTCCCTCTTCTTGCGCAAGGTATTTATCAAGGCCTTGGGATATTCGGAAGATGCCCTCTCTCGTCCAATTATTGGCATCATCAATACCGGCTCTGGCTTCAATCCGTGTCATGGAAACACGCCGCAGCTCATCGAAGCAGCCAAACGAGGTATCCATCTAAATGGTGGCATCGCCATTGACTTTCCCACCATCAGTTTACACGAATCGTTTTCACACCCGACGAGCATGTTTCTCCGAAACTTGATGAGCATGGACACCGAGGAGATGATTCGTGCGCAGCCTGTTGATGCGTGCATTATGATCGGAGGTAGGCACTACGTGCGCTACTTGTTCGAGTACATTCATGTTGATACCAGCTAGGTTGCGACAAGACCGTTCCGGCCCAGATTATGGGAGGTATCTCGGCCAATAAGCCAGTCCTACCGCTTTTGACAGGTCCTATGATGCCCGGAAGTCACCAAGGACAGCGGATTGGCGCATGCACCGATTGTAGAAACAATTGGGCATCATACCGTGCCGGGACTATTGACATGGAAGAGATTGCGGCTGTCAATGAAGAACTGGCCCCAACGGTTAGTCTTCAGCTGCCGATCACTGATGTACGCAACTGACATTTCGTGGAATAGATTGGCACCTGCGGTGTGATGGGTACCGCCAGCACTATGGCTTGCATCATGGCCGCCCTAGGCTTGATCCCCCTACAGGGAGCCTCGGCCCCTGCCGTGTCTGCGGCGCGGCTTCGCATCGCAGAGCAAACGGGTGCTAATGCTGTGGCTGCGGCTGAAGGTCGACGATCGCCGCAGACAATTCTATCGGCTGAATCGTTCTATAACGCCGCAGTTGTACTCCAAGCGATCGGAGGATCCACCAACGCCATGGTCCACCTGATGGCGATAATCAACCGCCATCCCGACATTAGCGGGTCTATAACTCTTCAGACATTGGACGAGATTGGCCGTACCACTCCGCTTCTTGTCGATCTGAAACCAAGCGGCGACAATTATATGACTGATTTTCACAACGCTGGGGGCATGCTGTGCCTTCTGCATCGTCTACGACCGCTCCTCCGCCTTTCAGCACAGACTATCACAGGGGAAACCCTTGGGGAAGTATTGGATCGTAGCCCGTTCCGAGACTTTGAGTACTCTCGGAATATTATCCGTACTTTATCCAATCCTTTGCACCCTTGTTCGTCCTTAGTGGTTGTTGAGGGCAACATCGCACCGCATGGGGCCGTGATCAAGGCCTCCGCCTCTAAAGACAAGCGTCTTCTCCGCCATACTGGGCCTGCAGTCGTTTTCGAGAATCCCCGTGATCTTTCCCTCCGTCTTGATAGTCCTGAACTCGACGTGACAGCCGACTCAGTACTGGTGCTGAAAGGCATCGGTCCAATCGGAAACCCTGGAATGCCTGAGGCGGGGATGATTCCCATCCCACGCAAGCTAGCGGCCCAAGGAGTGACAGATATGCTTCGGATTTCAGACGGGCGGATGTCAGGGACAGCGGGAGGGACAATTGTTCTACATGTCTCGCCCGAATCCGCGGTTCCAGACTCACCATTTGGTGTTATTGAGACCGGCGATACAATCGTGTGTGATGTTGAGAATCGCGTTATTCGCTTGGAGATCTCCGACGAAGAGCTGCAAAGCAGGATTGCACAGCGCCGGCGATCAATGTCGGAAGATGAGTCTTCGACCTGGAATGAGAGGCTGAATAGGCGAGGATATCGGGGTCTCTACGAGCGGGAGGTGAACCAGGCGCATGAGGGTGCGGATTTCCACTTCCTTACCGCAAGAGGGCCTAATTGCCAATAGTAATTTGGACAATTGCCTCCTATTCGGGTATCTGTGATGACTGCATCTTGAGGACATAATTCATTGAACATAGTCTCCCGATGGGATGAACCTCAATCACGCTCTTGTTTCTGTATCACCACGGTTGTAGGTGCCGGTCAGGCCAATACGGTAGCGGAGCCTATTATGCATTGAACGGTTTAGGTTGAACCTTTGTAAGAATCTGAGTACCACAAACGAAGAGATTTTTATTGGAACTATGTAGGTATATTCTTGGCTGTTGAACACCCACACAATCGGGTTATCATGGCTCTTTCTCAGGAATATTTATCGGTTAATGATATGAACTACCAGCAACGGAACTGGTGGAGTCATGACTACTCTATTCTACCCAACCCTGTCGCAAACCCCGATAAACGACGATGTCACTCCCCCAAGGAATAATCGGCCGGAGATCGGGTCATGTATCGCCGTTGTTGTAGTTGGCAGGACCCTTGCTTCGCCATCCTCGACGACCTTGACAACTTCGTACGCGTCCTCTGGGGCGTGACTACCCTGTTTCCTCCGGATCATGAGCACCGTCGATGGTGCCGAAGTACCGTAGGGATCAGCCCAGGCCTTCCAAAACTTGGCTGCATCAGGGAAACCTCCCCCGAATACATTGCCCTCCGCATCGATAGACAGGTTATCAACGCTCATGGTAAGCGAAACCTCAGCAATTTGGACGAGTCGGTTATCGTCCGTGAGCCTGTTGACCCCGAGGGTACCCTTGGCAGAGTGCGCAACATAGACATGGCCCGATGCAGGGTCCCTGGTGATACCGTTGGGTAAGTAACAGTCGTCCGTCGTGGCGATGTGGCATTTCCCCGTATCCGTACGGCAGTAGGCGATGCTGCCATCGCCGAAGATAAAGCTCAGGTCTCGGAAAGCGCCGACTTTGGTGCCGTGATCGTTGGTCACCAGGAAGTCTCCCTTGTCAGCGTCTATTACCACCAGATTGTTCGGGGAGATGATGGCGTCGCTGACGATGGTCTTAACGTGCTCCAAATGATCCGTGTTGCGGGCATTGCCGAGGTCCAAATCGTAGACGTCGATGGTCGAGTTGGCCCCCACGTGCGTTGCGTCTGACAGAGACTCCCCCGTGGCAGTGTCGATGGGAAGCCGATGGTTGATCAGCCAGAATCGAAGTCGGCGACCGTGGTCAATTCGCTTCACGTCAAAGCCATGCAGGTGCAATTGTTGGTTGTTGGCTCCCTCACGGAAACCCAGTGCATGTACCCCGTACAAGCCGTCGGAGCCCGGTTCATCGATGTCTAGCACGCTGATGTGATCGGAGCCGCCGGCTGCGGCCAGCCCTGCGAGGTCGTAGGTGTTTCCACCGGGGCTCCAAGCCTTGCGAGCGGCTGGGTTGGAGCAAGCAGCATAGAGCTTGCGGTTCGTGGAATCCAGCCAGAGGTCCTCGCAACTCTCCAAAAGTGGGTGCTGGATGCGCTGGCAGCGATAACCTGGGAAGTCTTCGAGAGGCTGAACCACTCGACCGATTCCTAGCACGAGGACGACGGCATCATGTAAGTAGATTTTGTAGAATCCGATGGTGATGGCTAGAATGAGAACCACGAAGGCTCGAGCGGAGCCAGCCATGGTTGATAGGTATCCTCGGTGTCGACGAGGGAGTAATCCTGAACTGGACTGAGCGAGTTGGCTTAGCTAGGATGGAGGGCTTGCCCTTAAAAGCCCCGTGAAAAAATGGGCCGTAATCCCACTGCAGTTGACAAATTGAATCGGAAGAAGGTAATGCTATTGTGTTATGGAGGGTCGAATAAGAGTCTACGAATCCACGAGAACACTGCCACCTAGAACTGACAAACCCACCTCGTATCTATGCCAATGACTGTACAGTGTAGGATCGAATTCCCCACAGCTCCACATTGATACACGATGTAACCAATCAAAACATCTAGCCGATGGATACTATTCTGACGGATCATTATCCTTACAATTGGGGGCCACAAAGGTACGATTGTGGGACGGCAGAAGACAACAAGCCTTGAGAGTTTGGGCTTTAGGCCGGCTTCTGGTTTTATTCGCAGAGAACAGATATCGGAGACTGTAGCCCACCACTAAGAGATACTTTCTAACAGTGACTCTCATCCAGCTGTAGGGTGGCGTAATATAAGCATTAAATCGGTTTGATCTAGCCCGCCGATTAAAATGTAGGATAGTAATCTTCCCATTTTCCAATGTAAAGCACATCAACGAGGGCTCGAGTATGACGGTATGACCAGAAACACCTCAGCACCCAACAATATATCTGGCCGATTGACCCACATAGGCTATTGCGTTGGCAAAGTGGAAGATCCCTGACACCTGAAGGGCCTTTATCTCAATGTAGACAAATCAAGAACCACTTTCTGAGAGCCCTCATTCTATCAGCTTCCGTATCCAGTGACTCTATCACTCTGGTCCTCCCTCCCATATTCAACTTCACCTCGTTATTGACTAATATGATCTTCCCTGTGATATGGACTTCATCTGGTCCGGCTGGAATTTGAACAGGGGCCTCTTGATTCGGAATGATTCCTGCTTCTTCACCGTGCCTAATAAATTTCACCGCGACAACCAGCTCTCTCTGAAGAAACTCCCAGGCTGCAAATCGATTGATCACTTCAAAGTCCTCCTGGAAAAACTCAAGGTCGGGATAACAGTAAAAGGAGTTCCATTCCTTGTCCACATCGTTGCGACACTGGTAAATCCAGTGCTTTTGTTTTCTCTGCGACTCTTTGGAGATGTGGTCGTACAGCAAGCGGGCTTCTTGCGTCCCAAGGTTTGTGATTACTTCTCCAGACACGAGCGGAATTGGGCAGGTTGGGCCGTCGCCTCCAAATCCAACATCGAGATGATATCGGACTCCAGAGGGGAGCCGGACGATATTCGCCATGTGGACCCTGAACATAGTCAACGAAGAAAGTTCTCGTTGCTCTGCGTTTAGTGCCTACCATCCTCGATAATCACCCTGCGGTATGCCATTCACCCGGTCTCGATTTCTTGCTCCTACCATGTACACATCAAATCCCAGACCGCGGAGGATGTGGTGGAAAAATATGTTGACTTCCAGACAATATCCCCCGCGGCCAGTGGGATCGGTTTCCCCAGTTCCCATCATTTTGGAATAGAGGGTGTCAGGGTGGATATCTGCCTGACGGGCAGTGGAGTAGTGGACGGATAGATTTTCAAAGGGAAACCGAGTGATGTGACAACGGAATAGGACGGTGAGCGCTGCTTCATCTTTGGGAAAGATGTGAGGTGTTTCTATGTAGGCATGATACTTGGACGGGAGGGAGAGATACGACAGGTACTTTTGTACATGAACCATGGAGTAGGCGGAGGTCATTTCGGGAAGCGATTGATAATATGCACGTCGGGGGAATGGTTTAACTAGAAAGATGGACGAGGAAGTCCTAGATGCTATCTTGCTTATTTTTGGGGTTGATATACTTACAGTGTGTAACCGGACCGAGTCTATGAGTCACTGTCGGTGAGGCATGTCGAAGGCTGCCAACAAAGAAGATATTTTAAATCAAACACTTTCTGAAAGCGCCCATTGATGTCGCCTTTTATTCTAAACAAATACTCCTACTCTATACTTGGGTACAAATATTATCGCACTGCTAGTTGGATTGCCTTATTTACGCCATTCATGTGATTGTGCCAGCCCTGCGTCGCCAGCTGAGAGGCCCGAATTGCTTCTCGACATGTCACTATTCATACGTAGCTATGTGTAAAGAAGCTGCCGGAAATGTCAATCGAATTCACCAGGCACAAGAACGAGTGAAGGCTAGGCACATAGACTTATTGGACAGCATCAAACACCTCCGTAACAAACGCCAAAGCTCTGTCGTATGCCTGGACTGATCCCTTCGCAGGACCCGGCGGCATTCCCGATTGAAAGTCCACCAACCCGTGCGGCCCATTGTCTACAAGCAGCAGTTCGGTCTTGACCCCAAGTTGCTTTAACTGCTCATAGTGATGCTTGCTCTCCTGGTCAGGGACGACTTCATCGGCAGTTCCATGCACCAACACGGATGGAGGGTAGTTTTCCGTCACGAACAACTGGAGGAACGCCGGTTTCAGGTCCTCCGGAATCGCTGCAGCTCGCTCTGCATAGTCCAACCTATTCAGCTCCGCACCCAAGCCAGGGCGACCGAGGCAGCCATCGAGGAACGTGCCGTCCAGCTCCCACCGGACAGTCAGAGCGAATCGGTTCGACATGAGACCCGTCTCTGGCGCATCATCGCTCACAACCGCCTTGTCGGCAAGCAACCCAGGAACCTCGTTGAGATCAACGAACTTGGAGAAAGACGTGGCCGGCCGACCGGCAGTCCAGTGATCTAACAGCCAGTCGCCTGCCGATCCATAGCCCGTTAGAAGAACTGCTGGCTTCGGAGTGGCGTACACACACGCCGCACGGGCGGAATAGGCGCCGGCGGAGAAGCCGGTCACTGCTATCCGACTTGTGTCGAGCGAGATGGGCTTTGGTAGCGTCGTTTGGAAGCCTTCGCCTGCGAGGAAGCTGAAAAGAGCTTTTGCATCCTCGATCTGATCGAGGGCGGTGCATGGGTGGCAGAGTCGGTAATCGGCAGCAATGAAGATGTAGCCTTTTGCTTGGCAGTGGTCTGTCACGCTACACGTTAGTCGTGTGAAAGTCCTTCAGGTTGCATACAGATCAACTCACCGTATAACCAGTGTGGGAAACCTATACCCCGACGCGAGCCAGCGGTCATTCCACCGCCGTGGTAATAGATCACCGCTGGCAGACATCCTTCTTCTCGAGAGGGCATATAATAGTCTAGCTTAATGTTATGTCCGTCTACAGTTGAATAGACCAATGTCCTGCCTCCGGCCGGTAGGGTTGGCAACATGATTGACTTGGGATGGGCTGGTATATTGTTGGATCAAGATGGTGTGCACACAGTGAGGAGTTCTTGGATGCGAGCTAGTTGATCTATTGAGACTGAGGCTATCGAGGTGGATCGATAGTATTCAGTCTTCTAGCTTCATCCGGCAGAAGTTATTGCCGCTTGCCCCCCCACCGGTACTTCATCTCGGAGATCATCATCCCCAACCCTGGACTGAAGGTACGATTATGCTGTGATTGATTTGTTCTAGCTAGAAGTCAAGAGGGCCAAGACCTCATGCAGAACAAGACCATAACAGTATCAAGGCACGTAGACACACAAATAGGCTCATGTTGGAGCAGGAACGCAGTTTGACTTCCCTTGTCCATCACCTCAAGGATAGACTACCAAAGGACCCACATATTTGAGGTTTAGCAATTCGCACTTACCATCAAGAGAAACCCACTGTTTGGGAGATCCCTTGCATCTGATTGGATGAAGGTCCAATGTGGACTTGAGCCGGTGTATGTTCGTTGCTTGTTGGCATGGCATTGCTTGGTACTTTGGATACGGTTTGAATAGACGTTCGGATAATGAACCTCTGCGTAGATACTCATCCGCATCTGATTGACTGCTAAGCTATCCAATACTAGTATAAATCAGCTAAGGCTCACTCCTATGATGCACCGTGCTGTATGACGTTGCAGCACAGCCTCCCAAGGCTGAATGAGTCACTCATCCTACAAAAGCATCCTCAACTGCCATTCCGTAGGCACCGCGGCATTCACGAAGATATGAAAGATACTGAAGATACTAAAGATATATCTGCACGCAATGGATATTCCAGAAGACTTCCTCCAAGCTCCTCCCCCTCCGACCGCGACCGTCAAGAAGCTCGACTTCACCAAAACGACTCCTCCCATCCCCGCGTACAAGAACCATTTCGCCGCCATAATCAATAACGTTTTGACCCCAGCTGAATGCAACCAGCTCCTTCAACTCGCCGAGCAATCCACAATACCCCAAGGTACAACTAACCCAAACCCAGAGAGAACTCCCTGGGACCGCGCCCTCCTGAACGTCGGCAACGGGCAACAAATTAACGCCCCCGGCTTCCGTAACTGCGGACGTATCTTATATGATTCGCCAGAAATTGCAGATCGATTACTCAATCGACTCTTACCATTTCTACACGAGTGCGATATTGTCCAAATCTTCAACCAGCCCCTAGTGACGGGGGCTGGGCCGGCGACTCGCAGCGAGACTTTTAAGCTAACACGGCTGAACGAGAAGCTACGGTTTTTGAAATACACGGGTGGGGAATACTTTCGTGCGCATACTGATGGGTGCTACGTGACCCCGGATGAGCGAGAGAGGTCCCTGTTCACAGTGCATTTGTATTTGAATGGCGAGGGAGAGCAGGACGAGGGTGCACTCCAGAGCGCGATCGCGAGACGGGAACGAGTCGATGCTCGTGGTAATGATGGTAGTTCTGATTGGGGAGTGGTATTTGGAGATGAAGATAAGGATGAGGGTATGGAGTCAGAGGAAGAGGACGAAAGCCTTGATGATGGAAAAGAGCAACCCCTACTCGGTGGTGCCACCTCATTTAGACTTGAGTCTTTCGCTGGGGAACGGGTGGTCAGAGTGTTTCCAAAGGCAGGCTCGGTACTGGTCTTTCAGCAGAGAGGGCTGTGCCATGCTGGGGATGATGTGTTTCGGGGTGTGAAGTATACCATGCGGTCCGATGTGATGTATGAGAAGGTCGAGAGTTGAATCCAGACCTGAGCTTTGTTAGTATCTCCATAAACCTAAGGCCCAATATTGAACCACACCAAGAACCGCTACATATGATTAGTGGACAGTGGAAAATTTCTTCACCGGGCAGAAGAGACCTGACTTGTTATTGAGATTGTTCTTACTTTTCGCCTACTTATACTAGAAACGTGGGTATTGGGGGGGTTAAGAAGAGAAGGGCTGGTTCAGTTGCAAGCATACCCTGGAGTATCAGTACTCTAACAAACAGCACAGTCATCTATGCCTCAATACTAATTGCTACTCTCCCATAGTAAACCACACGAGATAGATCCTTCGTAGCCCTTTCCGGCGTATTACAGAAATGCCCATTGTTCTTCGCGGGCCGGCCCACATACGGTTCTAGGAACCTAACTATTTGGCACAGCACACCAACTTCCCATAAGCATTATGAACTTTTGCACCGATTGTTCAGGAATTCTAGTGGCGTCAAAGAAGTCTGACATAGCGTGTATGCTGCACAGACCAATCACAACCTTTGTGATCGCTGGCTTCATCTACTGTTGGGGGGAAAGGGGAGTGTCGCTTCAACCAGTCTCTTGAACAGCATATGGACTCGAAGATAAGTGATAAGACTTCTGTGCCAAAATGTATATTCATGTTTGACCGCAAGAAAGTCCCTGTTGCCAACTGACAACGGCAGAAATACTGTAATGACGTCTGCGCGCTGGGTCTCTATTCAAATAGGCGTGCCATGGTCTCAGACTGACAGAACTGGTAGGAGGCTTTGTTCAAGCGCAGGTACGAGAGGAATGTGGTTATTCAGAGGTCAAGGTTGTACTACTACTGTTCTATTATAAGCATATTGCAAGGTCGATCCGGTGGATGATGGGTGGCCTTACGGCTACCATGTCGTATACTCCACCACTAGACAAACTTTGATTGGTATCTGTCACTTGTAACCGCAGAGGCATGGCTACATTATACGTGTTTTCAGTTGTTCTCATTGGGTGTCAGCATAAGCTTACCTCGATCCCAGAATTGAGGCTGAACGATCCACGAGTAGTGTTTCGCTACATATTGTCGTTTACGTCAGCACACTCGTGGCTTCCAAGACAAAATCCTTTTGTACCATGGCCCATAAGACACGGAAGCCACCCACCGACTCTGATGTATGTGGGAAGGCCTGGTCTAGCGCGACTTACAATATTCCGTATGGCTCAAGTCAAGTCTCCAGCTTTCCCTGGATACCAATTGTACTGGAATAATAATAAATATACATGAACAATAGAAAAAATGAGAAAGAAATGAGAGTGACCCCAAGGGAAACCCTAAAACTCAATCGTATGCATCTGCTAAAAGTCATCCTGCTGCTGAATTGACTTTAGAGCCTGTTCTCGGGCCGTTTGCAATGAGCCGATATACGTCTGCAAGATTAGCTCATCGGGCTGATGATCCATGCCCTGTGCATACTGGGCCAAAATGGTTAGGATCGATCCGATCTTCTCGAGCTCCGACGAAAGCACTTGAGCAATAATCTTCGAGCGTAACTCATTGTCCAAGAGGTATCGGCCAATAGCCATCGGGGTATCATAAGTAGACAGGCTCATGCTCAGGGTTGACTCATCTCGTGATGTCTGATGTTGTTGTGACAAGAGGGCTTCGTAGGATTCCAAAACCTGCTGGATGATAAGAACCAACAAGAGAGCGATGCGTAGCCCCTGAGCACAAGGGCAAGCCATGATCTCCTTCACCGTTTCTATCGCCGTACGGCCGTCATCGAGTGTCGCATCCAACGACTGTGGATGATTCAGCGGAGGAGTTCTCGATCGTATGCAGGATATCCGCGGGTCACGCATGGTCTGCAAGACCGAGGCTGCGCGTGTAATGCAGTCTCTTGTATCGCCGACGCCAATAGCATGTTCAGCCATAATCGCATCCCACGAGGGATTGCCGCGTGGGTCTACAGGGCATTCCCCCTCCATCCCATTCGTGCGTAATTGTGCCACGTGTGGGATATCAGGAAGAGACATGTCAGCTGACTCAGGGCTTCGAAGTGGCACCACCGTTCCTTCAAGACAAGGGTAGGATCCAATGTGAGTTTGAGATCCTATAGTGGACTCGGGAACGTCGGAAGGCAGGGTATGAAACATGCTGAACGGCGTCGCATAGTTAGATGACTGGTAAGGATCATATGGCGACATGGCATCGTCAGATGTACTCGGGGTTCGACTGTCTTGGTGACTTCCCCCCAATTGTGGATGCTGAGATATCGCCTGCTTCCTTCCCCGTGTGTCTTCGTTTCTAGAACTAGTAGATCTCGAAGATGCGCAGTGGTGCCAGGCTTTGCCAATGCGACGGGATTCACTATAGTTGCAGACAACGCCGCTCTTGATGCACCGGACGCAATGCGGCTGGCCACGGTCGCATTTGACCTTCGACAGGGCGCAGAAATCACAGCTGGCCCTTAGTTTGACAGGCTTTCCCGATCGCTCAGTCGGTGTCCTTGTGGTACTCATTGTCAAATAGAAGTTGAATACGTTGTCTTAGGCCGACCTCGAGGGTGTATGATAGATATCAATGTCAGGGTAGAAAGTCACAGTTCAAGATAAATAGTGGAAATATGAGAGAACAGAGGCAGGTATGGGGGTCAGATGAGCATAATCTAACAGTTAATGCATTGTATTTAATCTGTCCCAGCTGAATAACTTCACCCTCGCATCACTACATATCTATTGGCTCGATTGTAAGTCAAGGTACAGGGCTGAATCATCCATGGACCTCCAAGGGTCCTAATCCTGTGTCAACCATGGAAGCCCTCCGACGGCGACTGATTAAGTACCAAGTTTCAGTCCAAAAATACTTTTAATGCATACTGCATCTGTGATTGGAAGGTGAATACTTTCAGGCCGGCGTCTCATAGGTGCACGATGAAGTGTTCCTGCAGTACAAATGATTTTCACGTCCACCGATAAGGCCTGTGGCAAATAAACATTATCCTTGGCTTGAGTACTTCTCTTCCTGACGGTGTCCATCTACGCCAACGCCACGGGGTTGTTCGGACTCTCTGTTGTTGGTTCTGGGCAGCCCTAATCCGTTGGCGCTGCGCCTCATCACAGCCTGTATACCAACCGATCTATGAACGTCGTAGGACACATCTACTCAAAGCCATCCCCAATGGACAGTACTTAGTAGATGTTTGGGATTGTAAAATTCGATTGGTGGCCTGAGTGGGAGGCGTTTTACACGGATGATACAGTCTGCTTGGATATTTAAAGTTCATATTCTGTGCTCAAATTCGTCTCTATAATGGGACTGGGTCCAATGCCATGTACAAATCCGCATCTCATCACAGTGGAGATAAACACATGTAATCTACATGTAGGACTCTGGTTAGCAAACATTGAGCGATAGTCAAACATATCTATCAGCATTCATTGTAACATCGCTGTTCGCATCATTCCCGCCAGACGAATGACCGCTGGGTTTCGAACAATGGTGAAATGGTTAGCATCAGGCATTGTTTTTAACTGAATGCTGCCTCCCCCAAGCAGATGATCCCATCCGTTGTATGACACGTCCACCCGGCGTTCTAGCAGCCAGTCGATAACCTCTGGGTCATCCTGATTTCGTTCCGGGCGAGGGTCCCTTGACGTCTTGCATACGCCATCCTGTGCGTAGATAATAGTAGTGCGAGGAGCCGCGGTAGCCGGGCGGAAGGGCGCAGGTGTATACCGATCTAGAACATCATTGATGGCTTGGAAATGCTGCAATAGCCATGCCGGTGGCTTCCGCCCACCGTCAATACCGAAGACCCCTGCTTCCTCAAGAAACTGGTAGAAGTGTGGTGGACACTTCCCTAACCCCATAGGATTCGGAGAGTCTATCAATAGCAGTCGCTCCACCTTTTCCCCTTGATCAACGAGATACTGTGCCACTTCATATGCAACAATCCCCCCTGCAGACCAACCCCCGAGATTGTATGGACCGCGCGGCTGACGTCGACGGATCTCAGCCACGTAGACTGGGGTAAGGTCTTGTAGTCGACACTTCGCCAGCTCATTCGCCCGCTTTAGATAAGGGCAGTCCATGGCATATATACGTACATCCCTGGAAATGGTGGGTAGCATTGCATAGGATGTGGATGACCCAGACCCATCAGGAAAGAGAAAAAGGGTTCGTGAACAACTTTCATTACCTTGGAGGTTTATCGACGTTGCGGGTGGATGAGTGGTTATTAAGCTCTGCTCGATATCTTGTTTCGTGGATTGAAACATTGTTCCCAGCGCCGCTGTAATTGAAGCAACACTCGAGTGCTCCAGAAAGAAGTCATTCGGGAGTTGCAAGTCTGTCTCATCACGCACTCTTCCAAGAGTTGTGAGCGAGAGGAGGGAATCTAGGCCCAGCTCGCTGAGGTCATCCACATTGGAGAGATCTGTGAGACTCACACCCATCTCCTCGGATAGTATGGATGATATCAAGCCCACGGTAGTTGTCACCCCATCTACTACCGCATTTCTCCCGACATCCCTGTCACTTCCACTAGGCGATGTGATAGTGGTTGTTGTAGATCCATTGGGGGTTGGATAAGAGCTTGTCTCGCCACTATCAGATTCGGACGATGATGACATGTTGAGGTAAACACGAAGAGACTGCACAGATGGACAGTCTTCGAAAAGTGACCATGGTACGTCGAGCCCCAGAAACTCTCGAAATTTACCGATGATGGTCAAGGACATCAGCGAATCAACTCCCATGTTAGCAAAGTTCACATCCTCAGTGAGCTGTCCAGGATCGACGCCAATTTCCGGGGCAATAACTCCAAGTACTCGCTGCCATGGGTCCTCAACCTGAGGATGCTGAGTTTGTATATTAATCTGTGGCCTCACAGCAGGCTGGGAGGTATCAACAGTCTTTGGTCTTGTGGGTGAAGAGCTGCCTTTCGGTGTCGTGGCGGGCAGTAACATTTTCAGGACCCGCCGAGCCACTTTTTGAAAGCTGACTGCTCCATATTGCGCAATTATGCGGTTTTCGTTGAGAATATAAACATCCCCCACATAAAAGCCCCTGTTGTCATCGATAGGTTGCATTTTGACGTGAGTTTGGTAAACCGTGTCTGGGGAAAAAGGCTCGACACAGCGCATGAACCCCCAACCGTGGTTCACAAATAAGTGCTCCGTTAGATCAATAGAATCGTTGCAGTTCATGACAAAGCCGGTCAGATGGCCAAAGCTGTCAGACCAGACAGGATTCAACGAATACTGACCTGCGGTCGACTGTAAACGCACTTCGGCCGTGGCTTCCAGCCCAGAGCTGTCGAATACAACCTCCTCC